ATAAAATTTTTATGAAAATTTGAACACCAATTTTTTAATTTTTTCTGTAAAATATAGCTCATAGGCCTATAAATTTATACTGAAAATAATTTTTCAGCTGCTTTGCGATGAGTAAACAGGTATTTTATTTACAGGGAAAGTACTCCAAGTGCGACGCTCAGATTTTCTTTAAATTTTGCGTACGCGTCGGGAATAGAATAATCATCAATTCCTGAAAGTTTTAGCTCGCGCTTTGCGGGCGCCGCCGAGATATCGAACGATTTATGCCGCCGAGAGAGCACGCTAAACGTGGAGATCGGTCAGAGAGAAAAGCGCTTTTTGACCATAACTTGTTTCTGTAAAGCGCGAGCTAGGATTCTCGCATATACCTTAGATAAAATTATTCTAAATTTGTGCCAAGTTTCATCAAAATCTGAGCGTCGCACTTGGAGTACTTCCCCTGTAAGTTTTTTTTGTCAGCTATGGCTCCTAAAATGTCAATTTTTTGGGGCTCCTTTAAGTGATTTAAACAAAAAAATCATAAGTAAAACAAATTATAATACAACGTATTTTACTTCCCACCTCACAAAAAATCTCAAAAATTTATAAAACTCCCAAAAAAAACTTCCCAAAAAATCGACCAAATCCGTAAACCCGCTGAATGAACCCTCCATAAATTAATTCCTGGCCCAGAGAAGCGAGTGCGAAAATCAGGGCCAGATGGTTTTCCTTTTCCGAGTGCAGGTGCGTGACCTCTCCGGACAAGGACGCATCCCTCGCCCGCTCTCTCCCCTTTTCTGCTCCCTTTTTCGAACGCCGCGGAAAACGCTTGACCGCGAATGGCAACCAAGTAAGGGAGAAGAAAAACAATAATGACCCGATCACGAACGGGGAAGTGCAATATGAGCGGCTGAAGAGCGTTGTAGAGAGTACTTATTAGGGAGATAATCGTGTATTTGGATAAAAAAATGTTTTGTGGAGAAGTGGGGAAAGTGAAGTGATCAGAAATTTGAATAGAAATTGGGACAAATTTAGAGCAAATTTTCAACATGATGACAATTCGAATTAGGACTCTGTGAGGCCATTACGGCATTGGAACACGATTCATTACATTTATACATTAAACAGGGTTTTCCAAGAAACGTGAAGGAAAGTCGGAGGCTACAGCTTTCGGCGGGACGGCGCAGAGACTTCATTTTTTTGAATATGTTTTTTTTCAGCGGCATGGTTTTTGTCTATGAAATAACAAGGTTTTTAAAGTGCAAACTGAAGCCGATAAGACGTCTTGAAGTAAGAGACGTGACGGAGAATGTTTTCCTATCAAATTTGGCTGAAATGTTGGGGCACAGCTCGAAAAACAACCCTAGAAAAAGTTGCACATCAAGGCGAACTTTCAATTCTCCAAACTATAAACTCTGTCAGAATTTTATAAATACCATGTACATACATATATCATTTTGTCGGGAAAAAACAGTGAGTAATATCAACGCGATCGGCGTAGTGACATAGCGTTCGAAAAAGGAGGCAACATAGCGCTCACTATTTCCGCGACAGACTGATATAGTTTTTTCGCTAATTTGTCACCACATTGTTATAGCCCTGTCGGGAAAATAATGAGCACATTCTCGTTGCGATATCGCCTCAATAAAGAGAAAAGAAATTGGATCTTGCTGCGACACAATTCGTTCTCTCAACCGCGGCGCGATTTTCGATGCGACAAGGTGCTCATTATTTTCCCGACAGACTGAAATGTCCTTTGTAACTTCCAAACTCTTCCAGAAATAAAATAAAATTCTCACGTCTACAGTTCAAAGAGCAAGGGAACCCCTGGTTTCCTTGACTTCCCCAGCCGGTGTTATCAGTACGCCCTGAGGCTATTTTTTACTTTTTTGGGATTAAAAGCACAGACATTCAGACTGATAAAACCGGAGAACAAATTTCGTTGACTTTTGGGAAAGTCAACGAAATTTGAGGGGTTTTGAAATTTATGGCAAGACTATAGGTTGTTGTGGTTGTAAAACACAAGGTCCAAAATTAGCAACTAAATGCCGATAAAGAGAATACGGTAAGCAATGTTCCGGTTTATGCACAAACAAAACATGGGTTTTTTGAAAACACATTTCATCAACCTACAGCTTTATGTAGGTTCCTGATAATATCTGTTTATTCAAATTTCCCTTCTCCGTTCTCGTTCTTTTACTAACGATAATATTTATTATACAGGGTGTACCAATTTTGTGGCCCGACTTGAATTAGTTATAACTTCTTTAATTTTGGGCCAAATGTTAAAGTTCTTTCTTTTCCTGAATCCTCAGACATTCCCATTTTGTTTAATACCAAATGTGTATGTGGCAGGAGTACGGAAACCTCGCCATCTTCGCCGTGAAGAACAAAAGAGCTCAAAAAATGCCGAAAATCAGTCGTATCTTGTGAATGGTGGAAGATTGTTGTGGCAAACCTAGACCATAACAAAGTTCATAAGGTTTTTTTTGTGTATAGAATAGTGTGGAATCAAAAACCCTAAAGAAAATTCACTCCTGCGGGGCGAAACCCAGAGGGCACAGATATATAAAAACTTTGTTTAGGGCCCACAATTTTAACAACAGGCAGCCGCAGCGACATTTGTGGCCAGCACCGCATTTGCGGGCAGCCTGGGACATTTGCGGGCATGGTCGACATTTGCGGGCATCGACACTTGCGGGCAGCCGACATCTGCGGACAACCGGCACTTTAGGGTAGCAAGGTTGAGGTGGAAAAATTAATGCGATATTTTGGAAATTTTCCGACATTTGCGGCCAGCCGACATTAGATTTTTGTGTTGGAACTTTTGTACCGGTTGCCCGCAAATGTCGGAACGACCGACCTTCGAGGATTTTCTCACGAGGAACAATATGCATTTATTCAAATTTGATTGTACTTTCCTACGTGGGGCTTCCCTATAAAAGGCCTCCTTTCCACTGAATAAATCACTTGAATCGTGAGCTCTCGTCTTGTCTCGTTACTGGGCTGTCAGGCTTTTCGACAGCTCGTTTTGAAGAAAAATTCACTTTTTTATGGAAGTATTACCTTGTCTCAAATATTATTATACTATATCATAGAAAAAATTATTCAAAAATTTTGCAAAGTTTTACCAAAACCTGAGCGACATGACTTGGAGCTCTTCCTCTGTAATTTTATAGTTTGCCATTTTGCATGACCTACCTTCAGCGTATTTTACAATGTTCAGAAACTAAAAACCTGCATTGCAAAAAAAATTCTTGTATCCATCTGAAGAGTCAATTTACAACCAGGAAAAATTGTTTCCCAGAAATTCTACTCTTGAATAACACAAAAATCTTTAATACAATCAAAATAACTAGCTAAAAAGCCGTGTTGACGCAACCCCATTCTCCCCAAAAGTCGTTTCTCTAAATCTCCCCTTAAATCCAATCGGAGCGCCCGGATTAACCGCTGTTCAAATACCCTCCATTCACAACCAAAGTAGCACAAGTAAATCATCGGCTTTATATACGACTTTGTGGATGTTGTTTTAGACCACCTGCGTTCTTATCGCCGAAAAGGTTGTAAATTTGGGCAGAAAGTTATGAAAATATTTACACAAAAGTTGTAAATTCTAGCGCGAGATAAGCGAATGGAACGATGATAGGGTTTTTTGGAACGATGCTGAGATTGCAGCGTCGAGGAGTCTGTTGTAAAAGTGAATGTTAAAAGTGGAGTTGTGGTACTGCATAGTGTGTAACACTCAAAAATTGGAAGTGAATGGAACTTGGAATTCCCTTGAAAAATCATTGAAAAACCGCTGTAATCCATACGCTGTTCTCTAGAGAGAACTGCTATCCAAAACAACCACCGTAAAACAGAAAAATACCAGTCATCCGACTTTTTCTTCCTGGAGAGCGGTCGGGTTTTCCTGTCCACCCATGCCGTTGCGGGCACAAAGGGCTTCGCCTGGGACAGTAGCTGTTCATCGTAAAGGATTTCAATTTCCTACTGTCAACGTTAGGTCAACCCAAAACGAGGGAAAATTGGAGCAATTCAAGAAATCAGTGGAAATGAAAGTGATCAGCATGAATTGGACATCCCCCTATACACGACCGTTTGGCCGTTTCAAGATGAGATGGCTCGACGATGCTGGCAAGAATCATGGCCTCCGATGGAGCGATCTTACCCTGACCGGACAATGGAAACCATTATGATTCACTCCATGATTTTTTGCATGTGATTAGTGTAAATAAACTGAAACTGAAACCAGTCTGCAAGGACAATAATGAGCACAATGTCTCTTCGCCGATCGCATCGCTGAAGCGGAAAACCATTAGACTTTTCCGGATAAAACTCATCGTCAACTGTGATCTGTAGATCGTATTTTTGAGGACAAACTTGTATATATTTGGAAGCTTGGTTGACTCTTATTGGATTGTTCCGTTAGAGTATCTTTGAAAGGTTTTGAGCGTCTGTGAACTTATATCAGGACAACTCACAGACCAATCACCAAATTACATTGATTCAGACAAAAATTTTTATTACTGGTCCGCTCATAAAGTCTCTGGAGTGATCTTTGGCGTTTGCACTGTGCGAAAAAGGTCAGGATGCAAGCGACAGCCCAAAAAAGCCATTTACACGGTGCAAAAAGGCCTATTACACGGTGCAAAGTAAACTTTTGTTTTTTCTCAAAAATCGTGTCACCAATTCCAATTTTTTCGGACAGACTATCAACCTGTCGGGAAAATTGTGAGCGCTATGTCGCTGCGCCGATCATGTCGCTGAATTTAAAAAAATGATTTTGTTGTGATAAAATTTATTAAATTCATAATGCGATTTTCGATGCGGCAAAGTGCTCATTATTTTCCCGAAAAACTTTCGGCAAAGATCGTTAAATTTCGCTGTAAAAACTTCAAAGTCTATATGCCCCAAGAAATTTTAAGATTGCTGCTTTCGAACACAATGTTTTATCGTTTATATTAATAGAATTACTACAATATTTCTTCGTATTTTACAACAAATCTGATGGCTTTTGTATTTTACGTCGTCGCTGAATTGATCTTCATTGTTGAGCTTTTCGGCAGAGTTTTTGGCTGTTGCATTGTCGCGTAATTCCTTCCCAACGTTCGGTACTCTTGTTCCTGTTCGATGAATTGAGTCTGGAAATTGAAATACGGTATAAAAGATCTTTGATTTTGATAAAGACTGGGCAAAAAAATTTTTTCTTGGCACTTGGTTTTCTAACAGTAAGCAGTAAAAGCAGGGGTGGTCAGTGGGCCGGCCGTGCTCAAAAATGGAAATTTGACAAGCCGGCCCGGCCCGTCTAAATTACAATGCCAAATCGTTGGCATTCGTTGTTTTCGCGCCGGGAAAATTAATTGGTGTAGCTAGATCAACGCCTTCTTTGCCTAAGTTTAGATCCCAAGCTTGGGCGCAGTTCGCAGAGCTCTCTATCAACGGGCCTGCACGGGCGGGGCCGGGCCGATAATTAGACGAGCCGGGCCGCGGGCCGAAAATCGGAAAAATAGGGTCCGCTGACCACCCTGAGTAAAAGGGCCGATTCAAATGTAGATCAAAAAGTTACCTTTCTCCGCAGAGTTCCTCTTCGATTATCATCCATTAAAGTGCTACTCATCGTCGCCGTTGACAATTCCACGACCGGGTAGGAAGGCGAGAAACAGTAGGAAGAGATCAATGTTGACAAAGAGAAGGTTAAGAGTACTGAAAATAAAACATATTTTTTAAAGTAACTTTGAAAAATATCTTTTAAAAGCTGGTTTTATAGCTTGTGCTTTGCAGGGAAAGCCGTGCTATCCCCGAAGCCAAGAGAGTGCATGCAGTATGGAGAGGCATCAGAGAAAAGAACGCTTTTCAACTTTATCTTCGCCAAGATCGCGAAAAATCAAAGTTTTGTAGAAAAATATCGTCTCAAAATTTTGCAATTTTTTACTCACAAATTCCAATGGCCAAATCCCTGAACTGGAAGTTCAATTCCGGCGCAAAATACCAAATCGCGGCGTTAATCGACCACACATTCAGCGACAAAACAACAGCGTGGAAATCCTTGGTCGAGCAACGGAAAATGGCGCCGGCCACGGTGATCACTGTCAAAATCCCGACAAATGCGCAGGAACGGAGCATAACGTATTCACTCTAAAAAAATGTGCGAAAATAAAATTTATTTTTTAACAATAAAAACATTTTTTTGAGAATTGAAATATGCAAAAAAAATGAAATTTTTAAAATACGCAACTTCAATGTTTCTGAAATATATAATTTCTTTCGAAAAATTTTTTTAAAACCACAAAAAATACAAAAAAACATTTTTTTTTATTTTTTAAATTTCATAAATTCCTACCATTTCCCCTCCCAAACATCTCCACGTGAATTGAGCTTCATATTGAGCAAAAGACAGTGCTCTAATGTCATCAAATGCAGCCCATTGCGCAATCAAAAGGCATTGGGAAATGATCAGCATCACGGCTGACCAAAATTGAGTCCCCGCAGAGAATCCTCGATTGTTCCCCACAATGTTTCCCTTGATGGAAACGGTGTGGTAATTGAAACTTCCAATGACCTGAAAAATTTTTTAAAAGGATGTATGTTTATTAATTTATTGGTAAAATACGTTCGTCCAAAATTTTTGTTATTGCTCTTTTTTTAAACTTCAAGAATAAAAGCCCAATTTAGAAAGGCTTAAAAAACAAAAAATCTCGGCGCAAAAAACGCATAGTGAAATTTCTACAAACTTTATGTTCTGCAAAATCGTCGTTATATTTTCGCACAGTAATTTTTTTCGCAAGCAGCAGCTGAAAAATTGGTACAGTGGAGGAACCTGATCCAGTGGCAAAAAACGTACCATTTTGTATCCGGGAAGTATCAGAAATGTGGCAAAATGCTTCCTTCTCCAAGTGAAAAACACTTCGTTTTAAAGGTTGCGCCTTTCCACTCACGAAAAGAGCGTTTCCCCTCACGAGAAAGAGCTTTTGAAATCGGAGTTTTTTCACGTGGAGAGGGAAGCATTTTGCCACCTTTTCGATACCTCCCGGATGCAAAATGGTACGTTTTTTGCCAATGGATCAGTTTCCTCCACTGTAAGCGACTGCACCCTTTTTTCGACGAGGCGAAGCATTTTGCTGCGCCGACCCCCCGTTATTTAAAAAAAACCCATCTTACTCTAACTGTGATTGGCGCCACCACACTGATCAAACACACCGAATAAAGCCCCAATCTCAACGCACAAATCGGCTCCGATGGCTGAGTGATAAATAAAATCGAAGCCATTGAAGTCAAAGCGCAGCCAACGAACGATAAACTCGAGCAGATCCAAAACGGATCCGAATGCGAGGAAACCATTTTTTGATATGTGCACATCAAGCAGATAAACATCAAAACAACCGCAACGCATGAGAACACAAGAGTGTTGGTGTTGAAGATTGAGTCCATGAACTTGGGGAGCACCTTGGCGGTGCGACGAATCGCGCTGCTGCCCCAGCAGGAGGACCTGAAAGTTCAACTTTTTGGGGGGATTGAGGGTTTTGAGAAAGGGAGATTTTTTGGATGAAGAAGCGATTTTTTACGCGTGCCGGTCAACAGAAAATTGATGGAATACGCGACGTAGAGCAGGCAAAGGCCTAGAAAAGGGTTGTATGAGGTGTCTACAACGCCTGGAAAAAGCCGTTGGATGCTCGGCAGGAGACTTGGCAATGTCTTACAAAATGACTACGGTTACTATTCCTTTTTTGATTTCCCAAAGGTTTCCTGGCTCATTTCGACTCTTGTCCCACTTTGTATCGATTGAAATCATGTCACATAAGAATTTTTCGTGGGGTTTTCCGACCGAAAAAATACTTTTCTCATGGTTATGTCTTCTTTTGTCAATTTTGACACTTCGTTTTATACGAAACTCAAAAGCCGGAGACATTTTTCTTCTATTATATTTCGGGTTGCCATGCGCAGTGACATTTTCTGATTTCTTGAACAAATTTGATTTTTTAGATGACCTGACTTTGAGGAAAAAAATGACCGCACGTATTTTAAGAATAGGAACGAAACTTGCGAAAGAAAAATTTTTGACTATTTTTGAGACGCGAATATAATAGATCAAACTTACTTTGGGCATTGCGAGACGACTTGGACCCGGCTGCCATCCCGATCCTCCACAAACAAATTACTATGAGCCGTGTACGTTAATCCTCCTTCTGAATCCCAAATCCCTAACTCTTCATCGACCAACTGATCTTTGTTGAACACCAGCTTTGTCAGAATTAACTCAGCTTTTGCGAATCCATCCGAACTGTTCATCGAGAACGTTGTCTTGGCCAATGGATGGGAAAATGCGACTGATCGAATCAACATATTCAGTGTTGTGTATGGCTCGTTGAGACAGTCAGTCAACGTCTTCACTAACGCTCCAGGACAATTTCTTTCAACCAAAGTCCGCAGGGCATGGCCAATGGAATGGACGGCCAGAGAAGAGGGGGCGACGTTGAAGGCGGGGGAAATCGCGGATAAATCGAGTTTTTGTTGGGTTGGGCAGATTCTGAAGGTAAAATACGATATGAAATTTTGATTATGACATAAAAACGCCGCTGATAAGTATCACAAACAACAAAAATCTCACCTTGAAAACTGCTCTCCATAGTTCTGATCTCCGTTGAAATGGCATTTGAAGGCGGTGGTCCAGAACTGCCTCAGCCATTGCACCGGGAACGGGAGTTGCGGATAGTCGGCATTCAACTTATTGTAATAGCTGATGTTCCGATGCGGTTTGTAGGCCACAGAAATGAGTAATTGGTCAAATTTGGGCCATAAGTCGGCAAATAATCTTGACGTTGACCATCTCTCCGATTTTAGTGTAGCAAAAATAAAGCGTCCCGAGATGACCATCTCCTCATTCAGGGCTTCGATTAAATCCAACCAGGAGCGCTCCGTGTACAGGACGAGAACAACGCGCGCCTCGGATAACAAGAGTTGCTGGACCACCTTTTGTTGGGCCGAAACTCCCGCTACACTTGAGACGTTGAGAACTCGATCAATGCACATGTAACGCTCGAACGCAAGATTCGAGAGGTCTTGGACAAAGTCAGAGAAGGCTTCGTCATGAACGACGCTGACACAAGTCGACTTGGTTTGTTTTAGAAGGTCCATTATGGCTTCAATTGGCTCGGTGATGAAGGGTTGGACTGAGGACACTAGGGGCTGAAAATTGACACAATTTTTTCGTAAAGTTTAGTTCTAGTATTCATATTTTAGGGTGTGAAAAAGTATACAAAAGGCCAGAAAACATATCCTGCAACTTTCTTTTTTGACGCAATTTGAGGTGAATTCCGACGCATAAACGTTTTTCGGGCCATGCGATTTTTAATATGGCGTTGCGCCCATTACTTTTCCGACAAACTGATATTACATCTATTACCCTCCAAAAATCAACTATCCCAAAAAAGTCATACGATTACAAATTTTCTGCCCTCTACAGTTCAGAGGGGTTATATTTCAAGTATTATCTTTACGCTACATATCATTGCTTACCTCCTTTTTCCTTGGGAAGAAGGTTTTGACCACTGGAAGTTCCAAATGCTTCAAATATTTGTCCGTAATCGGGAAGTGTCCATTGTCATCGTCAATGACCGCGACAATGTCGTTTCTAAAAACAAGAGCAGTTTTATCATCCGACAACGTATTTTACAAAATTTTTAACCTCAAAAAATGTTAGTAAGTCTTCAAAAATCACTCTTTTTACAGTTAGAGACCTGATCCAGTGGCAAAAAACGTACCACTTTGCTTCCGGGAAGTATCAAAAATGTGGCAAAATGCTTCCCTCTCCAAGTGAAAAAAGACTTCGTTTTGAAGGTGGCGCTCTTTTTCCTCACAAAAAGCGGCGCGCGCTTTTGAAATCTGAGTTTTTTTCACTTGGAGAGGGAGGCATTTTGCCACATTTTTTGATACTTCCTGGATGCAAAATGGTACGCTTTTTGTAACTGGATTCGGTCCCTGCATAGATGTATCATGAAAATTTCACAAAGACAAAGGGGAAAAAATATGGTGGCATTCTACAGGATTACCCTTAATAATAAAGATGATTTGACACGCTCATTCGTATTTTACAAAACCTTTTTACCAGTATGTCTTGATTCTCACCTCTGAATATTGGTCCCAGTGAACAGCTCGTACAAATTGGCCAAGGTCCTCAAATCCGCTGAGCAAGTGTCCACCACGATCATTCCCAAATTCAGATCCGGCTCCAGGATCTTTTCATTAATCTCGTCCAGCGCGCTGAGCATTGCTCCCAAATGCACCATGCTGTTCACATCAATCGGGCCACATTCGTAGCCGCGCCCATTCAGACTCTCATGAATACTGAGCAAAACCAAAATGTATAGCCTGCGACTGGACCTCACGACCAAAATGTCATTCAAAAGGCGTTGCGAAGGGACGGTAACTCGCTTTGCAATCGGCACAGCTGGCGGTGCTGACACGTTGAGCAAGTTTTTGGAGTCCTCGATAGCGGAGGGACGATACGGAGCGTAGGGGAGGCTGTAGGATTCGGTGGTATTGGTCTTGTATTGACGCCAGTTGTAGATGGGAGTCGATGAGGAGAGATTGTAGACGTTGAGCGGGGTCTTGGGCTTTTCAATCACCTGAAAATGGGATGAAAATAGTGGAATAATTTGGCCGAGGGGTGATTGTTTTACAGGAAGATTTCAGAAAGTGTGAAGAATCTATTTTGATGAAATTTGGAACAAATATAGGCTAGGCTTTGCCAAAATACATAGAGCCAATTTCTACGCAAACCTCTGAGATTTTGAAGCCATAAAATACAAATACCAAAGTCATGTCTAAATATACTATTGCAGTGATACAGGTAAAATATTTCAGAATATGTGATATATAGACTACCCTGGGACCTGACAAAGCTTATTATATCTATTAAATAAGCCTTATCTTTCATTCCTCATGCAATAAAATGACGAATCGAGTCAAGCCAAAAAGTTTTCGACCTAAACTGTTGTTGACCCGAAAAGTCATAAAGATCGGCACCGCTGTGCAGATATATAAGCAAAATTTTCTTTTTAGGTGGCTAACGATAAATCCTAGTTTAAAATGACTTGAAATTTTAACGACACGCTTTTAAAATACGTCATCGCAATAGTCTTCCATATCTTACATCCACAATAAACACTGACATATCAAAGTACCAAGACCACAAAAAACATGTATAAAAGCTTGCCAATCAAACAAATTACCTTATCCAGAATCTGCGTCACATTTCGCATCGACTGCGCCTTGCTGCTCAACGCCTTGGCCAGCTGATCGATGACCTGGTGATAATCTTTCTGCTCCTCGGCATGGCCACAGATAAAAAATGGAAACAGAATCAACACTCCCAACTTCCGCATAAAACTTTTTTTCAAAGTAATTGAGAGCATAACAGTGGAGTTTCAGCGGCCGGTTAACTGTTGACCAGCTAATCGCCCCTCACCAATTCGTTTGTCGGCCGCGGATTGCGCGCGATTTCTAGGGCCTTAATCGGCTTCGCGCGCACATTCGGAACATGGACCGAGGCCGGCTGGGACATGAATTGCAGAATTTTTTTTGGGTTTTTGGAAGAGCTGGAGGTCAAGGTTAAACATGATGAAAAATCTCGAAAATTAATTAAATTTTCAAGTTAACTTTTGAGCTGTAATTAAAGAACAAGAAGTTAGGGTGCTTACCGAATGCGATAGGCGCGCGATAATCCGCTAAAATTGAGCTTACAAGACAATTCAAGCTTGTTTCTTTAATTCAAACATGTTTTTGAGATATGATGTCATTGAGACAAAGCCTGATGAGTTTTACAACGCAAGTAGTTTATAGTTTAAAAACGAAAAAATATGTATTAAAATAGAGAAACAATATGGCTTCCTGTCCGTAATTCCCCTCATCTGCTTCGATTGAAATTGGAGACGATCTGCAGGTGCAAAAGTGAACAAAACAGAAATGCTAGCAATGGCACTAGCACAAATTTTACTCGCCCCGCTGAAAACAAAAATTAAAGCCACTGGTTATGAAATTTTGAATATAACGCATCTCGGCTATCGAAAAAACTTTGGGCCATTCCAATTTTTAGTTTGTCGCGAAAATAATGAGTACTCTGTCGCATCGAAAGTTGGATCGCCTCCATAAAAATGAATGGTGTCGCGGCAAAATCAAATTGCTTTTCCTTTGTTGATAAGATCGGCGCAACCACATTATTCTCATTATTTTCCCGACAGACTGATATTCCGAAATTTCGTTGACTACACTAAACAAACGAGAGTGAGAAATTGGTGGCATACTGTTTTTTTCAGCTGAATTCAATCATAGTTTGCAAAAAAAGTGACGAAAAGGTGCAATAATTCCCGGAAAGTCTGTCGGGAAAATAATATGGATTTGTCGCGCCTTGGAATCTCCCAGCATCGATTTGCGACGAATTTGGCGCGTAATGAGGCTATGCATTTTACTGTGGCAAGTCAGTATGTCGGGAAAATAATGAGGATTCCGTCGCATCAAAACCCGCATCACCGCCGAGAAAATGAATTATGTCGCGGCAAAAGCTATTTTTTATCACCTCAGCAACTTCAATGGCACAACGACATTACGCGTATTATTTTCCCGACAGACTGATAAGTCGTATGAAATTCAAATCATAAATTATAGTATTTCTTAAGATTTTTTATCCAGCTCTGAATCAATCACAAAGTGCTTGGTTAATTAATATGTTTTCAACTTTTAATTGCCACTTTATTTTCGACCTTTCTCCAAGTCCCTTCCGCCAACGCATTTCCCTTTTCCGTCAACCATAAGTAAGCATGTTGATTTTTTGTTTTTTCGAAAAATTACTCCGTCACAACATTGTAATAGTCGCGAAAAAGGAAGGAAGATTGTTCGGCAAATCGGCGGCGTCAATTTTTTCATAAAATAAGTTTTTCCATTTATGGAAAACTGAGAAGAGTTGTTCACGGAACAAAACTTTGAGTGGGCTCTTCTTGGTATAGTAAGTTTGTTATGAACGTTTGGGGGGACGTTCATAACATCTCCGACCTTCAATAGGGGCAAAATGATTTTAAAGGGATCAATTGGGTCTTGCTTCAATTGTTTGTTACTTTACTTGTAAATTGAGTGGGGGTTTATAGAGATTACTTTGGTTTTACTGTATGATATATACATAGGCTTATTTTTTGACAATTTGAAAAAGAATTGTCAAAATAATAGGTCGATTTTTGACAGTCGTATTTGTAAGCGTTGGATCCGTAGGAGACATCTGGGCAAAGAGGACATCCTGGGGAAGAGTAAAGATTGAGAAAAAAATGGTATCATAAAGGGAGACCAAGGCTGACTTTTAAGAATGATTTTTTCTGGCTTGCAAAAAATGCTATGATAACAGGGGCCAAGGCGGGGTTTTTTCAAACGATTATGCCCTTTTCGCCAGGGCACCCTCTTCGCCAAGGTGCCCTCTTTGCCCAGGTGTCTTCTTCGTCAAGTGTCCTTATGTGCCCTCTTCGAACCAAATCATTTTTCACAGAACACAAAATTACATTACAATTTCCCAAGATATGTGCACACACAGTTCTAAGCTAGCGCTTTGCAGTCCCCATCACAATTTTCAAGCCGTAAGCAGCCATAACTTTGACATGCTCTTGAAATTTCTCGCATTGCCAAAAAATTCTCCTCCCATAGCCCTCTGTTACTAGCCTAGTAGGATTTTAGGATAATGAAAGCCGTTCTGTTTACTTATCAATTAAAAAAGGCGATATAAAACGAAATTTATAGCCTGCGTCATCCTATTGAACGCGTTCGAAGAAAACTTTCATTTAATAGGCGGCAAAAAACGGGTCATTCAGCGTTCCAACTGCTTTTAAGGGCAGTTACAAGGTTTCTATGATCAATAGATCATATCTTTATTTGTCAAAAAACATATCTTTTTCCTAAACCTCGTTGATACCTGAATTGCATACTTTTTATTTTACATAGAGCTCATCACGTACACCGCGTTGCAACTCACCCTTTGACTCACATTTTTCCCCTCTGACCCAAACTTTATTAACAGAATGAAGACCCCCTTCATTCTCAGCTTACTGTTCATCACCGCCTCTTCGCAAGGCCTGCTGGATGGCCTTGGGAAGCTGCTGAACCTCGGCGGAGGCGATATGCAAGGCCCTCCGCCACCAGGAAGTCCTGGTCGTCATCATCACGGAGGCGGTGATCAATGGGGACCTCAAGGAGGCCCTGGGGGTTGGGGACCACCTCCAGGAGGGCCTCCACCCGGCCCTGGCGGCTGGGGAGGGCCGCCACCCGGTCAGTTTGGCGGCCAGCCCGGCGGTGGTTTCGGTGGACCACCTCCTGGTGGTCAAAACCCTGGAGTCTTGAATATTAACGGGCTGTTAGGAAATGTGATGAACGAAGTTGGAAGAGTGGTCCAGACTGGGCATTTCGACTTACGCTCGGCTTTACAGCATATTACCGAGGGCACTGGATTGGAGGGGATTTATGAGAAGTTAAGTTTGGCCGGAAAGAACTTCTTGGCACCGAAACCTGTGGAACGAGGAATTCCGCCGCACGTTTTGAGGAGAATTATTCGGTTCTGCTCTAGACCTGAGAATCAAGGACATCCGAAATGCCAGTAAGTAAATCCGCAGTGGAAAAACGCCTGATAACTGTAATCTACATAAATTTTAGTCGATTGTTTGCCAATTTTTTTGGCCAAAGAAATTTTTTGGGTCTTCAGGAAGACTAGCGCTGATTAATTGATAAATAACTTGGGAAATAATGGGCCAAATTTTACAAAAGTTATATTTTTTAACAAAAATGTTTCGTGTGTCTAGACACACAAAAGATTTTCGATAAAACCCCCTCCGGACATATACAAAAACAACTTCTCAATAAAATCTTCCTGATAAACTCATTTCAGAGGTCATCCGGAATGGCAGTCCGATGACACCTTGCCCGAAGGGCCAGGTCAATTCAGACTAGACTCAATTAACGATGTGTTCGACCTTCTCAACTTCCAGCTGCCCCCGCTTCCGCAGTTGGCGCAGCAAAACATTTTTGCCAATGTTCCGGAGAACCTCAAATCCTTGGCGCCACAGCCGACCCACAAGCTGAACAATGCGCAGAAACAGTCGATTTTGAATAAGTGTGCGGGCGGAAAATGTTTGAAACAACCGGTCGATGCGTTGAATCGAAGAGCGTCGATTGCTGAACATGAGGCTTCAATTCGAAGACTGCTGAGTCCTGGAAGGTGAGCAGAAAGGCAGTGTACTATACAATACAGGGGTAGACCTGATCCAGTAGCAAAAAACGTGCCGTTTTGCATCCGGGAATTATCGAAAAAATGCAGCAAAATACATCCCCCTCCAAGTGAAAAAACTCCGATTTCAAAATCCCGCCCGCTCTTTTTGTGAGGGAAAGGGCGCGCTCAAAACGGTGTTTTTTAGTTGGAGTGGGATGGATGCATTTTGATACATTTTTGGATACTTCCCAGACGCAAAATGATACGGTTTTTGCCACTGGATCAGACCGTCGCTGTACACATTCATAATGGAACCATTTCCATTATGAATGGAAATGGTTCCAACGTCCCTCTTCGACCTCTCGTACAACAAAACCTGTCTATAACAAATAATTTCATAGGTTCCAAAGCTAATTTTTAGATCAAAATGAAACTCCTTGCAACAAAATTTTTCTATAACAAAACAAACATTTTTGGTTCTTTACAATTAGTAATACAGAGGTTTGGTTTTGTATTGAGAGAGAGAGAGAGTACTGGAAACAAGGAGGGTCGGCAAGACGAAAAACTTGTTTTTAAACTATCTTCATTGATTTTACTTGATAAAAAAAATTATTTTTTTGAGCGATATTGTTCTTATCACCAATACAGACCCTAAAATTCTGAAACAAAAAGTTGACAAAAGTATCCGCAAAAATATTGCGGATTTGGGCCTTGAAGAGGCATTTCGCTGCAACAAATCCACATTATTTTGTACAGAGAGAGAGAGAGAGTACTGGAAATACTGGTACACGTAACTTTTACACTGTTTTTCCAAAATTCGGAGAAACAATTTCTCAATTTTTTGCTTAAAATAAGCCGTCTTCAATGTTTAACTCATTCCAGGTCCCAATCGGACATTGACAAGGACATTGAGACCCGGTTCGCTCGAACTCATCAACTCAAAAAGGCGATTATGCAAAAGTCGGGTCTTGGCAATGAAGTTGAGCCTCTGAACGACGGAGTCTTCCAAAACGACATGTTGCTCACCACCGAGCAGGCCGAGGCGATGATAAATGCCGTCAACAACGACGACCCCGGAACCGTGCCAGTTATGCACAGTGCGGGGAAGCGAAAAAAGCGCTCATCGCTGTTCTTTGAAGAACAGATGGTCAAAAAGTGGCCTGGAACTGTTCCCTATGTCTTCGACAGTAGCTTAAGTGCATCAGAGCAGGCCACCGTGCAGAGTGCTATTAGCGAAATTCAGTCAAAAACTTGCATCAGATTCCAAAAATTGGCAGCCAGACCTAGTGGAGCGCATATTTTTTATGTGAAATATGACTCAAATGCCTTGTAAGTTGTAAATTTTGCAGTTTGAATGAGTGTAAAATACGTGATGACACACATGTCACTTTCAGCTGTGGTTTGAGCAACATTGGACTAAACAACCTTGGAAATCCCGTTTACTTGACGTTTGCATGTACTGGAGTGAGTTTTATAATAGGTATCGATTCCTGTGCCCATTATTTTTGCGAAATTTCGCAATTTTTGCAGCGACGCGCCTAGGCTGCACAGCGTAAATTAGCAGGACTTTTGCCGGAGTAATTCATTCAAGATTTAATAAAAATTCAATTTTTTTTCATAAATATATCGATTTGGCCTAAAGCCCAAATTTTCTTTTCCAAATATCACTTTATTCAACTTTTTACGGCAAAAAAATTTTGTAAAATACGAAGTCTTTAATCCTACCTTACAAGGGAAGTACCCCAGGTGCGACGCTCAGATTTTCTTTAAATTTTGCACAAACCCGCTTTGCGAGCGCCGCTGAGAATTTGGAATCCAAAAAAAATCAAGAACGACCTTTGCAGCCGAGAGAGTACGCCTAACGCGGAGAGCGTTTAGAGAGAAAAACACTTTTTGATCATAACTTTGCTAGTTTCGTGCGGAAAAAAATGATTTTTTGTGGAAACATTACTCTCTATAGTGGAAATAGGCATAAAACTTTTCGCGCTGAAATTCGGCAAAAAAAATAAAAATTTTCGCCGACTTTCGATCTAAAAATCTCGGTTGTTTCTGCAAACCGCGAGCTAGGAGTCTCGCATATATTTTAAAAAAATATATTCTAAATTTGTGCCAAGTTTCATCAAAACCTGAGCGTCGCACTTGGGGTACTTCCCCTGTAAACTAAACACTTTCTATTTTCCCCTAAAAACCCCACTTTTTCAGCAAAACGCCAAAGGCGTTGCCATCCACGAGACTCTTCATGCTCTCGGCTTGGCTCACGAGCATGTCCGCTCCGACCGAGATGACCACATTACCGTCAATTGGGACAATGTGGACCCCCAGAACTATCAATTCTTCGGAGTTAATGATGCCAAATTGTTCTCCAGTTACGGAGTTACGTATGACTACGGATCAATTATGCATTATGCAAACACTATCGCGGGAAAGCAATATGGCGCTATCACAATGACTGCGCTCAGGGACAACGGCCGAAATGGGCCGTTGATGGGACAGAGAAACGGGCTGAGTCAACGGGACGTCGAGGTTTTGAATAAAATGTATTGTAAACCAGCGAGTAAGTCGAATTTTTTAACGACTCTAAGCACAGGGTGGTTCAGCCGGAGCTTTCAACCTTATTTTAAGTATTTCTCCGCTAATAATGCACCAATTTCTATACGATTTATATCAAATTGAAGCTGAGGCACCTCGTTTTTTCTTTATCGAATATGAAGGGCGCAAGTTCACGGAGACCCCCGTACTGACCTTTGACATTTTCACTCCAAATTTCGAGCCCAAAATCGTTGAAATTTGCGAGGGAAAGGTCTGAACTTCCCCCCAGCGTTCGGGAGAATGACTAGTACAGGTCGATAGAGCAGGTCGACTTTGGTATAAAAAGGCATTTTCCAGCTGAAAAATAAGTACGGCCGACGAAATAATGAAAAAAAATCACTGGACGCAACTTTTGGTCGATTTTTCGTCGACCGTATTTATTTTGCAGCTGGAAAATGCCTTTTTTACCCAAGTCGACCTGCTCTATCCACCTGTACTAGACATTTTCCCGAACGCTGGGGAAAGTTCAGACCATTCCCTCGCAAGTTTCAACGATTTTGGGCTCGAAATTTGGAGTGAAAATGTCAAAGGTCAGTACGGGGGTCTCCGTGAACTTGCGCCCTTCATATTCGATAAAGAAAAAACGAGGTGCCTCAGCTTCAATTTGATATAAATCGTATAGAAATTGGTGCATTATTAGCGGAGAAATACTTAAAATAAGGTTGGAAGCTCCGACTGAACTGCCCTGTAAATATCCTTTAAACGGTCTAATAGCCATTTGCAATAGTCTTCGTCAAAATCAAAGCTCAAAATTCATTCAGTTTATCAATTTTACCTAGTATAATATAATTTCAAAAAAATTTCAGCCTGTAAAGACGACAACGTTTACTGTGGAATCTGGGCCAACCGCGGAAAATGCAGCAACGCTCCGACTGCTTGGATCTTCCAACATTGCAAAAAATCGTGCAATTATTGCTAAACCCGACGACCTTCTACCAAGTAGATCAAAATTGTAAACTGTTTGCGAGTTCTGGAACTTTTTATATACACTTCAATAGACTTATACCGAGATCAATGAGGTTGACAGACAAAAATCTCAAAGAATCAGAGTAAAAATGAGATTTTAGCAACTAAAATACAAAGTAATATCAAGAACAATATAAAAAAGTTTCAAAATCTCACTTTAATCATTCTTTGACTTTCTTTTTCGTTTCTTCGGCAATTCCACAGCAGCGACCTTCTCTACCAATAGCGTGCAACGCCTGGGAGCTCTTCTGGCAAGCCGAATACCAACTGGAGTGGTTGGGGAAGGCATTGTTGGCATTTCCAGATGCTCAATCTCGCTCAATGGAGGCCCAAAAGATGTGTTGGCCTATAATTTGACTTTGTGAAACAAGAAATTTGGGTATGAACACTTAGGTCAGAAAAACATTTTTTAGCAGGTACCTAAAGTAATGAAATGTTAAAATGAGAGACGAAAGCCTTCTGAACTTTTGAATTTTAATGTCTTTTAGGTGGAGAAACCTAGTACAAGGTATTAAGCAAAATTTCCGCGTCCGTCAAAAACACCTTCTTTCTATCTGAAATTCAATGACCTTCCACTGGGCATCAAGTGCAATATAATTTCCTCTCTAAAAACCAAAACAACAAAAATAAAAATAATCTTACATCAACACTCTCTTCCAAATTGTCCTTCATAACGCCAGACACATCAATTTTCCCTCGGAACGGGACCACCGACTCCTCATCAAGGATATGCCGTGTTTCCTCCACTGATTTCCTGACGCTGGTCCCTCTCATCACGCCTTTCCGTGGCTCCATGTCAGTCTTGCTCGGCATTTTACTGATTTACAACTGGATTCAACAAAAAACTCCGAAATTAGCCGATTTTATTTTCGAAACGAGAAAATTCTCCAAAAAGACATTTTATACGATGAAAGGTGTTCGTGGAAGTCTGAAAGCCTTTGAATTCGACCGAAATTTAGATTGGAAAGTACAAGGATATTGAGAAACTTGATAAATAACTGAGTACGCTAAATTCTAACTTATTATTTTTGGTTTGCACTATGATTTTTAATCTTTGAAATTTGGCGAATGGGTAATATAAAAAGCATGCCCTTTGAGGTGAGGGAGGTAAAACTACGAGCTGTTTTGAATTTGATGTGTCAATTAACTTATTTTGTTTGTTATTTCCATCGGGTTTTGTACAAACACGCAATTTTGAGCGAGAAATTTTAAAAATTATGTTTTTGCACTGTGCAATGGGAAGACAATCAAAAAATGTTGATTTTCCTGACTTTCTAGTACTTCGAGACTATGAATCGTCTTGGAATGTCATAAAAAATACAAATCATAGGTCAAATCCAAGTGGTTTGCCTTCAAACCCCCATAAAAATCTCCGTTTTCCCCCATTCTTAGGTAATAGTTGGTCAAACTCCCTCCATTTAGCCAATTTCTGATCTGACTAACTGAAACTCATTACATTTTTGACTTGAAAAACAAGTCAAACCACCGAATTTTGCAATAACTCAATCTGTTGACTCATTTTCGATGTTGTAATTTTCTTTGACTAACGTGAAAAACCGTCCTTTTACAAAATAACACACCCAGATTGATTGGAAAGACCGTTTCAGTGGTGTTTTTTTTGCTCGGAACTGGCGAGGTTATTAATTTGCACTGGAAGTGGTTTCGGTTTTTGGGCGAGAATTTCACGTCCTTTCTGATTGTTTCAAGGCTTTTTGGGGTTTACAGAAAAAATATTTGTCTTTTGATGACTATTTTTTCATGAAATTTGGGGGGAAATTGAGCGAGATTTTTAACGCGCGCCTTGTAGAAATTGCAGAGATTTTTAATGAAAAAGGAAATACTTTACAACGATATTTTGTGCAAAAAACCTCTCTATAACGAACAATTTTACATAGCGTAAGACTAAATTTATTCTTCTTCTATCCAAAATGAAACTCCATGCAACAAAATCTCTCTATAACGAATAAATTTTTCGGCCTTTAAAATTCTGTTATTGGTTGTACAGAGTCTTGAACGTGTATTCCGAGAGAGTATTAAAAACCGGGATTGTCCGCAAGCCGCAAAAAGGCGTTTTGATACAACAGTGGCGGTCCTGATCCAGTGGACAAAAATGTTCAATTTTGTATCTGGGAAGTATCAAAAATGCAGCAAAATGCCTCCCTCTATAAACGAGAAAACTCCATTTTCAAAAGCGCACCTCTTTTTATAAGGGAAAGGGTCTTCAAAACGGATTTTTTTTAGTTGGAGAGGGAGGTATTTTGCCGCGCTTTTGATACTTCCCGGATGCAAAATGGAGCGTTTTTTGCCATTGGATCAGGTCCGCCACTATTGAATTGTCATATATTTCGTTTGGTAAAAAATAATTTTTGATGGCGATATTGCTCTTCTTATCTTCTTAGCAGACTGTAAATCCCGTCTTCTATTATATTATCAACATCGATTTTTTCGAAAAAAAGGAGTTAATAAACCAAATTTTTTTCTTTCGAATATTTAAAAGTGTTTATATGGCGGTGTTGTTCGTATTTTACCATTTTAAAAATCAACTTTTTTGTATTGATTGCTCTTTCAGGGTTACAAATAAAATGCACTTCATAAGCATTTCTCTCGTTGCATTTGTCGCATGGGCTTCACATGGAACACTTGTTGTAAGGAAGAAGTTTCAAAAAAATTGCTGGGCTCTTTCTCCCTTTTTTCAACCCATTTTTTGGGCTTTTCAGAGCGCCAGTCCTCCCGGTCCCAATCACTACGAAGACTACATTCCCCCAGATTTCAATCAAGGGCGGTTCGAGAGACATGGAGGATTCAGCAATGTCCCCAGTCCCCCACATTTACCATGCCCTCCAAAAGTACAAAGTCAATCATGGGGGAATAGTTGGTCGACAAGTTGGAGTAGCAGCAGTGATGGTAAGGAGGGTTATCTTAGAGGGTCAGTGGAGCCATTTGGCAAGAAAAATTTAATGTTTATTTCTATATAATACTGTAGAGTAATGACTCTATAAAAAATATTTTTTTTTTCTGGCCAAATGGACAAAAATACGGCTTGAAAGTGTCTTTTCTGTGACTGCATGTCTCGTCCAAAATTTCAAAGTCAACTCTAACCAAAATACCGAAAAAATCCGACATTTCTTCGTGATTTTCAACCGAAAAAATTCGAAATTTCTCAAGCATTTTCAACCGAAAAACACTGGTTTTCGGGACTAAAAGGGACCTACTTCAAAACGTCGTAGCAACCTCAGTTTCCACTTTAAAATCATGTTTTTTCATAGACAAAAAAAATGTGGCTTAAAAATACATATTCCAAGAACGAACTCTCTGCGCCGTCTCCGCCGAAAGTTATAGCCTCCGACTTTCCTTCACGTCTCTTGAAAGACCCTGTACAGGGTGTTTCAAGAAATTTGGAACAAATGACTTGCTTATATCTTTTTGTTCTTTGAAGCTATCAACGAATTTCTTTTTGCTTCTAAAAATTGACAGCGTGCGTTTTTAGAATCTCAAAAAAATTTTTTTTTCGTCGGCGGAGGGCCCATTTCTCGGCGGAGAAAATTAGGGCCTTTTTTAAAAATCACAGCGTATTACGTGGCGGAAACGCCGTTGCAACGGCTGAAATCAAGTTTACGTAATACCTCCGTCGATTTTACGGTATGCATTTTTTTGTTTTCGATTTTACGCGCACCGCGGAGGCGCGGCGGAGACTTCAGATTCTCCCGGTTCGGCCCGGAAAATTTTTGTATTGGGTTGGAAAGAAAGAAAGCGGGAAATGAAAGGAAAATTATGGCAAATTTTCGCAAAATGTAAAGAAAAATTTAGCAAAACCTAGGTACATAAGGTAATTCTGTCGAAAAAGCTTATTTTTGCCTTTTATCCGGGCAATACTCAGATTTCAAAAAAACCGGGCCGGAAAATTTTGCAAGGCCCGGCCCGGAGCCATGCTTACTGTAGATGCTTATAAGGCCTTTCAAAAACTATCTTTCAGGCTGCAATAACCAATCACCAGTCCCTCCACCACCCGCTCCACTTCCTCGTCCCCACTCCACCTACTCTCATCCTCCTCCACCGCCTCCGGAACCAGAGCCGGAGCCTCGTTTTTACCGACCTCCACAATACAGCCGACCTCTCCCTTCGATCCCCGACCCGCTTCCAGAGCCACAGCCGGAGCCGATTCCTCGGCGTCGGTTTGATTTGGGGAAGATACGAAGGGAAGAGATTGAAGGTCTATGGACAGAGTTCTCACCAGCTTCGAGAAATTTTCTGGCTCCGGATTCAGTCAGAAGCGGGATTCCTCCGCATTGTGTGAAGAGAATTGTGAGATATTGTTCGAGGAATCCGGAGAGCCTTAGATGCAGGTAAGTAATTCAACAAAAAAGTTGTTTCAAAACAAAAAATCAGCTGTCGGGAAAATAATGAGTCGTCGTTGAAGCGAAAAGCAATTTTATTTTGACGCGACACAATTCATTTTCTCGGCGGCGATGCTATTTATTTTTGATGCGACAGAGTGCTCATTATTTTCCCGACAGTCTAATAAACTCGTCAATACCTCGGCCGTCACTGCCGCTGCTTTGGCTCCCGCCGGTAGTATCTCTATGTATACGATATATAGCAAGGCTAAAGAAACTTATTCGTAGCGGAAAGGTTTCGTTGAATGGAGCTTCAATTTGGCCTGAAATTGAAAACTGTGACCTCAGAAATAAGAATCTGTCTGGAAAATAATGTGGATTTGTCGCAGCAAAAAGTCTCGGTTTGTCGCCAAATTTGCACCAAATTTCCGGCCCAGCATCGCTTAGCCGTCGCAAAGCGATGATGGGCGATTCCAAGGCGTTAAGAATCCACATTATTTCCCCGACAAACTGATATAATATTTCTTTTTTAGACAGGTTTTGTTGTATGGGAGTATGCTTTACAGAGATTCCACTGCGTAAATATCAGTATGTCGGAAAAATAATGGGCACTCTGTCGCATCGAAAATGGCATCGCCGCAGAGAAAATGAATTGTTTCGTGGCAAAAACAGATCGCTTTTCACTTCAGCGAGGCGATCGGCGCAGCGACATGCGCTCACTATTTTCCCGACAGACGGATATGACTTTTCTTGGCCGCAAGAAGGTCTTGAAAACTCACTTTTCAATTTTTATAATGTTTTAGAGGGCATTCCGAATGGATTTCCGATGACATTGTGCCCGATCCCCCATCACACGGAAGCGTTTTCATTGAAGACGAAAACGAGATTTTTTCTCTCTACAACTTCACTGCATCTTCGCCTCCAAGATTACCTCGAGACGACGTTCTCACCAACGTTCCTTCCGATTTACGCGCCGAAGTTTCCGATGGTTCTGTCTATAATCTAAAGCCAGAAGAACGAAGTCAAATAAATGCGGCATGTTCGTATGGAGCTGGTTGTTTGCATCAGCCGAAAAGCGCGTTGTTTGATCGCTCGGATATTGCGGAGCATCACTCCACAGTTTTGAGATTTTTGAATAGTGGAGTTGGCAAGGAGATTGATAAGAATGTGGAGACGCAATTTCTGAGGACATACGAACTGAAGAAGGCGATTATGAGCAAGTTGGGATTGGATGGAAAGGTGGGGAAGAGTTTGATTGCTATTGTCATATCAGTCTGTCGGGAAAATAATGTGGTTTTGGCACAGTAAAATGTCTCGCTTCGTCGCAATTGCGCGCCAAATCAAGAGTCGTGACTGTCCGTTGAAAAGCGATAATGGTCGATTCCATGTCGCGACGAATCCACATTATTTTCCCGACAGACTGATACTTACAATTAGAGAGAAATACTTTAAGAACACTTGGCTCGATAGGTCAAGTGTTTCTCTCTAGTATTTTTTGCACAGTAAAAATCCGTCATCAAAGTGATGATGGGCGATTCAATGGTGCGACGAATCCACATTATTTTCCCAACAGACTCAAACATATCAATACAGGGTGGTTCAGCCGGAGCTTCCATCCTTATTTCAAGTATTTCTCCGCCGATAATGCACCAATTTTTATAAAATTAAGATCGAATTGAAGCTGAGGTTCCCCATTTTTTGTCCACCAAATATGACAGGCCCAAGTTCAAGGATACCCCCGTACTGACCTGTGACATTTTCATTCCAAATTTTAGAGCCCGAAATCGGTGAAACTTAGAAAATTTTTGCAATGATTTTCAATTAAGTTCTCGTGCTTGGAAAATATTCGAGTCTTTGGCAAAATATGACATTCAGAAGTTGCTGAAAAAATTGACGGCAGTCAATGGAGCACTCCTAGTTAATCTTGAAGGCATTGCAGTGGTTCAAAGGTCCTCCCTGATAGGAGTTCAATGGAGTCCCCGAAAGCCACACCAAAGTCCCAAATATCCCAGCGGAACTATCCAAAGGAATAAAAGAACGCCAATAATAAATATAAACCCGTTTATCCAGAGGAAGGGTCGATACAATCACGTAAATGTCAAAATAGGTAAAACCAAGTGTCGGCTGGCGGAACTATCCTTACCAGCCGTTCGTCAACCTGTCCTATTGTCCGAATCCAACCGACCGCCACTCGGTTCTCCGGATCCTCCTCTTCTGACTGAATTCCATTCTCTCACGTTCCTTGACTTTCCAACGGTGCGTTAGGTTTCGCGGCGGGACCCAGCCCGAGGTTCGGTGCGGTCCTGCACCATTCGCCCCCTAACCAAGTTGGCATCGTCCCCGATGTCAGTGAAGTCGATGCGCCGTTGGGGAAGTTGAGTGGTTTCTCCTGGGGCTTATCCGATCTGGTTTGGTATTGGTGAAATGGCATGAAGTGAGCTTTGTCCGGAAGGGAACGTAGTCGAAATCTGAAAGTAAAAGTGATTAAAAGTGAATAAAAGTCCCTAAAAATCCCTAAAATATCCTAAATAACCCCCAAGCTCCCCCCTAAACATCTGAAGTCGTCCTCGACTTCAAAAAGTAAGTTCCGGGTTTTCAGGATATTTTATGGGATCCTGAAACTTATCTAAAAATAAGGTACGAGTAGATGTTTTACCGGAACAAAATAAGTAAATAGTGAATTTACGAATCAAAAATTGAAATACCTTTAAAATTATACAAGATACTACAACAAAATACGGTATTTTCACACTAAGATAGCAATTTACGATCAAGTTAGCCGCACGGATGACGTAAACCTCCGAAAATTTAAATTTGGTTCCTTTTCCTTCAATTCGCGAGGAATACGACCATTCTATCGAGTTGTTCTTGTCGAAATCACCATTGAAACTGTGATTTTCCTCCAAGAACTTAAATTTGCAGCCTTTAGCAGGGAGAAATGACTTCAGAAACATATTATCATATAGGCAATTACCAGGAATTTGAATATTTTGATCAACCCTTGGCACAATTTTTGCGGAAAGTTCATTTCTCTTCTCAAAACTCTCGAAAGTATCTTCCTTCGGGATGTCTACATTGACTTTTGGGTCTTTGCTCTCAAGGGCCGTAGTATTAAACCATTTTTCGTATACTGAATTATCTAGGATCTCCTCAAAACTCGGAATTATCCCCTTCTTCTCGTGTTTCCAACTCATAAACGCAGATTTTGACAACTCCAATGTGTAGTCTGTCTGTGGGTGAACTTTTGCGGGTAGACATGAAATCTCGGGCTCAGCGGATAATGTCTCGAGATCTCCGGATTCGAGTTCATCGTTACGTGTACTCGATTCCTCAAGATTTGAGCATGTAAAAGGTTCCTGACGTGATTTCAGTTCGGGGTTTTCTCTCAGACTCTCAATTTCGTTTATCGTGCAGTTTGCCGTAATTTTAACTTCAGAATTCTCCTGTAGTTCTTGCTCCACTGGACCAGCTGAGATGATTTGCGGAACGCTTGAAGATCCTCTATTCGCTTTATAATTTACCCGAGCTGCTAATGCCTTCTCTCTGAGCTGCTTCAAATAATCCTTCCGTTTGTGACAATCCTTCTCCAAATGTTCTCCTCCATCACAATATTGACAAAATAATCGCGCTTTAAAACTGCTGATGGATTCACCCGACTCTGGCTTGCGCGAATTTATTGCAGGCCGGGTAGGTGAAAATCCTGTAGCTGGTTTGCAATTGGACCTACGTTATCAACCGTTGGTTGAGGAATTGGTCGATTATTTTGAGACGGACCGTTCCAAAAGGCACTTAGATGCGCTGGAGCATGACTGTTTAAGAAATTCTCAGCTTCAAATGATGGATTTTGCTGGGGTTGATACCAGTTTCCTTTGTTGTATTCATACACATTGGTGGCAATCTTAACCATCTCTTCGAAGGGGAGGTTTTTATGCAATTCCGCGGCAAGTGCGATGCTAGCTTCTCTATGATTTAATCCAGCCATAAATTTCGAGATCATATGTTTTTCGAGTATGTGTTTGGGTGCGCCAGCAAATGCTCTGATAGTGATGTCGCTTATCTGATCAGCATATTCGCGGATAGACATATTGTTCTCACGGATGAAAGGTTTGAGATAAATCGAAGCCCAGTCCTTATGATCTGCTGCTCTACTTTTCAGCTCATTCTCAAATTCAGCTAGATTTTGATCGAAGTCACTACTCTCCGAAGCCATGCTCGTGTGTTCCCACAACCAAGCTGCTTTTCCCGCTACTTTGGCTTCAAGAAGATCCCTCCTTTCTTGCGTGGTGTGATTTACAGTCCCCGCGCGAAATTTGTAGAAAAAACTGACTACTTCGCTTTGTTTCTCTTTCCCCGTCAACGTTGGTAGTCGCATCTCTATAAACATAAGATCCGCGACGGATCCCGCGCTTCTAGCCGGCGGATTCTCTAGGCGCGGCGCAAAAGAAATACTCTCGCTCTGCGGTTGCTTTACTTCGCTTTGCGCTAATAAAGTTTGAACAGATTGAGATAACTCTTCTATTTTCTTTCTATCTTCCTCAGCTTGTTTTTGTACCTCGATCAAGGTCTTATCAGATTTTTCCCGCTGCTCCTTCATGAAGCGCAATATGTCTCCCAAGACTTCTTTACTACCCTCGCTGCTGTCCCCTTGCTCCATTTTTTTCTAAACAACAAGGCACTAATTCAAAAAGAACTCACTTCACTTCCACTTGTCGAGGTTCTGGGCCGGAATTGTGGTTCTTGGCAACTCGAGTCTCCGATGCTGCAAAGAGTAGAATTAGATCAATGGATTCGCGGAAATCACGAATGCAATCACGCAACTTATATACGAACACGCACTACACGAAACTCTTGACAAGACAACACAAAGTTTCAAAGCAAATACAATTTTCAAAAACTTTCTCAAACAATTCCGATTTGATACCTAAAACAATATCAAATCACAAAATTCTCGCAACTTCGCAAATTATTTTCGAGAAAAATTCGTTTCTCGTTGCTCAAAAGGTCTCAATACAGCTCTTCTATCTTGAATCTGTTGATGGATTCAAGTTTGACAAAAGGTCCGATATTATACTTGCTACGGACAGGTCCAGTCGTTACCCAGACGACAACTTGGCTAAGGAGTTCAATGTTACTCTTGCCAAAACAGGTTCCGGTATTTATTCAGACGGAAGCTGTCTCTCAATTCTGCTCTTATCTTATTTCGAGACAGAATTGCTTGTGTTGACCTACTATTATTTAGGTAACACAAGGCCGGGTTTCTCAAGAACGAGTCCCAGCGTCGATTTCACCGCTCTTCCGGAGGCGAAATTCGACTCAGAGTGCCCTTCTCTTACGTTCGGTCACACTCTGATCTCTTCGGGAGCACTTAGGATCCCTCCGAGATATCCTCACGAATAAATCGCGAGTCGAGATTTCGGGTAACTCTTGCTTTACCCTCAAGAGAATCAAAAAAGATTCTCTATCTCTTCAAGCCTAAAAGCCAAACAAAAACCAACAAAAACTTACCTAAAAATCCAATCGCTATCGGCCTACGTCTCCCGCAGCGTGGTCGCCAAGTGGTTCAAAGGTCCTCCCTGATAGGAGTTCAATGGAGTCCCCGAAAGCCACACCAAAGTCCCAAATATCCCAGCGGAACTATCCAAAGGAATAAAAGAACGCCAATAATAAATATAAACCCGTTTATCCAGAGGAAGGGTCGATACAATCACGTAAATGTCAAAATAGGTAAAACCAAGTGTCGGCTGGCGGAACTATCCTTGCCAGCCGTTCGTCAACCTGTCCTATTGTCCGAATCCAACCGACCGCCACTCGGTTCTCCGGATCCTCCTCTTCTGACTGAATTCCATTCTCTCACGTTCCTTGACTTTCCAACGGTGCGTTAGGTTTCGCGGCGGGACCCAGCCCGAGGTTCGGTGCGGTCCTGCACCATTTTGCTCTTGTGTTCTGGGGTAACAGGCTTTGTTAATCAAAATTTTAAAAAATACGAACAAATGAGCGAGACTGTCTATGTGGATGACGAAATCCACCCTGAAGATAAATAACAAGTTGTAAAGCCTGGATTGCCCGAGAAAAGAGCTTTCGTTTTCAATCGTTCGATTTGGTACCTTGCCGGATTGAAATATGCTTTTTAGGCACTTTGTACTTCTGTGAACCTTACTTTTTTTTAAAAATTTTCATCGAATTTGGCGACTTTGTTTTTTGTCGGAAATCCAAAAATTTGACAAGTCCGAGAAACCTGTCATATTTGGTGGACAAAAAATGGGGAACCTCAGCTTCAATTCGATATTAATTTTATAAAAATTGGTGCATTATCGGCGGAGAAATACTTGAAATAAGGATGGAAGCTCCGGCTGAACCACCCTGTACTTTTTCGGCTGCTTGTCAGAAAAGATTTTTTTAGACTGTAAATGACAAACATGCAGTTTTCGAAGTTATAAAAAACAGAAAAAGACGTATTTTACAAGCCGGTTCTTAACCCTTCGCTACTATAAAATGCTCAGTTTTCTATGAAACTTTTGATTTTTCGCTCAAAATGATGAGAGCCGGCAAGACGAGAGGAGTTTTTTGACACCATTTTCACTGATTTTTCTTGGTAAAAATTGCTTTTTATATCGATGTTATCGTTCTTATCAGACTGTAAAGCTTGTGTTATCATCGATATTACCTTCACAAAAAGTGAACAGTTAATGGAGACTTCTTACTTTAACATTCTGCTAATCTTTAGTGATGAAGCCGTATTTTACCATGCCGAAAAGTGCGACAATTTTTGGCACCTCCGCACTTTATTCCATCGTATAAGTTTGCCGGGAAAATTATGAGCGCCCTGTCGCTGAAGTGACACGCATTTTGATTTTACCGCTACATTATTTATTTTCTCGGCGGTTTTTTTTTGAATCGGCAATGTGCTCTTTATTTTCCCGACAAAATAGTATTAACTTTTCCGGACATAATAATACAAAATTTACTGTCTTTCGTGACAAAACTGGACCCTATTTTTGCAGGTAGAACCCCTCAACGACGGGATTTTCCAAGGAGACATCCTCCTCAGCACCGAACAAGCTGATATCCTCCTCAACGCCGTGCAAAACGACCTTCCTCCTATAATTTCTGTCCCATATAGCCAACAATCTTCACCATCCTACCACCCTTACAGTCATCCTCGTTCCGGCTACGGATATAATCGAGGGAAACGCTCCGGGATTTTCTTTGAGGAACAGTTTATTCGGCAGTGGTCCAACTCGTATATCCCGTATTTCGTTGATCCACAAATGAGTGCCGATCAAGAGGCCGTGATTGACAGTGCTGTGGAGGCGATTCAAGCAGTGTCTTGTTTGAATTTCGTGAAGCAAAGCTCGAGGCCGACTGGGAACTTCATTTTTTACTCAATTTATCCGTCAACTGCGTTGTAAGTGGCGGAAATTGGGGGGTTTTAAAATTTATACATAGAAAAAATATTTTACAGTAAAAAACAATAGGGGATTATGCAAATTTTAAGGAAATTTCGAGGAATTTTAGTAATCAAAACTTTGCATAATCAAAAATTTTTGTAGCAAAAAATTTGTATAATTTCTTTTTAATTCCCTTAATTTTTTGAAAATTTGCATAATTTCTTTTTAATTCCCTTAATTTTTTAAAAATTTGCATAATTTTTTGAAATTTCCTTAATTTTTTGGAAATTTGCATAATTTCTTTTTAATTCCCATAATTTTTTGAAAATTTGCATAATTTCTTTTTAATTCCCTTAATTTTTTAAAAATTTGCATAATTTTTTGAAATTTCCTTAATTTTTTGGAAATTTGCATAATTTCTTTTTAATTCCCTTAATTTTTTGAAAATTTGCATAATTTTTTAAAATATCCTTAATTTTTTGAAAATTTGCATAGTTTTTTAAATTTCTTTGATTTTTTGAAAATTTGCATAATTTTTTTGAATTTGCATATTTTAAAAAAATTAATTGAAAATGATAAAAAAGACGTATTTTACAATTTCAGCTGCGGAATCAGCAACATTGGCATGCAAAAAAGTGGGAACAATGTGGTCTACATGTCCTTCATGTGCAATAGTGTAAGTTTATCCCCAAAATTTTGTCTTTTCATTTGTCGAAAGTGCTTGTAAAATACGCAATTTATAGCATTTACTTTTATAAAAAACAACTTTAGCAAGACAACCGAGGCGTTGCGATCCACGAAACGCTTCATGCGTTAGGAGTGGCCCATGAGCATGTGCGAACTGATCGAGACGACCATATTAGGATCAATTGGAACAATGTGGATCCGAATAACTATGCGTTCTTCGCGTTGAATGATGCCAAGATGTTTACAAGGTAAGGAAAAAGGTGAAATTTATCCACTGGGGTTATCTGACTGGGCCGGGCCAGGGAACTCCGTAGCTAAATTTTAGCTACGGAGTTCCCTACGGCTACGGGATGAGTTCTAACAAGGGTGTGTGTACGTGGCTGAAAAAGTTTGTTTTGTGTGCCTTGTGGTTCGCTAGGGTTCGAAAATCATAAAAATAAAATAATTATTAGTAAGCTTTTATGTACACAACGTCATCATGATTTTTTAAATGTCATCAGGTTATCGATACTATAGAGAAAATAGCTTTGTGGATATTTCATTTCTGAAACCGCAAATGTGCGATTCAAAAGTAGCTTTGATGACGGTTTTAGGCGGCTAACAAGATTTGGCACAAAACAAAAAGCAGTAAAAGCAAGATTTTTTAGGATACGTACTGGCTTATTGTTGGCAATTTCTTTCTATATAAAATACGCGATCATAATTTTTTTGCCGAATTTTTAGCTACGGAGTTCCGTACGGCTACGATTCCATCATGCATTACAAAAGCACGGCCGCGACGACAGCAACCGCTTCAGGGCCAAGTATGACGCCGCTTCATGGCTCTGAATATGAGATGGGGCAACGAAGGCATCTGAGTGAAACGGATATCCAATTGCTCAACAAAATGTACTGCAAACCTGAATGTAAGCGAGCTAACAAGTCAAAAAGCAAAATTATCGGCCTGTCGGGAAAATAATGAGCATTCTGTCGCAGCGAAAATGGCGACACTGCGCTCGTTACTTTCCCGACATAGTGATAAAATATTTATGATGGATTCGTATAAATATTTGAAAATTTTAGCGTGCTCGGACCGCAATGTTTACTGTGGATTGTGGGCGAACCGAGGGAAATGTGAAACTTCAGGATGGATGAGGCAAAACTGCGAAAAATCTTGTGATCTTTGCTGAAAAAGTTCTTTTTCAATGTTCAATTTGAAATCTGTGTGCCATAAATGTCATTATAAAAAGTATTGCTTTGGTGAATTTTATGTAAAAAGGCCTTTATCGCTAAAGATTTTTGGAGATAATGGTTTTCCAATTACCGTATTTTAAAAATTCACAAAATTTTATTACGAAATAAATAAAAAAGTCATGTCCGATTCCACCTTCGGTCAGAAAAGAAATTCAACGATGGCTATGGTCTTGCGGTGCTCTTCTCTGTCGATTACCTTACGCTACCTGAAATGACTCGGCCTCCCAAGTGGAAGGTTGCGTATGTGGATGTCGGGTAATCGAAAGATATCGTTCCCCTTATAAAGATGAACACGAGAATAAGATCAAATCTACTCGACTAAAAGATTTATCAATAAAATAGTAAACAATACAATAAAATAAGGCAATACAATAACTTCAATAAAACAACACAACTTAACAACAACACTTCACCTGCAACAACAACACTCGACAACACTTCACCTACAACCACTACAACAACAACCCATAAAATATATCTGATCAAGATGGGATAAAACCTCGGAGAAGGTTACGGTGTCGTGAATCAGGCGCTTCGCTTCGGGATCTCTCCATCGAACATTCTCGAAAATCGGGGAAAAACAACTGGGGAAACAGTTGACACAGGGGACATCTCCTCTCTCCATAAATTCCATCGAGTTGACACATCGTGGATAACTCCAGGTTCCGTGGAATCTGAAAAGTCAATCGTATCTTGAATTTTTTTAGTTTTGTGAGCACCCAGTTCCCTACCGTTTCCCATGGCAATCTCTCAAGTTTTATTCAAAAATGAAGCACAGAATTTTTGCCAAAATTTTTCAGGTTATACGAAATGCAAAAATCATCGATAAAAAGTAGGGTTCGGAAAACTAGGGTGTATTCACCACGCATATACCCTGCCTGAACCCTAATCAACAGGGTTCAATGAAAATCCGAGGGTACAATAGTCTTATTCTTCACTGAAAAAAAAATTTTCTTGAGCAGGCCGTACTTTATCATGCCGAAAATTGCAACACTTTTTTAGCGCCTCCACACTTTTTCATCCTATCAGTCTGTCGGGAAAATAATGAGCACCCTATGGCATCGAAAAGCGCATCAACGCCGAGAAAACGAATTGTGTCGCGGAAAAATAAAATTGGTTCTCACTTCAGCGACGCGATCATCGCAGCGACATTGCGCTCATTATTTTTGCGACAGAATGCCCGGATATAGTCCGTATTTTACATTTTCATTTTTTTTGGAAACCCGAGTATCTGCCATTAAGACTCAATTTGGTGCTCTTTCCATTTGCTAGTCATTCCGAGTGACTAACGTTTTCGATAATTTCCAAAAAAAAATCTCAAAACTATTCCAAATTTCTTGCTCTAATTTTTCAATAAACTTTGACCATGCTTAAACTAGTTCTTTTGTGTGCTGGTTCCGTATTTTACTTTACTTTTGCTCTAACAGAAGAACCTTCGTTGAAATGCGTGAATAAAATAAATTCTTGGACGGGAAATGGGATCAGCGGAATGTATGACACTTGCGTCAAAAAGGACAACTGGTGTTTTAATGTGACCGGAATGACGGTGTATTCAACTCATAACATTATTCATGGTTGTGCTCCAAACTACATCAAACAGTACTGTGATGTAAGTAAAATTGTTTTTCTTTTGTGAGCTATATGCCTAAGCGTGTCTCATTGATAATTTTTTGCTCATAGCTTTTTTCTTTCTGCACGGAAAATCTCGATTTTTTGTAGAAACATTTTAATTTTCTGCGCATGAATCGACCGACCCTAAAATTTATAAACCCAACACTGCAAAAAAAGCATTAAGCAATTTTGACTTCCCATCAATCTCAGAAATTTCTGAAGGTTTGTCTGTCGCAAAAATAATGAGCAGAATGCCGCTGCGCCGATCGCGTCGCTGAAGCGAAAAGCAATTTGATTTTGACTCGACACAATTCATTTTTCAGCGGCGATGCGATTTCGGGGGCGACATCATTATTTTCTCGACAGATAGATAGTGGAAACTAGTAGCCTCCTTGAAAAGTTTTTGCTCTATATTTTATTGTTAGTCAATTTTCATTAACCTTTGCTCTACGTCCTATGTAGACAGACTTTCTCGACGAATTTTTGCGAGGTGTACCAAAGTTTAAGCCTAACGTATTTTACTTATTTTACGATGTAGCCCGTCTTCAATGTTCTCGAATTGATGTTTTGACGTTTGTACTGTGCAGAAAAAGCCATGGTACGAGCGACAGCCAAAAAAAGCCTTTTGCACGGTGCAAAAAGCAAAAAATTGCACAATGCAAACAGAACTCGCTTTTTCACGTTCCGCATTTTGTCGAAATCGCTCCAGCGACTCTCCGCACGGCCTAGTATAACACAAATTAACTTTTTTTTTCAGAAATATCGTCCATTCTCCAACACTGACACCTCAACTTTTTGCATTCGGTTTGAGGAAGTGGATCTCAACGGCCGACTCTGTTGCTGCAACGACGTTGATTTCTGTAACGCCAATATTTAATCAATTCTAAGGCTTTTTCAGTGAATTTTATTTATATATCACAGAGCATTAAAGATTGTTTCTGATGGAAAAGTTATGGTAAAACACGTCAGGGTTACGACATTGATAAATATGACAGACCAAAGATACGATGTCGACTAGCAAATGTTGAAGCCCGGAGGTTTGTAGAGGGTTTCTGAAAAAAAATAATTGTAAAATACCTTTCATGTGTATCTTCGAATAAATTTTTAAAATCCTTACCAATAACACTGCTTAGGAACGAAAAGTAAGTGAAATCTCCAGTGACAGCACCCCGTTTCGCCGGATTTTCTCTCCGGAGTTTCGTGCAAAAGCCATTTTCTCCCTGTAAAATACATCGTGGTAAATTAGTTCTAATATAAAATGTAGAAAAACGAAAATAATGAAACTAAAGTTAAACACTTGTACTGGGAAGTACTAAGTGCGTTGAATTCTTTTCGTGGTTGCAGTTGCAGAACAAGGGAAGTGCCTCAAGTGAGACGCTTATATATTTTTTAATTTTGCACACACGACGGGCATAAATGAGATATCAATTCCTGGAAGTTTTCGCACGCGCTGTGCAATTACCGTCGAGAGAGTACGTTAAACATGAGAGCTGTCAGAGAAAAAAAAACATTTTTTGTCATAGCTTTGACAGTCTCGTGCGGAAAAAATTGATTTTTTGTGAGAAAATTACCCTCTATGGTAGAAATAAGTATGTTTTGTGCCGGAACTCGGCAAAAAGTACCAAATTTTTGCCTACTTTTGATCTAACAAGATCTCCGTTGTTTCTGCGAAGCGCAATCTAGAATTCCCCCCATAGATCCTAGAGAAAATTATTCTAAATTTGCGTCAATTTTCATCAAAATCTGAGTGTCGCACTTTGGGATACTTACCCTGTAAACCTGTCTACAGCGAGCAATTTTAGGGTGCTCAAGGGACAACCTTATAATAGAGTGATTTTCGTTGCAAAAAAACGCCTGCATAGCATATTCCGAAAGGCAAAAAAGACCCCTAGAACGTCGAAAAATAAGTGCTCTTGAAGGCTCTATCTTGGCTTGGCCAAATCCTTTTTCGGAAGGCTTGGAAGACTAATATATATAATATTACAGTAACCAGATTCCTTCTAAATCTCGCCCATAAAGTCATATTCCTACCTTTAACTCATACTCCACGATATGCCAATCCCTGAGTGCTGGATCAGCAATTAGCTTGGCCATGGTCCGGTCAAACCCGAGGTTATGAGCGGCAATGGCGGCACCTGCCATTGTGTTCACATTATTCGGAGCCAGAGGGCATAGAAGTCGGACAGGCCCCTCGTATAAGACCATAGGGGAATTGGACTCCTTTGCGTGATTATTAAGCTCGTTTAATTTACCGAGAACTTTGAAGCTGTCGGGGTGCTTGATCATGGTGATTTGGAGCTCCTAAAATACTTTTTTTTGGGATTTTTTTGGTTAAAAAGTTTTTTTTAATCATAAAACAAATTTAGATAAAAAAAGATTTTTTATGGCTTTTAATAATAAAAAACTTTTATTAATAAATAATATTTTAAAAAAATTTTTTTTTTTGTTTTTTATTTCCGTTACCTTTAAAGTTCCAAGATCGGCCATCTTTTTCACATCATTCGACCCCCAAAAAGCTCCCGAGGGAACGAATACTGCACGATCTGGATGAACTTTCAGCAAGCCTTGTAATGTATCAAACAAAGTTTTGTCAGCCAACGCCGTAGGTGAGCCAATCTGAAAATCCAAAGTTTGCCGCAAAGATTATTTGTAAAATACGTCCTTGAAGACCATCATAAAGAATGTAATAACCGTATTTTAAAAATCGCAAAATTTTTAGAAAATGCGCATTGCAAAAAATATTGTTTTTTATTTCTGATATACGTAGTATAAAGTTACAAACAAAAAAATTCTTTTTTTCATTCAAAATTAACAAATCTTTTTTCGAAAGAAACTGTAACAGACACCGTATTTTACCCTTCGAACGTGCAAAAATTAAAAAAAAATTATCGCACTGTGCAAAATGCAAACAATTTTTTTTTTTTTAATTTTCAATTTCAAAAAAATTGAAATTTTTAAATTACTTTCTAAAGACTTTTAAAAACTCACGAAAAAATCGGCATGCCGAAGAATAAGCCCGCCATAATTCTCCACAATTGTTGGATGTGCCACTTCGATGACTAAATCAATGTCCTCCAATCGCTCGGCTGTCAACTCCGTTAGCGGCAAGACGTTTTCCTTCTCGTCTTCGGTCCGATTCCAAATCCTTTGGACCACGAATTCCTTTCGTTTGGCCAATTCGATTTTTAGGAATTGCCCGATATGGCCATAGCCGATGATTCCGACCCGTTTCGGCTTTCTGTCGGCCATTTCTGAAGAAAAAAGAAAAGCTGATGAGGGCGTATTTTAAAAACGGAGTTAAAGTGTCAGGAAAAATATATGTAAAATCAAATTTCTGAAAAAAAAAATTTTGTCTAAAAATGAAATTTTTTGATTTTTTGAAATTTTTTTTTTGTATAAAATGGTCAAAATTTAACGCAAATTTAAATAAAGCTTTTTTAAAAAGCATACCTAAAATTTTCAGCTCAAAATTTACATGGATTTTTGATAAAAAAATTTAAAAAATCCTAAAAATTTAAAAAAAAAATTTTATTCAAAATTTCGTATTTCACCCTGTAAGATATTTCAAGAGTTCTGATACTCGTTAAAAAAATTTCTAGCCGCCAAATCATCAAAAAATTTATTCAAAAAAAATTATTTTTATATTATTTTACACAAGTCAAAAAAGTCACCAAAAAAAATAACTCCTAAAGATGGTATAATCGTATTTTACAACCAAAAAAACTCTTAAAAATACTACAAAATTATTCTCGAGTAAAAACCAAAATCTCTCCGCCATCCAGGATTCCCATTTTGCCTCCAGCCACGATTTTGGAGACGGTTCCGCGCAGAAAAGTCTTGTTGAATTTGTAAAACCCTTTAGGCAGGATTCTCATCGCCTGTGTGGTTTTGATCAGTGTAGAAATTGTCTTCGAAGTGACCAACCACATGAAGAATTTTGAGTGGGAAAAACAGTAGTGGTACGGTTTCCCGGTCTCTTCGCATAAATTGACCGAATTCGAGAGTTGCAGCCCAACTTCAGCGCATTTGTCAACCATCTCGGAGCGATGGTGAAGTGAGGGCATTCCACAGGCAAATTCCAGGCCTTCCACGATTTTTCTGGAAAAAAAAATTTGAAATTTTTTTTATTTTTTTTTTATTTTTTTTTTTTTTTTAAGAATATGAAAATTTCAAAAGGTGACTTAAAATTTTGTAAAATACGGATTAATTACGTTTTCCAAAATTAATAAAACTCTTCAATTTCAAAAAATTTTTTTTTTAGCTTTTCAAAATAAAAAAGAGTTTGTAAAATACGGGTAGACCGAAAATCTAACGGGTTTTTAGCGGCGGGTGAGACAAAAAATTAAAAATATTATATTTCCAGCCGATCAGAAAAAAATGCTGACAAAAAAATCCGTTCGGTTTCCCTAGAGCCCCAGGTTGCAATGTCACTAAAAAATGACAGAAGAAAAACATATTACTAGTCGTTCCATAAAGTGCATAGACTTTCTGCCACAAAGCTTTTTTCACTGTGCATTTCACTTTCGCACTTTGCATTTTAAAAGTCGAAGGGACGAGAGCTATTGCACAGTGAAAAAAGAGGAAAAATGGGAAAGTCTACGCACTTTATTTACAGGGAAGTACCCCAAGTGCGACGCTCAGATTTTGATGAAACTTGGCACAAATTTAGAATAATTTTTTCTAAGCTATATGCGAGAATCCTAGCTCGCGCTTTGCAGAAACAACCGAGATTTTTAGATCGAAAGTTGGCGAAAATTTGACATTTTTTACCGAATTTCGGCACGAAAAGTTTCATGTCTGTTTCTACCATAGAGGGTAACGTTTTCACAAAAAAATAAATTTTTTCCGCACGAAACTAGCGAAGTTATGAGCAAAAAGCGTGTTTCTCTCTGACCGCTCTCCGCGTTTAGCGTACTCTCTCGGTGGCAAAGATCGTTCAATATCTCGGCTGCTCTTGCAAAGCGCGAGCTAAAACTTTCAGGAATTGATACTTATTTCATGACCGACGTGTGTGGAAAATTTAAAGAAAATCTGAGCGTCGCACTTGGAGTACTTCCCCTGTTAGAAAAATTACTGGAAAAAATTTATTGATAACTCGCTTTCATAGGCCTCCGGCATTAATTTTCTGCCAAAAGGAACCCTCAATAACGAAAAGATTGTTATTTTTCATTGCAGATGCCATTTATGACAAATTTTGCAAACTTTCCGAAGCGAAAAAATTTGTAAAATACGATAACTTTCCTTACCGATGTTCCTCATTGTTTTCATCGTACTTGTCCGTCTTTACCAGATCATAAATCACTAATTTCCCTCCTGGCTTCAGACATCTTTTCACTTCCTCCAAGACTGGCTTCAAATCCACAAAATATTTGAGTGCATAAATTGCATATGCGCAGTCCAAACTCTGATCTTCGAATGGCATTTTATGACAGTCTGCTTCGATGAGTTTGCAGCGCTCGTTGCAGCCAAGCTTTTCGAGGGCTTTGTTGCCAATTTCGACTTCATTTGCGGCAATGGTGACTCCAGTAATGGAGGCGCCAGTGTAGGCTATTTCTTGGATTACCTGGAAAAATAATTGATATTTCAGAAACGGCAAAAAGTTTGGGGATTTTTGAGAAGTTGTAAAATAGGTCCGGCGATTACTTGATTAAAATCATGTGTATTAGAGGGTGTAAAGACTGGGAATAAATTTTGTCTAATAGGGGAGGTACTCCAAGTGCGACGCTCGGATTTTGATGAAACTTGGCACAAATTTAGAATAATTTTTTCTAAGATATATGCGAGAATCCTAGCTCGCGCTTTGCAGAAACAACCGAGATTTTTTAGATCGAAAGTCAGCCAAAATTTAGGACTTTTTGCCGAATTTCGGCGCAAAAAGTTTCATGCCTATTTCAACCGTAAAGGATAATGTTTCTACAAAAAATCAAATTTTTCCGCACGAAACTAAGCATGGCTGCAAACCGGGCCAGCCCGGCCCGGCCAGGCCCGGTTCGGCCCGGAAAATTTTTACACTAGGTTGGAAAGAAAGAAAGCGGGAAATGAAAGGAACATTATGGCAAATTTTCGCAAAATGTAAAGAAAAATTTAGCAAAACCTAGGTACATAAGGTCACTTTACGTTCGCTATCAGCAGTGTGTTCGAAAAAATGAAAAATTCTATCGAAAAAGCATATTTTTTCCTTTTTTTCCGGGCAAAACTTAGATTTCACAAAAACCGGGCCGGCCCGGGCCGGGCCGGGCCTAAAAATCGAAGCCCGGAGTCGGGCCGAAAAATTAGTCGGCCCGGCCCGGGCCGAAAAATTTTGCAAAGCCCGGCCCGGAGCCATGCCTACACGAAACTGCCAAAGTTATGGCCAAAAAGCGTGTTTCTCTTTGACCGCTCTCTATGTTTAGCGTGCTCTCTCGGCGGCAAAATTCGTTCGATATCGCGGCGGCCGCCGCAAAGCGCGAGCTAAAACTTTCAGTAATTTATACTTAGTCCATACCCGACATGTGTGCAAAATTTAAAGAAAATCTGAGCGTCTCACTTGGAGTACTTCCTCTGTAAATCTAACAAGGGAAGACTTGAAGTGCGACGCTCAGATTTTGATAAAAATTGGCATAGATGGAGATTGGAATTTTCTTATTCGATTGCGAGCATTCTAGCTCGCGCTTTGCAGAAACCGCTAAGAAAGAAGGGCCGGAACATCGAAAAAAATCTTCAAATGCCGGCGAATTTCCCTGCAAATTCTCTTGATCTTGGCATTCCGTTCCAGGAGAAAAATATTTTTTCTCGCGAGAAATTTTTTCTTGATAATATTCAAGACTATTCTGTTGCTTTTATGTGGAATATTCTGTTATTTTCACTTTTTTACACTCTGGACATGATTCTAGCGCTATTAATTGGATTGTCGCCATCCGAGGGGTGAAATGTTACGTCCTTTGACGAATTTATGCAGTTTTTCCTCTGCAGATGGGCAAACCAACTCTAATGGTTGCTTTAAAGTTGTTTAGGAGACATGCAAACGTTCTACGGTCGTGTATGAACATAATCTTAAAGTAAGTGTTACAAAAACTTTATTATTTTTCAGTGAGCAAATTCTGAACAACAACAAGAGCGAATGTACACCATCGGAACACTGACGGAACTCCTTGGGACCTTTACTTTGTTTTCTGAAATGGCATAAACTGAAAAATTGTGAAAAAAATAAAATTCTTGTAACACTTACCTTATGACTACGTTCCTACACGACCATAGAACGTTTGCATCTCTCCTAAACAGCTTTAAAGCAACTATTAGAGTGGTTTGCCCATCTGCAGAGGAAAAACTGTATAAATTCGTCAAAGGACGAAACATTTCACCCCTCGGATGGCGACAATCCAATTAATAGCCCTAGAATCATGTCCAGAGTGTAAAAAAGTGAAAATAACACAGAATATTCCACATAAAAGCAACAAAATAGTCTTGAATATTATCAAGAAAAAATTTCTTGGGAGAAAAAATATTTTTCTCCTGGAACGGAATGCCAAGATCAAGAGAATTTGCAGGGAAATTCGTCGGCATTTGAAGATTTTTTTCGATATTCCGGCCCTTCTTTCTCGGCGGTTTCTGCAAAGCGCGAGCTAGGATGCTCGCAATCGAATAAGAAAATTCCAATCTCCATCTAGGCCAATTTTTATCAAAATCTGAGCGTCGCACTTCAAGTACTTCCCTTGTAAGCTGAGCCAGGTTTCAATTTCGTTTCAAAATTTCAACAAGATCCCAGTGCCGCACTTAGAAATTCCCAATTTAATTACTATACAAAAACCACGCTTACAGTTCCAATTCCGCATCCAATATCCACACATGTCATTCCCTCTTTCAACTCCAACTCCTCGGCAATTCGTCGATGCAGCGAGTTCAACGCCTCCTCCAAAGATTGGCCTCTTTTCGAGGGTGGGACAAAATGAAAATTCCCATTGAAATACTCGTCAATTACAGCTGACATGACCGAATAATAGTGTGAAGTGACCTCGGCATGGTCGTTGGACTTCTTGGCCAAGGCGAAAAGTCGCTCATGGTCCTTGTTGAAGGCTACCTGGAAGAGGGAAATTGCGTTTTTTGAGGGAAAATTTGGAAAAATAAAGTTTAGAATATTAATGAAAACTGGGATTTTTGATAAAATTTATATCAAATATGGCAAAAATAAGCTTCAAAATGTCAATTTTAAGACCAGTTAGACGATAAGAAATTGCAAAAATCTTGTTTTTTCGAGGAAAAAATTTTTTGAAAATTTCAGTTTAATGAAAAATTTTGCAAAAAATGAGATTTTTTCTTAAAATGAAAGTTTAATTCGGAATAATTAGCCCTCAGAATTCCTTTTCGTTCAATTTAAGAACCACTCAAGTTTCAAAATCAGCGTATTTTACAACCAAACACCTTAAAATTCGATAAAAACCGAAAATTTATCAAAAAATTCGTTAAAAACAATATATTTCTGACCAAAACCCCTCGAAAATTTGTTGTAAATTAATCTATCTTCCTAATAAATCTATCCCGCAACCTTTCCGAAACTTTTTCTCAAACAAATTCGCCTCTTTTCCCCTCTAAACCCTCTCCTTTTCCGTGCTATTTCGGTGACCTCCAAAGCAGATCAAACGCCGCGAAAATCACGCTTTTTCCGTCCGAAAAGCCAGAGAAAATATTGTAAAAAGACGGTTCGTACAAAGAGCGACCTCTGTGCGAAAAATTTTCGGCCTCTGCCCTAAGGGGGTCGCTTTTTCGAAGGTGAAAAAAGGTGTGAATAATCGAGGATTTTCGCTCAGTTTTTTGAAAGAAATGGATAATTTATGCAACATAGAAGGGGAATTTAAGCCAGTGAGGTTGTCAAGGAGACCATAGAAGGGTAGTGGAAGGAATATTAGACTATAAACAGGTAAAATAAAATGAAAATTTGGCTAAAATAAGGTAAAAAATGGCTTAAAAAGCAAAAAGTTTTCAAAAAAACTGTAAAATTTTGTCGAAATAGTCGCTAAGAATATTTAAAAAAAGGCTCACAAAATTTTTTACAACACTTTCTCTATTTCCCTCGTATTTTACCCTTATTTTCAGTTCATTTTCGGCCAAAAAACACCTTAAAAATCTCAAAAAAGAACCCAAAAATTTTCCAATAATTCCATTGAAAGAGAGATTTTCCAGTCCACAAAATTTGAACACCGAATTTCCGAGTGGTTTCAGGAATTCATAACGGCCCTCAGGCGCTTGCAAAAACAAAAAAGCCGCTTCGGGGCGAAACCACTAAAAATCGGACGGGAAATGTGTCGAAACCGTTTTCGAATATGACATTCCGAGTCCATAAATATTATAGACGAGATGCGGATGGGAAAAGAAAGGTGCGGTGCAAAAAATGCGGTAAAAATTTTGAAAAATACGAGTGCACAGTGCAATTTTTGAAAATTGTTTTTTGCACTGTGCAACGTAAGAATATAGAATTTTTTTGCACTGTGCAGTATTTTTTATTAATAAGTTTTGCACTGTGCAATTTTTGAAACTTGGGAAAATTTGCACTGTGCGGTATAAAAATTGTGTTTTTTGCACGGTGCAGTGTTTGAACCAAGATTTTGCACTGTGCAATATAAAAATTGAAGCCTCATTTTTGCACGGTGCAGTCTTTTTTATTAAGAAATTTTTTTGCACGGTGCAATTTTTACAACTTCATTTTTGCACTGTGCAAATTTTAAACAAAATTTTGCACTGTGCGATTTGAAACTCGGGAAAATTTGCACTGTGCAGTATAAAAATTGTGTTTTTTGCACAGTGCAATATTTGAACCATGATTTTGCACTGTGCAATATAAAAATTGAAGCCTCATTTTTGCACGGTGCAGTCTTTTTTATTAAGAAATGTTTTTGCACTGTGCAATTTTTAAACAAAATTTTTGCACTGTGCAATTTTTGAAACTTGGGAAAATGTGCACTGTGCAGTATAAAAATTGTGTTTTTTTGCACCGTGCAATGTTTGAACCGTGATTTTGCACTGTGCAATATAAAAATTTTACATTTTTTGCACTGTGCCATTTTTCCGTACTTCCCGACTGCGTCACTACTAGTCGTTCCAGAAAGTGCGTGCACTTTTTGTCGTGGGCCGCACTGTGCACAAAATTCCCTTCTTGCGGGGTGCATTTGACCTTTTGCACCGTGCAATTGCAATGTCGCAGCGACGCAGGCTTTTCTCAACGGAGGCGGCGCGAACTTTGGGGAAATTGCACAGTGCAAAATGTTTCGAAAAGGATCGCGTCGCGCGGGGAACACGAAAACTTGCACTGTGCGGTGCAAAAAAGGCGGAAAAAAGTGCACGCACTTTCTGGAACGACTAGTACGCATCTTACGACCATCTTTTTAGCGACCGCACCGTGCAAATGTCTCTTTTATTTTTGCACTGTGCGCTCTCAAAGTTATCCTGACCGCACCGTGCAAAATCGAAAAAATGTAAAAAATTGCACTGTGCGTTAAAAATTGAAATGAATAGTATTATAAATAGTGTAGTACTTACCAAATCATGTCGACGAAAGTGCATAAGAAGGCGAAAAAAATTGGAAGTCATATCAATCGACATTTTTGGCTGAAAATTTTTATTTGTAGTTGATTCTTTCGTATTTTACAAGGCTTAAAAAAATTTTATAAAGAAATTGTAAAATACGCCATTCCACTAATCGTGAATCATTTTTAAACGCCATTAAATCCAAAAAAAAATTTTTTAATTTTAAATTTCCCCCAAAAAAATCTCAAAATCAAGGAAAATTGGAACCTTTCTTCCACGAACTTTTTTGTAATTCCCGATTCTCTTCCCAAAACTTTGAAATTCCAGGAGGATTTCGCGCGTATGACCCGATTCCGCGTAAAAAAAGAGAGCAAATCGCGGCATTCGCCTGCTGGAAGTGGGGGTTCCACGGAGAGGGTAATTTGAATCTTCAACAGACCTTTAAAAAATGGATTTTCAGCGATTTAATCTTCCAAAACAAATAAGAAATTATCTTAAAATGCAGTTGAAAAAGTGAGAAATCGAATATTTTTTTTCAAGTTTATTCTCGAGCTCAAAATGAGTAATTTTATGAGTTAGATTTGCTGTTCTCGTATGCCGATGAGCCCAACGAAGTCAGCGAGAGATTGGAGGAGCTGCCCGCCGTTGCCTGTGATCCACTAGATGGGGCTGGAGAAGCGGTAGTCGCATTTTGAGAATTTTGAGCCGGCTGAACTGGAGCTGGAGAAGGATTGGGGGGAGCAGGCGGAGCAGCGGATTGAACTGGCTGGGAAGATGGTGGAGGAACTTGGGAACGGACAGGGGGTTCTGGAAGAAAATCTAACTTTTTGCGAGGCAAATGGTTACAATTCGAGCTTACAAGGGAAGTACTCCAAGTGCGACGCTCAGATTTTGGTGAAACTTGGCACAAATTTAGAATAATTTTTTCTAAGATGTATGCGAGAATCCTAGCTCGCGCTTTGCAGAAACAATGGAGATTTTAAGATCGAAAGTAGGCCAAAATTTAGGACTTTTTCCCGAATTTCGGCTCGAAAAGTTTCATGCCAATTTCTACCGTAAAGGATAATGTTTCTACAAAAAATCAAATTTTTCCGCTCGAAACTGCCAAAGTTATTGCCAAAAACTGTTTTTCTCTCTCTGACCGCTCTCCACGTTTAGCGTGCTCTCTCGGCGGCAAAATTCGTTCGATATCTCGGCGGCCGCCGCAAAGCGCGAGCTAAAACTTTCAGTAATTTATATTTAGTCCATACCCGACGTGTGTGCAAAATTTAAAGAAAATCTGAGCGTCGCACTTGGAGTACTTCCCCTGTTAATTTTCGCTACAACATATTAGAAATATAAAATTTCTTGAAAAAATCAAGGTAATCAAAATTCGAAAAAATCAAAATTTCAAAAGAAAATTGTATGCCAAAAATTTCTTTCTTTATTTTGAGTATTTCCCAGCTTTCTCTACCTCATTTCTCACCGCACTGTGCGTTAAAATAATTTTTATCCTTTGCACAGTGCAGTCTTATTTCTTCAAAACACTGCACAGTGCAGACTCCAATTTGAAATGGCTGCACAGTGCATAATTTTTATTTTTTTCGACAAAAATTATTTACTTGATTTTGAGTATCTACCCATCTTCTCTAGCCCCATTTCTCACGCACTGTGCGTTAAAAATGTTTTTTATATTTCGCACAGTGCAGTCTTATTTCTTCAAACAATTGCACAGTGCAAAAAAAAATTATTTTTTCTGTTGCACTGTGCAATTTCTTCAATTGTTAAAAATTTCTCCCTTAATTTTGAGCATTTCCCAGCCTTTCCCCACCTCATTTCTCACCGCACTGTGCGTTAAAAATGTTTTTTATTTTTTGCACAGTGCAGTCTTGTTACTTCAAAAAACTGCACAGTGCAGAAATTTTCTTATCTTTTTATCGCACTGTGCAATTTCTTCAAGTGTTAAAAAATTCTCCCTTAATTTTGAGCATTTCCTAGCCTATCCCCACCTCATTTCTCACAATCTATTACCTTTCTCATCCCTTTTCCCACCCAAACCACCTCCTGGCCCGCCTCCATTCCCATGATTTCCCGGCTCCATCGCTCCAGACTTCTCACACGAATTGATCGGGATATGTATCGACGTCTTCAACGACTCCTGATCTTTGTCCTTCGGCGGAGTTCTTGCCGGAGTCGCTGGTGGAGTGGGCATTCCAGCAGAAACTGTGTTATCAGACGATGGAGTCGAAGCGCCCTCCTTGGAATTGGCTTTTTGTGGCGGTGAGCCCGCTTTGTGCCCTATGGGCATGGGAGATTTGACTTCGTGAGAGGTTTGTCTGCAAAAATTTTGCCATAAAAATATTAAAAAAAAATTTTTTTTTCTTATCGCAATGTGCGTTAAAATAACTTTTATTCTTCACACAGTGCAGATTTATTTCTTTCAAAAAGCGCACAGTGCAAGCTCAAAATTGATTTAAAAATTTTTGCACGGTGCAAAAAAATTTTCATCTTCTTCGCACTGTGCAATCGTCATTTTTTCAAAAAGACTGAATCGCACAGTGCAGATTTAAAATTGCGCCCAAAAAATCCACCGCACTGTGCAAAAAAAACAACTTTTTGTATGCACAGTGCAAAAAAATTACAGCTCTGCACGGTGCAAACAAAAACTAACAAAAAAATTTTCCAATCTGCAAAGTGCCAAAAATAAATTTTTAATCTTTGCACTGTGCAAAAAAAAAGTTTTATTTTTATGCACAGTGCAAAAAAATTTCGACCTTGCACAGTGCTAAAAACCAAAAAAAATAAATATTTTTTGGTCTGCGCGGTGCAAAAATTAATTTCCGAATTTCGCACAGTGCAAAAAAATAAATTCAAAATTTGCACAGTGCAAAAAAAATAAAAATCAATCTCACTTTGCCAATTCCGCTCGTCTATCCGGACTCAGCAAGTTCAAATCCAGCTTCGGCTTCAACGTCACAAACGAGATCTCCAGCTTCTCCGACACCTTCATAATCGACGCGCAATTCCCATCGACTCCGCAGTAATTCGGGGCCGAGAACACGGTGCAGACTTGATTCTTGTCTCCAGTGAACTGATGGCCGTCTGGAGTCACTTCATGAGCGCGTACAATCAAATCAATATCCAGAAGTTCGCAAAACTCGCGGATGACGTCATTCCCGAACATCCACGACGCATTCCGGACTTTGTTGTATTGCCAGCCAGAGCCGCAGGTGTCTTGCGTTGGGTCGGCCCACATCAGGTCCAGAGGGATGCCAATATCGCATTCTAGGTTGGTTCGGGGCTTCTGAAGAGTAATGGAGGTGAAATTTAGGGAAAATAAAAATTTTAGATTTTGATGACTAGTACAATATAAAAATATACATTTCTTTAGTCCATATAAAACCTAGCTGCTCTATACTACACAATAGTCTCACCTGAAGTTTCTTGAGTGAGTCCCAGTTCTTGATATCAGGCGAAATGCCCCCATGCATCGCCAAAATTCGATTGTTCACCAAGGCGCTCAACGGCAGCTCGTTGAAACATCGCTGAAACTTTTTCCACACAAAAACACTCCGTTTCCTTCGGCACTCCTCGTAGAAGCCGTAGCCGCGATTCATCTTGGCGCACTCGTGATTACCTCGCAGCAGAGTGACGTCGTTGGGGAAGCGGAGTTGGTAGCAAAAGAGGAGCATGGTAACTTCCATCGAATGCCGGCAACGGTCCACGTAGTCGCCAAGGCATAGGAACCGGGTCAGCGGAGGGCGTTCGACCAGGTTCAGGAAACGTTGAAAGTCCGCCAATTGACCGTGGATATCCCCTGAAATGAGATGGTGTTAGAGGGGAAGAGTTGACACTCTGGGTCAACTGTTTCACTTGGCCGGAAAAGGTGGGTATTCAGATCAGAAAAGATTCTAGTGTTATCTAGAACAATTGATAAGGGTTTTAAAATACGAAGCACTCATTTTTGTTGAATAAAATAGACTTTTTTCGCTCAAAAACGACATTTTCTCCTATTCTTTCCCAAAAATTTAACTTTTTTGCCAAAAAGTCATACCAGTGTAATTTTTGATCCACATGACAATAATAGCAATATTTTGCGATCACATTTGTGCAGTCTTCTATTCAAAGCCTCCTAAATACCCTTTTACTCCCTTTTTTCCGCGCTTTTCCCGCCCTCTTGCAAAGAGAAAATGAAGAGAGAACGAAGCCGTGGTCTCGTGGTGTAGTGGTTATCACGTCTGCTTTACACGCAGAAGGCCGCCGGTTCGAACCCGGCCGGGACCTACGAAACTTTTTGCTTTTTTACGTAAAAATTTGTTCTTCTAATTGTAAAATACGAATTGCGGAAGTGACTTTTTTAATTTTCAAAGCCATATATGTTTAATTCCAACAAGAATTTTATTGATTTTTTGATTATTCAAAAGTTTTTTGTTTAAAAAAACTTATTTTTCCCCAAAAAATTACCGAAAATGACTAGTGGTGCCTTCATTTCGACCATGGCGGGCATTGGCTTGAGATGCTCGTAGGTTCTGTCCAGAATATAGACCAGTTCGTCGTCGGTGAAACCGTCCATGTGCTTATCTCGCTCCAATCGACGGATGACGCGGGCCACCAAGCCTCGGAACATCTCTTCGGTGGCAGCTGAAATACATAAGCAAATATATCGTATTCTGCCCAAAAATTGTTGAAAAAATCAAATTAAAGTTTGATTTTCCTATTAAAAAAATTGAAGTTTTAAATTTGAATATGCAAATTTTACAATTATTTGCTTAAATATTCGACCGAGGCTAGAGATATCGTATTTTACCAAAAAATTTTACAAAATTTTTGGTAAAATACAACATTCTAGATCGTAAAAAAATTGCAAAGTCAAATTTGAATATGCAAATTTCGAAATAGTAAGCCTGAATTTTCAACTTTCGCAAATTAATCTTACCAGCAGCCATGATTCCGCGCTTGACGCTCCTTTTCGTTGGATTCGGAAGAGAGAAGCCGACCGGCCACAGTGAGAATGAGCCCAGAGAATGCGCGATTTGAAAACTTTGGGTTAAATTTTCATTTTTTTGAATGAAAATCTGTAAATGTTTATAAGTAAATGTTTAAATAAATATAAAAAATTTTTGTAAAATACGCCGGTTTCTGTCATGCTGTATTTTTATTTTTTTCACGTGTTTTACACGTGAAAAAATAAAAAATATGGCAAAGTAAAGCTTACGGATCGTCGTTTTTTGGATCAACTTTTGGTATTTTCTATTCTTCAAAGGTAAAAGTTCCTTATTTTGGCCACAACTTATAACTTTGCGGAAACTGGTCGGAATTAGCCCAAATTTAGCGTGCACTCTCAATTCATCGTTGTCAATACCCGGACAGTGGACTTAGTTAGTGAGGTACCTTCTTTCTTACGTGCCTCCTTACCCTTCACAAACGGCTACAGCCTGTGGTTTTACACTTTATACGATGAAACATTTCCGGAACTAAACTTATTTCCTCCGTATGGAACTAAATGAGTCGTCGTAGCCTTCGTAGGTACCCTTAAAACTACAGAGCTATTATAGTAATTCAGTGCCAGCTTGGTCGAAGCGTTTTTTCCTAACTTTAGTGCCCAAGCTTGTGCGCAATTCGCGGAGTACCTTTGTTGTGGCCAAAATACGGAACTTTTTCCGTTTCAAAAGCTCAGGCCAAGAAAAATAACTTTAGCAGAAGCTAAAATTAGAAAAAATGGTCATATTGTAAGTCTTCGCCAGGTCTCCGCCGAGCATCCAACAGCTTTCACAGGCCTCGTAGGCACCCACAACGACATTTTTTTGGGTCTCCACCAGAGATTGCCACGGTCAAAATTTCGGCTCCGGCTCTTAGCTCCCAGAGCCGGAGCCGAGGCCAAATTTGCAGCTCCGGCTCCCAGCTCCGTTCAAAATTTAAAAAAAGGTCTCCGGCTCCGAATCCCGGCTCCTGTGCAAAAACTTTTTTAAAAATATTTTTCCAAAAATGAAAGTTATTAGTGCCGGAGATCATACAGCCAACGGTTTTGCAAGTCGTACGCAACACATCCTCCGCAGTGTTTTTCAAGCAATTTGGTTTAACAAGATCACGAAATTTTTACTTTTCTGAACGCTGAGATGCCTGGCTTTGACTTGATTTTGCCGCGACACATTTCATTTTCTCGGCGACGATGTGATTTTTAAAGTGAGCACACGACATTGTGCTCATTATTTTCCCGACAGACTAATATTTTTCTTATTTTTCACATTATTCTCCAGTTATTTGAGTGCTTTTGTCTCGTATTTTTATTGCTAGAGGAATTGGTAGACCGACTTCATGGAGAAGATGAAAAGTTTATGCGGAAGATAATTAGCTTAATGAGCCAGCGGAACGAACGCAAGTCGAAGGGAAAAAGAAGAAATTTTCCGATGAAAGTAAAGTAATTTTTTGTTTTTGAGGGTAACGGAATTTTGATTATTCTAAAAATTGTGTGTAAGTTGTGGTAATAATTATTATTTCTTCGAATCTTAGATTGCAGCTGGCAAATTGCAATTTTTTAATATTTATAATGACTTGGAAATAATTTTTTTATTCGAAAATTAGACATTTCTTTAAAATTTTCGGCTTTTTCAAGTCGAATTTCCCCAAAGTTTTCAAGTTTCTGCATAGCGCGGTTTCATTTTTAAAAATGATTTTCAAAAATTTTAATCAGCATAATTACTGACCTTGTGAAAAATATTAGAAATTTTTTTTTCAAAATCAGTCTGTCGGGGAAATAATGAGCACTCTGTCGCATCGAAAATCGCATCTCCGCCGAGGAAATGAATTGTGTCGCGACAAAATCAAAGTGGTTTTCACTGCAGCAACACCGTCGGTGTAGCGACATTGTGCTCACTATTTTCTGGACGGACTAATATTTGTATATTTTTAGTACGAATTTTTCGCTTATTTCTGTATAGCGCGATTCGAATTTTTTTTTCAAAGTGCTATCAAAAATACGATTTTTTCTTTTGGGAAGGATTATAAAAGAGTGTTTTCAATAACTTTTTTAAAATTTTTCATTAAAATTTTGAGGTTAATTCTGCTTAACGCGACTTGAAATTTTTCGGAATTTTGAGACTATTTCTGCTAAACGCGGTCATAAAACTTCCAAAAAGGTTCAGAAAATTGAGTTTCATCAGTTCGTCGGGAAAATAATGAGCACTCTGTCGCTGCGACGATCGAGTCGCTGTTGATTCACAACTCATTTTCTGGGCGGCGATGCTTTTTTTATGCGAAAAACAGCTCATTATTTTCCCGACAGACTGATAAAACAAACATTTTTTGGGATTTATTTATTTTCTCTTTTTTTATTGTTTAAATTTTTTGCCCTACTCTGTACTATTTAGTCTCTCAAAATTGTAAGTCCGCTTCAAGTTTGTTTACAACCCCCAAAACTACTCATCCAGTCGGTCTTCTTTAATCTCCTCCATCTCCATTACCAGAGGAAAAAAAAGAAATTTCTTTTCGGTGGCTAAACGCCCCTCTTCTCCCTAAATGGCCGTCTTTTTTGGTGTCGCCCTCAGGGCTTTTTCGAGGCCTCGAGACGGCCACAAAGTCCGCACACTGCAGTTTTTGCACCTTTTCGAGAAACGGAAGGGATTTTTAAAGGGATTTGTCTCAAAAACTTGTTCCCTCGCCTCAGGTCAAACGGCTATGGTGAGGTTTCAGGAGGTTTTTTAAGTGTAATCCAGCTGTATTTGAGATTGATTATAAAATTTTTTGGCAAAAACTAGCTTGTTTAGATAGAAAATGGCCAGAAAAATAAGGGGAATTTTGAAATTTGGCTTATTTTTTGTCTAGTGCAATATAATTTTTAGTCTGAAATTGGATAAAACAATTGGTAATAGGTCCCATTTTAGCCAGTGTTAAAGAATATTAGACAAAAAGTTCAATTTTGGGCAGATAAATATCAAAAAATTGGAAAAAATTACGAATCTTGCCTAGTGTAATATAAATTTTGTTCGAAAATGAGGTAAAACCTCTGGTTTCTTCTCAAATTTTGTGTTTCATCCACTTTTATCGACTTAGTTAGCATAGTAATACTATAAATTTCAAGAAAATTATATGTAGTATGGGTCTATTTTTGATAAAAAAATCATTTTTTTTTCAAAAAGAAAAGGTCATGTTTTGTATTAAATTTAAATATAGTATCCAGCGGGGTCTCCAGAACATCTACCAACAATTTTTTTGAAGGTTTTTGGCCCCCAAAAAGTTTCCCGGAGCTTTCTTTTGTCTAAACTTTCCAATAATGGGCACTTATTTCCATGCACTTCCAGGACCACACAGCTTTTTTTTGAATGACCGGGGGTAAAAGAAATAGTGTTATTCAGCAAGCGGTGTTTTGAAAATGATCACGTATTGGTCGACGACGTATTTTACAACGGTTTTTGGAGATAAATCTTCAAAAAAGTGAGAAAATTTGGCTTTTTCGGAGTTTTTTGATATTTTTCGAATAAACTTTACTAAATTAAGATAAAAAATTGGGCGAAGATACTTTACAAAGATAACATGAACCTTGAGGACGTATTTTACAATTTTTTTTGGCCATAAATCATCAAAAAAGTGAGAAATTTTTCAGTTTTCGGACTTTCTGATATTTTTTCGCATAAACTTTACTAAATAGAGCCAAAAAATAAAACGAGCGTATGTATTTTATTAATACCGCTAAATTCTAGACGACGTATTTTACAACGATTTTTGGAGATAAATCATCAAAAAAAATGTGAAAAAGTGGTTTTTTCGAGTTTTTTTTTGATATTTTTTTGAATACACGTTACTAAATAAAGCTACAGATAAAACGATCGTATTTTACAAAAACCGTATCATTAGTGAGGACGTATTTTACAACGAATTTTGGCCATAAATCATCAAAAAAGTAAGAAATTTTGGGTTTTTCGGACTTTATTTGATATTTTCTTGAAATCAACTTTACTAAAAAATAATGGAAACTAGAACACACGTATGTATTTTGCCAACACCTACCAGCTTGGGCAAGTTTTGTTTTCTTATTTGGACCGAATTTAACAAAAAATTGCGTTTTTTTATTTTTTTTTCAGTTTGCACAAAAAATTTCAAATTTCAAGTGGATGACTTCGATTTTAAAATAAATATTCTGTATTTACAGCCTCCAAATATCCTTGCTGTACCCCTCAAACGGTCAAGATCACAAGCTGAAACCTTAATTTAACTTATTTTAGGTCAAAATCGAAAAAAAATGACATTTTTTATCTCTTCATCGAAAAAATTTGAATTTTTTTTTATTTCCATCACATTTCCAACGCCTATGCATTCTCCCACCCTAAAATTCCACCTGAAATCCCTCGCAAACGCCTAGTTTCAGCTCTAAATTTACTCTCTTACAACCCCATTTCCCCCCACTTTTCTGTTCGCTATAATGACTCGTCTTTTTTCGAATATTTTTCTTTGTCTCGCTTATTCATAGTGGAAAAACCCCCATTTTTGCTCTCGAGTCGGGATTGTTTCATGAGGCTTTTATTCCGGCGGGTTATTAGTCCGATTTGAGGTCGGAGCGCGCGGTTTGTTCGAAGGCCAGTTCGTATTTGTTTTGGGTAAAAATTGAGGGATTTTGAGCTTATTTGAAGTTGAAACGGATAGAGTCTGAATATAAGAATATTTAGCAGTATTTTAGAAGCTAAAAGCCCTTTCCGCTACCGTATTTTTTAATGTTATGGCCATTTCCTTGACTTGGAAAAAATCTTGATATCTAGTGTAGTATCGCAGCTGCTGCAATTAGCCTTCAGACAATTAAAACATAAGGGTTCGGCTTACTTTGGAAAGAACTACAGATCTTACAGACCTTTTTCTCGTCAGTTATAACCGTCTATATTAGACATGGCAAGTCTAATATAATAACTCATAAAAATAGTTCAATTTTGTCGACAGTAATTCAAACTTTGATAGAACACAAACTTCAGTAGGCCATTAGCTTCAAAATGAGCCACAGAACTCACAAATCGACAGATTTTTAAGCAAGTTATTATCAATTATATTACCCATGGCAAGTCTGATATGATAACTCATCCAAAGACTTCGATTTTGTCGTCATGAATCCAAATTTAAATAGGATCCGGAATTCAGTAGGCCATTAGCTTCAAAATGAACCACACAACTCACAAATCGACAGATTTGTAAACGAGTTGTCATTAATTATATTACCCATGGCAGGTCTTATACGATGACTAATCAAAAAATCTCAATTTTAGCTTGCCTAACGCAAAAATTTCCGAATTAAACATTTAGCTAACAAGACAGGTTCTCAATAACCTTATTATTGCTATATTATTCTCTCTTGAGCGCTGTTTTCCTTATGAAATATTCGGATTTGTATTTGTATTCGCACCTGCTCCAAATCCCTTAAATTTTTTCGTCCGATTTCCCCGCCTTTTACAAAAAATCTCCTAAATTCTTGCTCCCAAATACTTCTTCCATATTTACTGTTCGTTTTTTTCTCTTTTCATCTTGAAAATTTTTAATGCCAAAGGGCTTTTGCATAACGTATAGAGCGTTTATTTCCATTGTTTTCGGCCCAAAAAGTGCCTATCGCATTTCATGTTCGGGCATCTCCGCTTTCAGCCCATGAATTTTATTGGCATGGGCAATCGAAAATAGGAAACAGTTTGCGGGAGGAGAGGGAAATTATTTAAATTTTCTCTAGCTTACGATGAATAGGTTATGTCATCAATTCGTCAATTAGTATATATACCCATTTTACAATTCTATTGTCTCTGTCATTGCTGCGCGTTTTGTAAAAAAACCTCCACCAATTTTCGAAACAAAAAGTCACCCTTTTTTATCCAAAAGTGGGATTTTTTGATGACTTATTGAAATTTTATATTTGGCCTCACCAGTACCTCGTAGTTACTATAATTTTTTCCGTATTTGCCGCATAAACTATTCCATCCAACCAATTATGGCTTACTATCAGTCTATCGGGAAAATAATGTGGATTCGTCGCGCTTGGAATTGCCCATCATCGCTTTCGACGGCTAGCGGCGGTTGGGCATTTGGTGTGCCACTACGGCGATGATGGACATTTTGTTGCGACAAATCCATATTATTTTCCCAATCCGACAGACTGACAAGCCATAATTGGCTGGATGGAATAGTTTATGGGTACTGATAAAGTAACATTGTCAGCCTAAACTGCCCTCCCACATCTATAAAATCGCTGTTTAAAGATCCAATTCGCGGAATGAAACATCACTCTCCCGAAATCTGAATATTTCACACGCTAAATTTCAGAACCATGTTCTCAGACATAATCGAATTCAACGTCAGTGGGACCATCCTCAGCACCACCATCGACACCATCTCTCACGACAAACGCTCCGCCCTATATCAATGGTACATCGAGCACAAAGGCAGTAACCATCTCCTCAAAGACAAGAACGGTCTATTCTTCATCGACAGAGATCCCGGCTGCTTTGCAATCGTTCTCAACTACCTTAGACTTCAAAGAGCTCGACAGTTATGGGAAGTCTGCCTACCCAAAGACCCGGACCGCTTGGCTCTGCTGACTCAAGAAGCGGAATACTACAAGCTGCCGGTACTCCGAGATCAAGCCATCGCGTTGTTGCAGAGCGCCGACGAACAGGGGAACAATTCGTACGTTAGCGAGGTTTGTTCAGTGTAAAGTAGCCGCTTTTTGTGTGGAAAGTGAGGTGGGCGCGATGGTATTTTTGTAGCCTTATACGTTTAGGAGAAAATTAGAAAGCTCACGGGTCTGGAATTTTGCCAAAAAAAGTCAGATTGAGCCATTTTATGACTTGTGTTGACTAATCGAAATGTTGCCTTTGAAGGTTTAGTGTCATAGCGGTCAAACCAAACAACTAAATGGTCCTCTAGCTATCTAATATCAACAAGACGGCTTTACAACACCTAGAAAATATCATTATTCCCAGTTTGACACAAAATTTAACCAATACAGACTAATTTACCTTATACAAGGTGGGCCACTCGAACCTACCAACCTTATTTCAGGTATTTCTTCGCAAATAATGCACCAATTTCTATAAAATTTACATCAAATTGAAGCTGAGACACCTCATTTCTTGTCCACCAAGTATGAGGTGTCTGAGTTCATGGAGGCACCCGGAATTTGACATAAATTTTATAGAAATTGATGCATTATTGGCGGAGAAATAATGACATAAGGGTGGTAGGTTCGAGTGGCCCACCATGTATAAGGTAAATTAGTCCGTACTGGTTAAATTTTAAGGCCAAACTGGGAATAATGACATTTTCTAGGTGTTTTAAAGAAGACTCATTGATTTTAGATAGCTAGAGGAACATTTAGCTGGTAATTTCGAGTGGCCTACCTTATACATGACATCCATAATCTAAAATCAAAATTTCCATCAAATTTTGGGCCAAAATCATGCTTAGATCATCTATAACACGTTTCTAAAGCACTATTCTTTCAGTTTCTTTCAAAGAGCGCAAGCTTCTCAGCCGGCTTCGACAACCTGAATCTAGGCCAATGAGGGCAGCAAGGAAAACACAAATCAAGCCTTACCGACTTCCACTACCAATCCCGGAACCATTATACAGCAAAAAAAACTTCGTGATACGACCAGTCCGGCCAGAAATCTTCAGTATTTTACTGTGTTTATCTATTTTTCCAACAAGAATAGCTATCAACTACGTATTTTAAAGCTTTCAGTCGAGTTTCGGACAATTTTAGTCTCAATTCAACCATAAAAAGTCTGAACAACCCTTCTATCCCGTTTTACATGAGTCTTCACTTGAGGCAAGCATCTCTCCAAAGGTATACAAGCATTGTTCCCATCAAAACCAGTTATTTTTTGTCTCAAACACTATAACCCTATTTTACCGTAATTTTTTGTTGAATCTGATACTTAATAAATGTGGTAATAACCTCAGGAAACGCTTTTTCTTTACAATCAAACCTACTATTGAAATTGTGAGGGGGATGACGCAGTTTCTGGATTATTTTGTGATTCACCCACCACGAAAACCTTTAATGCCAAAGAATTCTTGGCATTCTGCAAAATGTGTTGCCACACGAGATTTTCCATCTTCCAGCTGGTTGTTGACTTCTCTCACCTCAATAGCATCAAGGAATAGCGCTGATTTCAATTTGTAAGTTAGTTTTACTTGTTTCCTTGATTTTTAGGCACTTATTCATCTTATACATGAAGAACATACTTTGATTTTGTTGTTCTTGTGTTATTCCGTTATCAGTTTTGTTTTGGGGACGGTTTTCCTGACCTTTGCTGCATTGTTGGTGCGATTCACAGCGGTTTTTTACGTGATAATCACGAGAAGTTATCAAAACATTCGAAGAGGCCTGATCCTCACAGTTTGGGTTCGAAAAATCAAAAGTTTTGAAACAGTCGAACTCAAACTATAAATTGCTTGAGTTGACAACATCCATGCTATGATTTCAACGCATCCACGTTGAACCTTTCTTTTTTATTAGCCTTGATTGATGACGGCTAAATGTTTGTTGTCCATCCCAGACGACCTCTGTAAAAATGCAAGGTTTTTTGGAAATTGCTTTGTTTGCTAGACACTCTGAGCCTTTTGGAAAATGCTGTCAACTGATTTGCAGCCTGTAATGTTGACTTTTTGATAATATTACTCATGTTTTTCTATGAATGAGAAGAAAAGCGCGGGAATTTTGATAGTCCAATGTGAAATGCATGAGAGTTGCTAGTTAGATGTGGAATATATGCCACTAGGGGAGGCCTCAAAATTAGAGAGGAGATTTTGAGCGGGTTTTGAGGTTTCGTTTGCGGTTGGATCCATCAGATGTCTAGTGTAACATAATTTCTTCAAATAAGGTCAAATTTTATCTTTTTCTTCCGAAGTTTTGTTCTCCAAGGCACGATGGACATGTTTTCTTGCTTTTTATTGCATTTGCACCGCTCTCCTTTATCTTCTCACTTCATTTTCCGCCAATATTATCCATGGGATCAACTGCTCTCCAAAAACAAGTGCAACAGTTAGAGTCTTCCTAAAACTGACCTTTGCGCTTTTTCAAATTCCGCATACTTCTTTTCCACCTGTCAAACTACAACCAATATCACATGAGTTGTGCCTCAAAATACATCAGAGACCATAAACTTATTGGAAAATTTGGAAATTCCGAAAAGATTGGACGATAAACAAAGTAATCAGCGAATAAAACAGGACGTATTTTAAAAGAGGAAGTGGTTACGAAAAAAATTTTCCGCATCTTGGGGTAAAACTATTCATTTTGAACCTTCAAATCCCGTGTGATTCGTTTTTTCGAGTCCAAAAGTAAGAAACAATTTTTTTGAGCGACTCCATTATAGCCCTTATCATAGTGAGTGATTATGCTGATGGGTCATGCGGCGAGGATGCTGTGTCTGCGCCCTGTTCCGACGAATTCGAATTGTGTGAGTTTTTTCGGGGATATTTTAGAAGGTTCAAAATGAATAGTTTTACCCCGAGGTGCGGAAAAATGTTTTCATAGCCACTTCCTCTTGTAAAATACGTCCTGTTTTGCTCGCTAATTACTTTGTTTACCGTCTAATCTTTGCGGAATTTCTAAATTTTCTAATGTAAGTTCATGGTCTCTGATGTATTTTGAGTCACAACTTATGTGATATTGGTTGTAAGTTTGGTAGGTGGCATGGAGAGAAAGCATGCGGAATTTAAAAAACGCGAAGGTCAGTTTTAGGAACGACTCCAACTACTGGACTTGTTTTCGGAGAGTAATGTGAGATCATTTGATCCCATGGATAATATTGGCGGAAAATGAAGTGAGAAGATAGAGGAGAGCGGTGCAAATGCAATAAAAAGCAAGAATAAATGTCTATTGTGCTTTGGGGAGAGAGAGAGTCTGATGTGATATGTCTTACCTCCTATTTGTTTACACGAACTTCTCCGTGAGCATAATATTTATTTTTCGAGGTGTCTGATTAGTGCGTTTCATGGAAATACTGAAGGATTTCTGAAAAAATTTCGTTAATTTTCCGTCTTGAAGGTCGATTTGAAAATTGCGAACGATTCTCATGGACAAGTTGGTGATTTTCCACTTTCGGAGGTAAAATACAGACTCTTCTTGATGTATGATTGAAGATTTGAGCTTTTTCATTTTTTTCATCAATTTTTCTCCTAAAACAATATAAATTTGCCTAAATTTCCCGGTTTTACCCCATATCTTTGCAGAATGACCTCTCCTCCCAAGGATCCCGAGCCCATGTCACCGGAAGATGATGAGCCGGACATCTCCGAGTCGGATTTTGCCAATTTTGTGGACCATCAAATTGATCGCCTCATCCGAGCCGAGAGGATCAAAAATCCCGATTTGACCGCCTTGGAAGAGCTCAAAGTGGCTGTGGGATTCTGTAGACGATTTCTCAGCGATGGAACGTCGGATCACGACAAACGAACAAAAGTCATGGCCAAATTGGTGGACTTGAAACTGGAACAAGACCAAATTGAAGTGAGTTTTTGATTTTTTTTGTGATATTTGGTGTTTAGGAAACGCAAATGGCGCAAGAGCGTCCTAAATGACATTCTGGGTTATGTAGAAGTTAATTTTTGACCACATTTCGGTGTAAAAGCGGCTTTTATTATTTGAAATCGAAATTTTTTTACGAATCATGACTGTTCCTCCTCAATTAGACCTCTAAAATTTTTTGAAATTCATAGTCTTCACATTAGTCATCATTTTCGAGCCTTTTTCGAAATTGTCTGCCACTTTTTTTGCGAAAAATTTTAAAGTACGCAGTGGTTTGGGTTATCAGTTCCGAACCACATTTCGAACGTCTAGTGCCAATTAAAAGGCCGTTTTTTCGCCGACCTTCCGGCTGATATGATAGACCGAGTCTGGAATTGGTCTTTGAAAGAAAGGAATATGAAAAAACGAAGAAAGTGAAAGAATATTTCGGTTGGACGCAAATTTAGATTGCGAAGACTTAATTTGGTATATTAGAGGGTGGGAAATGATCTGAGAATTTAATTAGGAGCTGAACTATGAAAAAAATGTGATTTCTAACAAATTTTTGGACAGTTTGAGGTAAAAACGGCAAATTTTGGGCCTGATTTTTTTCTGAAGCCTATTGGGTGGATCCTGAATGTAGTGCTTATCGTTGTGGCACTTGCTGACTTTTGTTTTTGAGTTTGTTTTGGAAAATAAGTTGATTGAAACAATTATCTTGCATTTCTCCCCAATTTTTATTAGAAACATTCCACTAAAAAACCACGTATTTTTTGTTGCGGTTCTCCGAATTATCTGTAAACATGATAACTCTCACATTTGCAACATTCTGAATTCACATGGGCATCAAAGTAAACACTAATTAGTGGTTCATTTTCCTCTGCAAATTTTTGTTTTCTCTCTTTTTATCGTTGTGTTCTTTGGAATCTGCCCGGAAATGTGCTCTTCATATGAAGATAATCAGGTCAAAAGGTATAGCACCATTTTTGAAGTCAATATTGTTTTAATGGAATTTGGTGGAAATGACGTTTTGACTTCGTAGACATTTAAAAATGAAGTCCAAATAGGGTTGTTGAAGTTTAGATAAAGATGATTGACGCGAAAATTGGTGATTATTGTCGACCTTATTCTTTGAAGGTTTATTTGGGTCTAAAGAGAGTTTTAAGGGATTTGTGATGGCTCATAACAAGTAAGGTGTCTTGTAATGCCATTAAATACCGAAAAATTAAGTACGAATGATACAAATAAGCGTGTGTGCCGAAAAATGCTGCAAAAATCATAAGATGACGCTTTCTAAAGATGGGATTTGTCTTACGGAAGCTGTTTCCGAGCCACAGAAACCGTTGGTGACAGATATTATAAAAAAATGGGGTTTTTATAAAATGAATTCGTCTTACAGAAGCTGCTTACGCTCTAAACGAGCCTCCGAATCATAGAAATCGCCGGTGATGGACAAATGTGGCTATGTCAGCCAAATACAGGCCGGATGAGCTCTAGACTACAAGAAGGTCGAGAAATGAGTAGAATAAGCCCGGATTTGATTTCAAAAAGTATCGCAGAGATAAAAAAATACGCAATACTTTTTGAAGTCATGTTCGGGGTTATTTTGATTTTTTCGGCTTTGTCGTCTATAGCTCTCGGCCTGTGTTGAACTGGCATAGCTGCATGCGTCTATCACCGACGATTTCTATGATTCGGGGGCTCCTATAGATCATAAGCAGCTTCTGTAAGAGGAATTCATTTTATAAAAACCCCATTTTTTATAATATCTATCACCAACGGTTTCTATGGCTCGGAAACAGTTTCCGTAAGTCAAATTCCTTCTTCAGAAAGTGTGATCTTACGATTTTTTGCTGCATTTTTCGGTACACGTGGTTATCAACCGACTTATGGTTTGCAGAACTCTTGCTGGTTCTTGTTTACCCTTCGATCACCACATGATGTACGAATCTAGACTATAAGTTGTTTTGTTTTCGACCAAGAGAGCAATCAGTGATTTCCAAACACTAATCAGAACGACAATATAACTTTTCATCCAGAACTTTAATGCCCGAATTTTTTGCAAATTCTATTGACGGGAATGTCATCAGAAATACATAGAAGGAATGGAGATGACGCAATGGGTTGGGGTTGCAGATTAGGGAATTCGGGATATCCTTGAATTGTCTTATGAACAGGGGATTGTCAGATAAAAAGATAGTATTGTAGTTTGGAAGTCATCGTAAGAAAGAGGCGAGGTTTTTTGTGATCTGGAATAGATCAATGAAGTTTGTGGCTTTCGTTGGATTTTAGTTTGTCATCTTGGTGGTGTTCTTGGGCTCCGGATTTTGATTGAGTCAGCATTTTGTTGCCATCTATCGACGATTGCAGGTTTTCATAGAAACGAGTGTGGTTTTACTTGTTCATTGGTTCTTTGTTCTCTTTGAGCTATTCTAAAACGATGTCTCCTGCGGTTTGATAAATTTTAAATGGCATGTAAAGCACCTGGGTAGTCGGTTGAAAGAGTGTTGACTATGCGGTATCGCCAAGGTCGTCTTACATTTCTATTATGGTTCTTTATCCACTTTTCAAATATTCTCAGGCGTAGGATGCCTTCTCAGTAAGGTCTTCAAAGCTTATTGCAAGAAATTGGACCATGCGCCATGACATGGAGTGTGAAAACATCTCACAAGTAAAATAAGCTTAGCTTGCGGTGGACATGTTCGCTTCCTTTTTACATGAAGTACTAAAAAGTACAGGTTATTCGTATTGAAACGAAGGTCTTGTCTGTCATCCCCCTTATCGTTTTTGTTTGAAAATGAAGGTTGACCTCTGGGCACGTGCGTTTTCCTTTAATCACAAGCACTTTTTATTATTTTCCGTTCGGTTTTTTAATGAATTCGTGGTTGGTATATGGTATATTTGTTTTTTTTGCGGATTCGGAAAGTTGGTGATTCATTGGTCGTCAAATGTGAAGTTTGCAAACATGGATTTCTTAGAATTTGAGACGACTAATTTCTGATGAGCCAATCAGGGCGGTCAGAATGGGCTGAAGTGTGTTTGCAACGTTTTGTAAAGGGGTTTGGGATATTTTTGGTTTTGTAAATCAAACCAAATAACCCTTTCTGAGTCTTATTATACAATTGTCATGTCGTCCAATGGATTTCTTCGTTTTCTGGTAAGTGTTGCGGATTTTTTTGAATACGATTTGTGGTTAAATAAGATGGCCAAGGCTAGTAAAAGTAAAAAATCGTCGTTGTCTAATGGTCTCTCTCTCTCTGTGTTGAATAGTCTCCCCATCTTTTTCTTTTAATATTAAACTTGGATTCGACAGTTAGGACGGAGGATACCGGTAGTAAACATCTTCTAGCATTTGAAGGTGTTGGTGTTGCTCTGTAGATACAGTGAGGGACCTGATCCAGTGCAAAAAACGTACCATTTTGCATCCGGATAGTGTAAAAAAAAATGTGGCAAAATGCCTCCCTTTCCAACTAAAAAAGCTCCGATTTCAAAAGCGAGCTGTTCAAATCGGAGTTTTAGTTGGAGAAGGAGGCATTTTGCCACATTTTTTACATTTCCTGTATGCAAAATGGTACGTTTTTTTGCCACTGGATCAGGTCCTTCACTGTATCTACAGAACAACACCAACGCCTTCAAATGCTAAAAACCGTTTACACTGTCGGTATTCTCTGTCCTAACTGTCAAATCCAAGGTTAATATTAAAAGAAAAGACGCGGAGACTACACTTTTATTAGCATTGGCCATCTTATTCACTGGATGCAACAAAATTGTGTCTTATGACATCTTTTGTTATGTCTAGTTTCTTGATCATGGTCCTTCCGATTCATTGAGTTAATCTTTTTTTCATTTTTTCGTTATCTCGCAGTCTCTCGCTGTCTGCTTACGAAAAATGACGCAAACGACATTCCTCCTGCCAAGTCTGCAAAAACGTGACTTTGCGACTTGTAACCTCCAACCTTCCATCTTTCTCTCATTTCCTCACCCTTCGGACGGTCTCGTTCTCAATCTTGCGACGCGTCTGATCGGGTTTCGTCATTCTTACCCTCCAAAGCATGATGCAGAAACGTTCCCTTGGTCGACGGCGCACTGATAAGCATGGCCCCATCGTCATGCGCCTCCGGAGGGGCGGCGGAATTGCTGACTGTGTTTTGGGCCGATTAGAGCTGTGCAGTCGACAAATCGGTGCAGATAACAGCCGGCCGGCGCGCCTGAAGACGGAATTCTGGCAAAGGAGAGGTCGTTAATTGCTGCGTTTTGTTGTCTCTGTTTGTTAGAACGTCTGAAGGCGGAAGATTGCGAGTTTTCGAGGAGTTCTTGGCTTTTGATTGCTTCTTTGTACCGTAATTGAGTGGAAATGGGAACTTGGACTCTTGGTTTTTGATGATTTATGGGGTAGAAGTTGGAATAAAGAAGTCTGAGTTGGGTTCACATAATCTTGAAGGGATATGGTGAACTAGTAAGGGATTGCAGGGCTTCTGAAGCTTATTTTAGCTTTTTTTTTTAGCTTTTCATCGTGTTTCGAAACTTTTTTATAGTGTTGTCCGTCTTAGACGGCCTTTAGGGACCTTATTTTGCCTTCTGCGCTATTTGTTGACCTTATTTTAGACATCACTTATCGTGATATAGGATTTTGTTTTTTTCGCGAAGTTGCGTTTTTCTCTATTCTCCTAAAGGTGTCTTATTATAATTCTTGTAGCACAAACTTACTCAAAATGCCAAAAACAGCAAAAATGGATGATATTGAACAGATGGAACGGTTGCATTTCCTTAGAATGGTGTGTAAATAAAGATTTCTTTGAGAAAGATATTGCAACCCCATATATTTGTCTTTTGTTTGGTTCAATAAACGTATTTTACAAATTTCAGGAGCAGATCCAGTTCGGGGAGTTTGTCGAACCGATCAAAAAGCACCGTGGCCATGAATTTGCCCTTCAATCCAGCAGCGGCCGTAATCCGTACTGCGAGATTTGCGTTTCCACAATCTGGAGGATCTCTCAGCAATGGAGAAAATGTAAAGGTATGTGCGTTGATCATGCTTGGGCATATTTTACAATTTGTACGAACTTTTTTTGCAAAATCGGACAAGTTATACGATGAAACATGTTTGATCGTATAACTTGTGTCTTTTGCCAAAAGTTGTTGTGAAAAAGACTTCAGATTGTTTAGAAATAAAAGTATTACTGTTTAAATTTCAGTGTGTGGCCTGCGGACTCACGACAAATGCATAAACGAGGTCAAAAGACCCTGCGCCGGCCTCAAAACCCGCCGCGACAACTTCAAATTGAATCTCAGCCTGTGCCCGGAAAGCGGTCTGATGGCCCAAACCTACAAATGCTTCGAGTGCCTGAGGCCAATCGGCTTCGGCAAGGGCCCGGAGCTGGAGCCGAGGATATGCGACTACACCGGAAAGTACTACTGTAAAAAATGCCATTGGAACGACGAAATGGTGATCCCAGCCCGAGTTGTGAGGAATTGGGACTGCACAAAACGTCCGGTAAGAAGGCAAATGTCCAGGGTTAGCGTATTTTACAATTTAGTTCTTTGGTGACATCTTATACGATGAAATATGTCCTAGTTTTTGTTTCTCGACGAGTTTCGTATAAAATGGCAGTTTTTTAAAATGTTTTTTATACTTTTTATGGCCGTATTTTACCTCAGAATGTTTATAGGTGTGCCGGGCATCGAAACAACTCCTCTCATTGGTCGAACAAAAACCGATTATCAACCTAAATCGCGATAATCCAGCCCTGTTCAAATATGTCGGCGCTCTCCAAAAAATGCAAAAATTGCGAAGCTCGATCATGTTCATGAAATGCTACTTTGTCTGCTGTAGAGTGAGTTTATTTTTGAGATTTTTTAGCGATTTTCGAATTGATTGGACATCGATTTTTTGAATGAAATTGAATTTCTTCAGCAAGCCCGAAAACTCCGAATCCTCCAGCATTTGAATAAATATCAACATTTTGTTGAATCAGAGGACATGTACAGCCTAACGGACCTAGTTCAAGTTGCTACTGGCCCCATTGTGCAGGAAGTTGAACAAGTGGTCGAGATTTTCAAGACCCATATTACACATGACTGTGAAATTTGCAAAGGAAATGCCTTTATCTGCGAACTTTGCGATGATGATCATGTAAGTTTTTGGAGTTTTTGAAGAGGTAGATTGATTAAAAGTGGGGTAAAATATATTTTGGATATTGGTTTAGGTGATATAATATGATAAAGTTTTTTGTGTTTTTATTAGGTTGTCCAGAAAGTTGGTTCGTTTTTTCATTGCTTTGTTTTACAAGGATTGTTTGTTGTTTGGCAAAGGGTAAATATTTATTTGATACAGTTTTATCTCTTCTACAAAACCAACGAACAAACAGTTCTTGTAAAACAAAGCAATGAAAAAACCGAACGAACTTTCTGGGCGACCTAATATGTTTATAATTTTTTTTATTATGATGAAAATTTCAGCTCATCTTCCCCTTCAATGAAGGCGTTTCGATCTGCAAAACGTGCTACGCCTGCTTCCACAAGCCCTGCTTCGATCGCCGCTCGAAACGATGCACTAGATGCCAGAGGAGAAGGTCCCGAAAAGCGGTTGTTACTGTGGAAGAAGATGAAACCGAGGAAGAACAGATGGATGAAGAGCAGAAAAAGATCACAGAAGCCAATGCAAGCACAGCAACTTTGGTCGGCAGTGTGCAAGAGGAAAAGGGAATTGAGATCGGAGTTGTCAAGGAAAATGAAGAAATTGCGATGAGTTTGGCCGAAGAAATGAGGGAAATGGAGATGAAAAATGAGAGTCAATGCTGAGAAGAGGACCTGCAAGAAATTTTATGTCGCGATCTTGTCTTTTTGCAGTGAAAATTAAGAGAAATAAGATTTTTTGAGCTTTTACCCCAAAAAATTGAAAATTTTTGGTTGATTTCTCTTTTATTTAGAGTATAGTTGATGTATTTTGGGTCTGGTTGTAGTGTACAGAGTACACGTTTTAATTTACGGTGATTCCCATCCATTTTTATTGTAATTTACCCATCCATTTCACTTTTCAAGTGAAATTTTGTAAAAATCCTGAAAAAATTTGAAATTTCTAGTCTAAAATCGGTATTACTGTATTGGAATTGATAGTATCCGGTGCCTTATTATGTGAGTAATAGCATAGTTTATTTAGATAAGTAGTATTAGAGTTTTTTCAATGTTTTTTTTTTAATTTTTTTCAAGAAATCTTTCATGTACAAAGTCAACTTTTATGAAATTTATTTTGTCGAATTTTACAGTATTTTTAAGTGCCTTATAAATTGTACAACATATCATGCTCCAACGTTGTAATCTTTGTCTTTGTTGAAAACGTTTTTGCTTATTTTATATTGTTCTAGTTTAATTTACTATCAGCAATAAATTAATATAAAAAATGTTTGAAATTTGATATTTCAATGGACAAACAGGTCGGAAGTGAGGTAAGGATGAAATGATAGTTGTTTACCTCCTGTAGACAGGTGAAAATTTAGAAGTTACAGTAAGTTTTTATTTGGTTATGGATCTGATGTCTAAAACAATATAAATTATAGCTAATTCTTCTTCATGCTGCCGAATAAAACCTACGTAGAGTCTCTGGAACTCCTGACAACTGTTCAGCCTGGTTTGCATCCATTTTACTGACAAAAGACGTAATTCAGATTTTCGTGGCGGGACGCAGCCAACAAGTACGCGAAGATTTCGTAAACTTTCGGAATTTTCCAAGTTCTCAGAATAACCAAAATTATATAATTATACTCACAGTTTCGGAATGTTTTCAGCTGAATTGCTGAAATTTGTGTATGTAACACCCACCGTCGCCGTAAGTTTTTTTACAATTTTGTGTTATTCTTTAGACCTATGTGGCCGAACCAGAAATTCCGTTGGTTCTGGTGGTGGACGGTTCCAAAATGCTGCTGATGCAGCGATTCGACCTTCTCCATTCATTCGAGCTCACAATGCAGTCAAGGATGACCTATAAAGACGCCAAATTTGGTGCCGTTCTGAAGAATTTCTCGGGGGTAGGTGTGAAATAATATTTTTAGGTAACTTTAGCTTTCTTTTAGGAGCATTCTTTTAAATTTTATTTTAAAACCCAAGGAGATGCTCAGAAATTCGTCGCTCAAGTCAAGAATGTAATTAGAATTGGCGAGAAAATTTCATCCACTCCGTCGAAGAGCATGGAGAGCCAGGTAGATGGATAAGGTCAAAAATCATATTCAAACCTGTTTTTTTCAGCATGAACAGCCTGTGTTCAGGTCTGCGGGACTTGGTTCGTCTGCGTCTACCTTTCAACCGCCCAGTTATCCGTTTTCCAGCTCACTTCAATCGGGATCCAGAGAATCTGTTACCAGAAAATTGGACGAGTTCCTGGCGGACGAACCCACCCAGTCTTGCGTTGGAGTAACTCAAAAGTCGACAGCCGTCCGCAATCTCACGCAACAGTTCATAGGCGAGCCGACACAAACACAATCCACTTCGCATGCAACTCAGGTGAATTTATATTATCCATGGTGAAGATTTGAATTTTAGGTAAATTCCATTGACAAAAAGGAAATTGAGAATTTGGTCAATGAGTTTTCATCGCATATTTCCGAATTCTTCGGACGTCTCTTGACTGAGGTACTGGAGAGACTGGATTCGCACTTGAAGAATGTGCCGAGAATTCATGTGGATGATCTGGCTCGATCTTTTATTGTCGATACTGGTGGAGCTGGAAAGCGGAAGGAGAAAAAGGACAAGAAATTCAGTAATGGGGCAAGGATTCGGAAATTGCTCCATTCTTCGACTTATTGGCCAGGTATGAATTTATATTGTACTTGATGTTGATTTTTAGGAAATATTGACTTTTTTTGATTCCAGGCTTCTTCGACGGTGCAAAGAAGCCAAAAAACGCGGAAAAACCCGCCGACGTGGCCGTGAATTCGCGCAAAAGAAGGTCGGCGATCCAGGCTCGTTCTAAGATTTCGGCGGTTGCGAAGAGCGACCTGAAGGGGGCTTATTACAAACACCGCCGCTTTTCTGTCCGGAAGAGCGGTCAAAATAACTCTCAGGTTGGTTGGCTACTCTTTTTATTGTTACTCATGTTTAGGCTGAAAGTCAGTCAGATGTGGAGAAGTCTGATGACGAAGTTGACGTCGTAAGCTAATGTTCTCAGAGTTTCATTTGTTCTCGGTTATTTTTAATATTTCTCACTGTTATGTTGTTTTCACAATTTTTTGTTATTGTTTTGATAAAAAAGGAAGGAAAAGAAAATTTTGATGTTTCCCTCAATTTTTTTGTTCTTTGATAGTAAGATTAGGCCGAAAACATTAGAATAGCTTGCAACTAAAGTTGCGGGAGTAAAAGTTTGATTTTTTCCAGGAAAAAATCGCAAATTTTCCTAAACATTTGGTTTAATTTAGCTGATCTTGCAAAAATTCCCATGAAGATCGAAAATTTAAACGCCTACGGGTGTATCATTATTAAAATGTTAATAAAGTTTTATTGGCTGGTACGAAGACAGCAGTGGCCATATAACACAGACATTTGAATGTAAATTATTGTTCAGAATGAGGGGTTTTGTCCTCTTTCTTTTTGTTTGCGCGATTTTTCAGGGATTTGTTCAAAGTCAAGTGACATCAGGTGGGTTTTTATTGGATATAAATTCTATTATTAACATTGAAAAAGGCCTAAAGTTCGAGTTGAAAATCTCGAAAGGGTTTTCTTTGCTTTTTCGTGTTACTCTATTTTTTGATTAGATTTTGATGAGACTTACAGTAGATTTACATAGAAGAAGACTTTGTATGGCATATTTTAATGTTTTAGCTTGTTCTTTGCAGAACTAACCGACATTTTTTAGGCCCGAAGTTGGCGAGGAATCAACAATTTTACTTATTTTTTGTCTGTCTTGCTCTCTTCTACACGTTATCTCCACTCCACAGGCGAAATTTCAAAAAAAATCTTTAAAAATTTTTAGGCCTTTGTCATTTCCAGAAAGCACTCAGAAATTTTTAGGATGCAATTTGGAGATCTGTGGCGCTGTTTGTGAACCCGATTCGGTCGACTTGGAAGCCTGTGTAACCGGCGTGTGCAAGTGCCAGAAAGCGATCAAACCTGCGAAAAACGAGAGTTTCTATTTAAAGATTCAGTAATTATGATTCAAAATAAATAAATTTCTACGGAAAAATTTGATCATATTCACTGTTGTAAATTATGATTATGTGCGAATCTTATTTCTTTCATTATCAGGCAAAAAACTTCAAAGTCGAAATAGTCATAATTTCGTACGCCTACAAGGCAAAAAATACTTTTTTTTTGAACTTTACTTGTTAACCGACGATAAAAATAGGAGCAGAAAAACGTTATGGTACTTTATTGGAAACTTTAAGCGCTTCGATTCTTCACGGTAGTTGTTCTATAACATTTACATCTTTTATTTTCGCACTTTCCGTATTGATACCCGTCTTCTATGCAGAGCATGGTGCAGAACTCATCAGTGCATGGAGGGACTAAAAATAGTTTAAATAATTTCTTTTATACTCCATCTTCCATACCACGACGATGCTCGTTGTGTAGGGCATTACAAACGGTGGTAAAGATAAAAACAGTCGCTAGTAGAAAAATTAGAAATTTCATCGCAGAAATAAGTTGTCAGCAGAGAGAAGATTGAATATGTTTTGCTTCAGTTTGTGTTAAAATAGAGATAAATTGAATGCAAATTGAAAACAATGTAAATTATCTAGAGGCTCTTCCCCAATTAGCATATATATTAGTGAAGTGAAATAGTAAATCTTTCAGTCAACATTTATTTTCTTTTAGTTTTTTAAACAGCTAACGATAAATTTGTAATGAATAATTCATTAATTACTTTCATTTCCTTCCCTAGGTGGTTCCGAAAGTTGCATGAAGTCTTATTGGATAAAGTTTTCGCGACTATTGTAATCTTACTTTAACGATTACATAGGTCGCATGTTTCTAAAATATTTTTGTATTCTCAGTCGATATACTTGTGTCTCGGGGTGGTTTTTGGACTAATGCGTCGGGAAAATAATGAGTACAATGCCGCATATGTAGAAAAGATCTTTAAATTTTTGCATGCATTTTTATTAAGCAATTAATTGTAAGCGTATTTCCAATGAATAATCAATTTTTGTCTCCCAGATTATTGCGGAAGATTGGCGACGTCGGGATGGATAGCCATGGGGAAGTATAAGTTGTCGTATGAAATTTTGACCGGGGGATACAGCTCTCCTTGAGTGTTTGGGTCGAGTAATTGCACAAGGAAGTAGCCTTCTCCCCAGCCGACGACGGCTGCGGAAAACTCGCGATAGTCGGGAACACTCTTAAACTAAGATATATCGTTAAGCCACAAAACCCTTCACTTACGTGGTAAACTTCGTCGGACTTGATGGTTTGCAGAAGATCCGCTTTGCCGAGGAAAATGACAAAAACGGGTCCATTGTGGTACACCTCGTCTTTCAACTGCTCGCTGCCGAAGACTTGGCTTCTGTTTCTCGTCTCCTCCGACTTGAAGTCGAAGCGCACTCGGACCCCCCTGTTCCCATTAACACATTCCTCAACGCATTCCTGCGCATTTTCGTTCCATGGTTGGCATTCCTCCGTAACCACACCGTTTTTATAGATCTGATCAAAAAACTGGGTCGAGTCTCCGTTTCTAAATTATAATCAATGTGTTTGACAGTACTTTAGGCGTTTTCGAAAGAGCGTAGACTTTTCGTTGCTAGGCATAGTTTACGGTAGAAAAATCGTAATTACAGTGGGGGACCTGATCCAGTGGAAAAAAACGTACCATTTTGCATCCAGGAAGTATCAAAAATGTGGCAAAATGCTTACCTCTCCAAGTGTAAAAAACTCCGATTTCAAAAGCGCGCCCGCTGTTTTTGTGAGGTAAAGGATATACCCTTCAAAACGAAGTTATTTCACTTGGTGAGCGAAGCATTTTGCCACATTTTTGATACTTCCCGGATGCAAAATGGTAAATTTTTTGCCACTGGATCAGGTCCACCACTGTATAATCGGTAAATGTCGGCTGCTCGCAAGTGTCACGACGCCACAAAAAGTCTACGCACTTTTGAGAAGTCATGGTGTACGACACAAGGGAATTCAACGGCATACCCATAATCTTTGACTTTGTTGTACGAGCATTGTAGTATGTGTGTGGGCGAGACGAAAATCTCCCTTCCACTTTCCAAACATATGCGCACGTTGATGATCCAAGCAGCGGTGACTGCCTTGTACGCCTCGTCAATAAGGGTCCTCTCCGACATGTTGTATGCTTTAGAAGTAACAGCAAGGCAGTTGCCGTTGTCCAGAGCATTGTATGATGCTGGGAGAGCGGCGTCTGAAGCCACCAATGGCAGCAAGACGAAGAGTAGTCTCTAAAAATTGTGTTGTCAAGTTCACTACCTAATAAAAACCTTTTCACTAACGAGTTCCTTACTTACCAGAGAATACATGGTTGTAGTCGTTGATGATTGCCGTTAATTTTGCCATCATTATATACTAGATTTTGGCGTTGTTATGCTCATTGTTACTTTCTTTTTTAATTAAACAAAATGTCAATGTTAATTGGTTTTCGTAGCGATCCGGCTTTGATAACACAATGAGTACAAAGACATTTTTTTTGAAATCTTCAGATCCAATTTTCTGAAATGACCTTTAGGCAGACAACATTTACGAATAACAATGACGGTTTCCTAAACAAAAAAAACTAGACGGTCCAAAAAGTTCTGACATGTTTTCACATGGTGCGGTCGGCGTCGCGACTTGGCTTTACGCGATAAACAATCAGCACAGTGCGAAACAATCAGCGCAGTGCGAAACAATCAGCACAGTGCGAATGAAAAACGCACTGTGCAGTTTAGGCCCTTTTCAAAGGCGTTCATTTCGCACTGTGCGCGGTCGCCGTGTACCCACAGCATTCCGAATTATTTTTGCCGCCGACCGGCGTCCGAAAAAATGAAGAAATGAGATACGCCTCTTACATTTTTGCCAATATCTCGCTAGCCTCGAAGTGTAGCGTGAATCTGAAAATTGTGTTTCAAAGCTGGCACATTTGTCCTTCAGAATATACTAATTTTGTAATGATACTTATTATGTACGGCAAGGAAACCGTTGCTGAAAAATGGCAAATTTCAATATTCAATGCCAGAAAAATTTACTTTCGAAGTGCCAGATCACAAAATTATGGGCCTCATTGTGTAAAGCATCTTGAACACTATAAGATATAACAATTTCAGGAATTTTCTGGCCCGATTCGCAGAGTTATAGCCGAAAAACTGCAATTTTGGCCTTCTTATTGTGCTATCTGCACTTTAAAAGTACATACAAAAAATCCCTCTTAAATTATTGTTGCCCAGGTTGTGATGGACCATCGCGCAAAATCTCAACCTTCCACGACTTCTACGCAAAAAGTTATAACGGTTACAATATGGGACCCCCGTATGTCCAATATTTAGTAAAATACGGTGAACTATGGTGCAATATGGTGTTATATGATGGAATTTCTATTGCTGCTGTCGCGCTGGTTGGGGTAAAAAAATTTTATCGTAATTACACGGTCAACTACATAAAAAAATTTCCCAGCTATGTCCCCAATTTTTCACTGTTTTCTCTTTAGTATAGCGAAAACTCGAAATCGTGTCCCTCGTGCGGAAAAATCTGAGAGACAGTGTTCAGGTTTCGAGTAAGTTTACGCAGGCCATATAGATCTATTTTTTACCATGGTGTACTGTATTTTACAAAATATTGGGCATACAAGGGTCACACATTGTAACGGTTATAACTTTTTCCGGAGGAGTCCTGGAAAGCTGAGATTTTGCGCAATGGTCCATCACAACCTGGGCAACAATAATTTAAGAGGGATTTTTTGTATGTACTTTTAAAGTGCAGATAGCACAATAAGAAGGCCAAAATTGCAGTTTTTCGGCTATAACTCTGCGAATCGGGCCAGAAAATTCCTGAAATTGTTATATCTTATAGTGTTCAAGATGCTGTACACAATGAGGCCCATAATTTTGTGATCTGGCACTTCGAAAGTACATTTTTCTGGCATTGAATATTGAAATTTGCCATTTTTCAGCAACGGTTTCCTTGCCGTACATAATAAGTATTATTACAAAATTAATATCTTCTGAAGGACAAATGTGTCAGCTTTGAAACACAATTTTCAGATTCACGCTACACTTCGAGGCTAGCGAGTTATTGGCAAAAATGTAAGAGGCGTATCTCATTTTTTCATTTTTTCGGACGCCGGTCGGCGGCAAAAATAATTCGGAATGCTGTGTGTACCGTGGATTTTACTGGTCGCTGTGCGACAAGTTTTTTGCGCGACGGCTGCAGATATGTCAAGACTTTGGCCCGCTTATCAGTCCATCGGGAAATAATTTGTATTTGCCACACGATGAAGTCCGCCATCATCGCTTTGATGGCGGATTCTTACATAAGGCTTTTTGGCCCGCCAGACGTCAAATTTGCGTCAAAATCAATATCAGCCCGTCGGGAAAATAATGAGCGCAATGTCGCTTCGCCGATCGCGTCGGTGAGGTGAAAAAAAATTTTTTTCCCGCGACACACCTCATTTTCTCGGTGGCGATGCGAAATATTAGGTTGATGCAAAAGGAATTGCGGATTTTTTAATTTATTCGTATTTTTTTATAGGATAGCTCAATTCAAAAATGGAAAAAGGTATATAGTAGTAAATTTTAAGAGGATTTTTTCTGTATATGTGCTATTCTTATAAAAGTTATCAAACGTTACCATAGGTTACCACGAAGGTACCCTAAACATGTTAGTACATTTTAAACCAATATTTTTACATATTTTTTTGCGGCTTTATCCATTTTTGAAAATATTTTGATAAAATACATTATATTCTATCAAAAAACAAAAAAAACCCCCATTTTTGGCAAAGCGTTAAAACGCTATCCCAAAAATTCAAACTTCAGCAAATTTTACAAATCGTGTCGTGTCTTTTTTTTAATAAGTCCAAAATAAAAAATTCTTTTTGCTTTCGATTAGTAACAACATTTTTAAGGCTTTCGTGAAAAAAAGACATCAAAATCTTGAATTTTATTTTTTGGTCAAAAAATGTCAAAAAAATAAATTTTTTTGATTTTGATGTTTTTTGTCACAAAAATCTTAAAAATGTTGTTACTAATCGAAAGCAAAAAGAATTTTTTATTTTGGACTTATTAAAAAAAAGACACGACACGATTTGTAAAATTTGCTGAAGTTTGAATTTTTGGGATAGCGTTTTAACGCTTTGCCAAAAATGGGGGTTTTTTTTGTTTTTTGATAGAATATAACGTATTTTATCAAAATATTTTCAAAAATGGATAAAGCCGCAAAAAAATATGTAAAAATATTGGTTTAAAATGTACTAACATGTTTAGGGTACCTTCGTGGTAACCTATGGTAACGTTTGATAACTTTTATAAGAATAGCACATATACAGAAAAAATCCTCTTAAAATTTACTACTATATACCTTTTTCCATTTTTGAATTGAGCTATCCTATAAAAAAATACGAATAAATTAAAAAATCCGCAATTCCTTTTGCATCAACCTATACAAAGGTAACATTTCCTCATTCTTTTGCAGTTTCTCCAAGGTTTATTCCGACGTAATTTTCAAACAGTATTTTTAAGCCAACATTTAGTCGTAATAACATTCACAGTGACCCTCGGGATCACCATAGGGAACGCAATGTCCGTACCAGGCTCCTTCCACGTCATCTCGGCAGTATATGGCGCAAGCATCCATGCTGCACCGTGCCGCTAAACGAACCATTTTTAGAGAAAGCGAAGGAGCAAGTCGCAAGGAATGACATGAGGTTACCCTTTGGCAACACATGTCTCTTTGGCGTTCCAGAAAGTGCGTAGACTTTTTTCGGCCTTGTTTTTTGCAGTGCAAAAGCGACGCGATCCTTTTCGAAACATTTTGCACTGCGCAACTTCATTTCGTGCGCCCAAAATTCGCGCCGACTCCGTTGAGAAAAGCTTGCATCGCTGCGATATTGCACTTGCACGGTGCAAAAGATCAAATGCACGCCGCAAAAAAGAGTTCTGTGCACGGTGCGGCACACGACAAAAAGTCTACGCACTTTCTGGAACGACTAGGGCCAAAAAGTCTTGACATGTCTGCACGGTGAGCCATCGTGCGAACTGAGACTTGTCGCGCAGCGATACGTAAAATTCACGGTGCAGTGCGACCCCGCACAGTGCAAAAAACTCGTCTTGAAATGGGAGATCGAAAGCACAGTGCGCTCTTTTTTCGCACCCCGCCGAATTTTTATCCTGCGGCACCTCGTCGAAACGCCTAGTTCACGTGTCCGCACGGTGCGAAAAAACGGCCGCACTGTGCGAGGAAAATGTCAATTGCACAGTAACTTTCCTAGCAGTTCATCATCCCTTGCGACTTGCTTGTTTTCGCACTATTCTCGCTTACACCCGACATCAAACAGAGTGACAAAGACGACCATAGAGAGTTAGGCGCAACAAAAAGTTCATGGCGATGCAAGCAATGAGACGCTTGATTGGAATGGGGGCTTTTATGTAACAGTAGAATAAATTGTTCAGACACCATTAAGCCGTTGAGTGTGGTATTATCATACGTTAATGAGCGTGCGAAAAGGTTTATGTAAACAAATCCTCTAAAATTCTCGAAAAACCATTTATTTCGTTCAAAATATATATCACAGATATGACGATCGTATAAATATGAGATCAGTGTAATGCACAAGGAAGAAGTCAATTTAAATATGCATTATATTTTCTTCCGAGTCGCTGAAGACGTTCTTAAACGAGTAGAGCGGTCGCTGACTGTCAGAGTCTGCTTTGCTCCGTCGACTCGATACTTGATGTGAAGGCAGATGGTAGGCGACCGTGTTGCGGTAATTCCGACAGTACAACATGTAGAGGCGGAAGATGAAAAAGGAGACGGTCTGAAAAATGCAGAGGGTTAAATTTATACGTTTTTCAATTTTAAAAATTTTTTTTTGGATTTTTTATTGTAATTTTAGTTCACACGTAGATCGACTTTTTCCACTAATCCTTCCGGAAATTTAAGGCCGATTTTTGGCGCTGGCACTATGCGAAAAATGTCAATATGCGAACGACAGCCGAAAAGAGCCTATTGCACGATGCAAAAAGCCAGAAATTGCGCAGTGAAAAGTGAACTTTTGTTTCAAAAAATCATTTTTTTCTGACCAATGTCGGCTTTTTTACAAAGCATTAGATAAAATTTTGGAAGTTATTGCGCGCCGTCAACATTACTCAAATTTCTGTATAACAGAGTTATTTGTTGTAGAAAAGCTCCGTTTTACAAAGATTTATTTTGCCTATAATCGATGTGTTTACACCTCTAAAACTGCTGGTTATAGAATGGCTTTGCAGTAAAGAGTTAGTCGTCTTCATTTGAGAGTTTCAATTTTTTTCTCAAAAAAGTGCAAAAATAAAAAATGAATAAATCCTCTAAACCTGTTCCACCGTACTCCCACTTCCGTTCGTATCCGAGAAAGAACGCCCGTTCAGTTTTTTAAAAATTTTCGATGACAAAAAAAGTCTTGACATTGATTTGATTTGTCGCCACGGGAAAATCCATCTTTTACACGTGACGTAACCGAAAATATCTTTTTTTGGAAGGTGATCTCTGTCTTAACCGAATCAATGGAGAACTTTGAGACACGTAGCGGCTCCTTTTGCGGTGTAAAATGTGTTTTTAAAAGGCGAAAAGGTGTAGTTTGAAAAAAATGGGAAGCAAGCAAACGGAAATCGCTGCGTATTTTAAAAATTCAGTGTCGAATGTTAATGAAACTTAGAACAAATTCAGATTACAGTTTTATAAGAATTATGTTATGTTTTTAGCATGCGATTTGCGACAAACAAACAGGATTTTTTTGGTCGAAAATGGGTGAAAATGCAAAAATTTTTTTAAATTTTTGTCATCACAAAATTCCCCCATAAAATTCATATTTGGCGCTTCATATTTTTTACAAGTCTGTCGGGAAAATAATGAGCACAAATCGCTGCGCCAATCGTGTCACTGATGTGAAAGAGCAACTTGAGTTTGCCGCAACAAGATTCATTTTCTCGGCGGCGATGAGATTTTCGACGCGACATTTTGCTTATTATTTTTCCACTGATACGAAGAGTTACAAAAATAATTTTTCTGCTTGAAAATTCGCAAAGCAATGAAAAATAAAACAAAAAATGATTTTTTTCTCGCCGACTCTCTTCCTTAGCGCAGCCTCTCGTTAAAAAGATTCTTTAATATCTTTCGTTAGGTATGTTTAAGGGTGTATGTCGAACTTTTGACAAAAACCCCATTCGCAACTTATCACGTTTCAATCAAAAAATTTGATGACTAATCCCACTGTAATGCACTCAAATTTCCGGACAGGTTGAAAACATTACACCTGATGAGAAAACAGGTAATTGAGTGGCTCAAATCATCAGTTACCATCAGGTGACTGATTGACAAAAGAACAACTCAAATGTACAAGGTTTGCGGTAAACAACCGGGTTGAATTTTGGTTTGTGCGGGGAAATTTAAACAAGGAAGTGGGTAAAGGGCATAGCTCCGATTAGCGTCAAATTTGGGATAGATTTTGCCTTGGGATAGTATTTTATTACCAATAATAGACTTAAAAGTCTTGGAAATTTTAGCTTTTCTATTGCAGCGGCCGCTGAGATCTTAAAGCATTTTTTAAATATTGTAGAATATAAGGAAAGAAGGTCAGAAAAAACGTTTTTTTACCCGAAATTTTCACAAGGAAAGTACTTCTATGGGGTGTGGAATTACCGGTCGAGATATATATCAAAAAATTCGCAAACATTTTCTGATTCAGAATATATATAAATTAGCTGCCTAATTTTGGTCTGATGACATGTTTTTGTCCTCAGAAGTTTTCTCGCGACGCCATGCAAGTGTCTTTTTGACCGTGTTTTTACCAATAAAAAAAATTTGTTTTATGCTAAACTAAATTCTGAGGCCATGACAAGCCTTAAAATATCAAATTGGATTACAACTACACCTTAAAAGTAGTTCCAATGTAAAAAATGGGTTCTAGTGTGGCAAAAAGAATCGGACCCGTTCCCCTCGGATTTCCAACCCAGCGCTCTAACCACTCGGCCACACCGCTCTCTTCCGAAGGAAGAGACCGAGCGCGCTTTTGTTGCCGCAGATTTTTTTCCTCGAGAAAAACATTTATTGAAAAAACTCGCTGATAGACCAAAATTAGGCAGCTAATTTTTATATATTCTGAATCAGAAAATTTTTGCGAATTTTTTGATATATATCTCGACCGGTAATTCCACACCCCATAGAAGTACTTTCCTTGTCAGAATTTTGCAATCAAAAATGACTTTTCCAGCTCAAAAATAATGACAGACGGTTCAAAAATTTAATTTATCTACTCTAAAAAGCCTATAAAGCAAATTTTAAAAGGCGAATAACTGAATCGTTCTAGTATAGCAAAGTTTATTTCGGCTAAGCAAGGCCCCTGGAACTTTTAAAATTATGTGTTATATAAATATAATAGATAGGCCTTGTCCTACAGAGGTCGCTTGGATTTTAAAAATTGAAAAACTCCGGCTTGTTTTATTGGGATTTTTTAAACTGATAATAGTTTCTCGGGTTCAGCTTGCGTATTTTAAAATTTCGAAATTTTGTTTTGCATTTTTTTACCAAAAAAACGAAGCTTCAAAAAACTGCGAACAAATTTTAAAAATGTTTGGAAAAAAATTACGTCCTAAGAATTCAAAAAATTTCGAAAAAAATCCCACAAAAGTCCAAAAAGTCTCCAAAAATCCCCCAATAATCCCCTCAAAAAACTGCAAAAACTCACCACAATCACAGAAATGCCCAAAATCAAAATCGACGCGGAAATGAGTTGATGTATCGACTTTGAGTTGAGTCCAAAATCGAGGCCAACAAACGAGTCGGCGATCTGATGATTCACCGTGAGATTCATCGCTGCAAACGAGAACAGCCGCCGGATTCTCGCTCGGATTCTGGAGATACACAGGATCTGCTTCGAGATAAGTAATAGTTTGAAAACTCGATGGGTCACGAAGTAGGCGATAAGGAAGTGGAAATGAAGGAAATGGGAGGGAAAACAAAAAATAAAGAAAAGGGGAAAATGTATTGAAAAATGTTTTAACAATTTTAAATTGACAAAAAAGTTGAATGGAAATTCTTCTTTTGAAAAATTGAAGCCAAACCTCTGTACAATAAATCGCAAGAGCCGCTAAAATTACAGTGACAGAGCTGATCCAGTGGCAAAAAGCGTACCAGTTTGCATCCGGGAAGCATCAAAAAATGGGGCAAAATACTACTCTCTGCAAGTGAAAAAACTCCGATTTCAAAAACGCGCCCGCTCTTTTTGTGAGGAAAGAGGGCGCGCCCTTCAAAACGGAGTTTTTTAGTTGGAGAGGGAGGCATTTTGCCACATTTTTGGATACTTCCCGCACGCAAAATTGGTTTCAAAAAAGAGCGACCACTGGATCAGTCCGTCACTGTATATATTATATTTGTTGTGGAAGGGTTTGCTTGTACGATTTCAGGGATTTTCTGCACGGGGTTCCATGGGGAAACGACAGTAGGGGACCTGATCCAGTGGCAAAAAGCGTACTGCATCCAGGAAGTATCAAAAAAGGGGGTAAAATACCTCCCTCTCCAAGTATGCAAATTGCGGTGGCGGGGAAAATTGTTATTTTGCGGATCGCCACGGCTTGGAAATTTTTGCTTTGGTTTGCCTTTACTATCTTTTCCCCAGATCAGGAAAGACCCTCTCGAATTACTATACAGAGGGCCATATAACGAAGGCTTCCTATAACAAGTGGTTTCTTTGACCCTTTGGGATTCGTTACTGCACAACGTAAACGGCACCGTATACCGTATTTTGAACTTATCAAAGACTTTACAAAGGCGTCATCAACAAGTTTGAGAGCTATTTTTACCATCTCATCAAGGCTGTTATCAGAGAACAACGCTCAGAAAACGACAGACAAATACCGTTTTACATGAGAATTTAAAGGGCAATGACTAAAAACGCATCTTTAATTCACTTTCAAGGGCATAAATATTAAAAAAATCTTTTTTCTCTCAATTTTGAAATTACAAAAAAAAAATTCTGCAAAATTGAGCAATAAAATGAGTGGTTATCGCGCAAAAAATTTCGGAGAAATACAGTGAAAGCTCAACAGGAAATATGATCAGCTCATGGGGAAAGTTTATTTTCGAATGGAGATCATCAATCAATTATGGGGAGGCGGGAGAAATTATCATCTTTCAAAATATTGTAGGTGGGAAGTAAAGAATGTGGTTTTTAGAATAGAAAAGTAATTTTTGCTGCAGCTGTCTAATCCTACATTATATAGCGATTGAGGTTATCCAAATAAAACGGGAAAAAGCAGCTCAACACACAACGTTAACCGATCAAGAACAGCTCTTTGAGCCTCTCTTTGAGCTGTTTCCTAGTGGCCAATCGTTAGCTGATCGGTCAAAAAAGTGGGCGAAGCAAAGGCTATGTCTATCACGGTTTTTGAAAATTTAACTTATGGAGCTAACTATCGTAAGACTTTGATGAAACTTGGTGCAAATTTAGATGACTTTTTTTGAAGAGATATGAGAAAAAATACTAGCTCGAGTTTTTAAGAAAAAATCGAGATTTCTTGAATGAAAGCTGGCAAAAATAGGACATCGTTTTGCAAACTTCAGCATGAAAAATTTCACATCCCTTCCTGCCATAGATCGCAATGTTTTCACAAAGAAAATCATTTCTCCCTCACGAAATTGACAAAGATACGGCCCAAAAATTGTTTTTTCGCCGCTCTCCGCATTTCGTATACTCTCTCGGCAGCAAAGGTCGTTCAATATCTCGGCTGCCCCTGCGAAACGCGGGCCAAAACTTTCAAGAATCAATATTTTATGTAGGCTCGAAATGTATGCAAAATTTAAAGAAAAACTGAGTGTCACACTTGCAGTTCTTCCTTTGAATTCCCTTGCAAATTTAAAAAGTTATGACCTGAGACTTTTGTCAGTCTAGCGAAAAAAGAGAGAATTGTCTCATTTTTCAAATTCTCTCAAAAAATATAGAATATCTCGGCTCCGCCTACATAGAAGAAGCTAAAATTTTTACGAATTTATGTGTGGAGCCTTTGGAATAGGGATACCAAATTTGAAGAAAATCAGAGAGATGCCTATGAAGCAACTGACGCTAGAAGGAAATTTGTTACATTGTCGAAAAAATAATGTGTTAAATTTTCTATTAAAAATTCCTGTAAAGCAGATATTGAGAAAGGTTTATTCTTCCGTATTTTACCCACAAAAAATCCTTACCCTGTCGAAAAATTCTAAAATCGCAACATCTTTCATGGAAATCAAATAAAATCGCAATCAACCGCTCTGAAACTCCTAAATTTGGTTTATTTCGCTTCGCAAACCGCTGCAACCACCGCAAACCACATTTCGTCGGCATGCTCATAAATTTTATCCGTTTTTGGGGTCGGCTCATAAATCAGCCGTCCCGTTGGCGGGTACCCGGTGACGGGAAACGAAAACATTTACTTGAGGGGTCAAACTGTATGAGCGATTAAGGCTACAGTGCGAATTACAGTAGTTGTGTAATCAGGCGCATTCTACTGTAAGAACTTGAGATATCAAAGTTTAGGAAAGTGTTGACAAGAAAATGTAGGACGGTCGGATAATTTTGGACATGTATGCTATGTAAGGCAGCTATGAACACTAAAAAATTGTGGTCGTTGATTTATGAGCTAGTATATGATTTATAATATATGACTTTTTTGGGACAAGAGAACGTCAAAATTGAGGAGAGACGGCCAGGAGGAGAAAGTGAAAAGTATTTATATTCTTTTCTGGCCATGTCTCCGCATATACCAAAGTGTTTTGCAGCAAAACCTAATAGTTCTTTTTTCTGCTTCAGTTAACGAATGTAACTAAATAACGAGTAAATAAAATTAATTTCGGACCATTACCTTTACCTCGTAAGGAGAGCAAAAGAAAATTGCGCAGGTATATTTAACTTTCCATCAATTGCATACAATTGTTTGCTGTAGACAATGCATCTTGCCAATTTTTTGCTCTCGTGTGCAAAATTTATTTTTTGTGGCCACGCAGTTGAAAAAAGCTTACGTAGTGACGATTTGCGAATTGCACAGTGCAAAAGTGGAATGCACAGTGAGAAAAAATTTGTGACAAATAGTCTACGCACTTTCTGGAAAGAATGCTGTAGCAAGGTTTCGTCGTATGGAGGCTTACTTTGGCCTGAAATTGGATGCTGAGCATAAAAAATTGCTCATTACAAGGCTGAGCATAAAAAATTGCCTGTTACAAGGTGCTTCGGATTAAAAAAATAAAGCAAAAATATGCAATTGATCCCCTATTAATAAAAATTATTATTTCCATAAAAAATCACAAATTTGATCTCCATGAGCCATAGCGTTTCTTCTCAAAAAAATAATTCCCTTTCAAACCGGGAGGAATCAAAAAATAAAGTTTAGAGACGTTTTTTGTTGACCTTTCTCGACCCTAAAACAAATGAGAGTTGGGCGTCAAGGCGCGTCATAACATGCAAGGTGAGTAAATACTACAAACGCGGAGGATGAGAGGGTTCAATGGGACAAAGGGTGGAGTAGAAGATCAAGGGAAACGTATGTTCGGAATACTGTAAAACGCCTGAGACAGCGAAGAAGAGCATCTGGGGCTAAGGTAGTACAGTCCCCCAGTCCAGTTTAGCCCCCCATAACCCAGTAAAACCCCCCTCGTCCATTCTGAACCCCAAAATTTATTTCAAAGAATTAATCCAAGTTGTATGGTCCAGCACAAGCCCCCTACGTTTTAGAAAAAGCCCCCTACGTTTTAGATCAAACCCCCACTTACATTTTTTGTATTATTCTAATTTTTTCATTATGTGGGGTGTGAAACGGGCAAAACAGTGGGGGTTTGAACTACCTTTCGTGGGGGGCTGAACTACCGAAGCCCCGAGCATCTTTAATACTATGTATACTCACCTTGTCGGTGGAGCGATTTCAGCGACATGCGCTGTGAGGAGACAAAGGCCCCGTACAGCGAAACCCCTCTAGAACAAAAATTTTTCTTCTCGCTTTATGTAGACAGGTTGCACTCTCACAAATCGCAAAAAAAGTTAAAGCAAATTTCGTCAAGCTCCGGCCAGACTATATTTATTATTGCCGCAATCTGCAAGCAATAAATTTCATTATGCCATGTAAAATAATATTCTGAATTGGCGCCAAGTTTCATTAAAATCAAAGTCAGAGCAAAAATTTTTTGGTGTGAAAAATTTAGCCATCTATAGCCCCAGATGACACCAAAAATTTACCGCCTTAAGGCCTAGATACCTCAACAATCCGCAGGGCCATCATTAAATACAATCTCCCCATCATCGCAAATTCCGTCATCCTATTCAACTTTCAGCTCAAATTCCACCCAAAACAATATACAAAACGAATACAAAGAGCTGATGGCTTGTATCATTTCTGACCCCAACACCCCCTCAGGCTCTTTTCTCCAATTTTCATTCATATTCTCTTATTGGGGGAATAATTTGAAAGGGAAACGGCTCATCCGAGGGGAATTCTTTCCAATTTTGCAATTCATTGCGATTAAAAATCAATGACGTCATCAGGAGGGGAGAGCAAAATACACGGATTGGGCAAATTGTAGAAATTTGGCAAAAGTAATTCTACCGTAGAGCTTTAAAGTTTCTTTGAAAAAAGGAAAAAATTTTTGAGAAACTGGCAAGAAAGAGGGCTAAAAAATGTTTTTTTCTCTGACCGCTCTCCGCATTCTGTGTGCTCTCTTCAAAAACCGTTGAATATCCAAATTTCGAAGCCTAAAAAAGGCAAAAAAGTCTTCACTTCATTCTACCTACAACAATTATTATTGGAAGATAAAGACCTTTGAAGCACATACATTATACGTTTTATTTTTAATTCGCTAATGCTATTTGTTGCAAGCAGCAATCTTCCACAACACTTCATCTTCAAATTAGAAGGCTAATTCCAAATCGCGCGTTCGTGTTGATTCAAAGGGCAAGGTAATTGCTGAGGAGATTGTAATGTCTGGCGAAGAACGTTCACAATAACAGAAATGTACCAATGCGGACCTCACGTTCGTAAACATAATAGTGACCGTGAAGAGATTAGTCATCAAATTTGAAGAATGTTCGTTGACAAATTTAAAAATTTTACAATTTTTTTACAAAAAAAGTTTAGACTGACAATGAGTTTAATGTGTGTACAGATGAGGTGCTCAAAATATTCATAAATGTGGCAAAATTCTTCCCTCTCCGAGTGAAAAAGGTCCGATTTCAAAAACGCGCTCGCTCTTTTTGTGAGAGAAAGGGCGAACCCTTCAAAACGAAGTTTTTTCACTTGAAGAGGGAAGCATTTTGCCACATTTTTGCTACCTCCCGGATGCCAAAAATGGTACGTTTTTGCCACTGGATCAGGTCCGCCACTCTACATATTCTCGGCCGCAAAGATTGTTGAATTCCGCTTCTTTTGCAATATGCGGTCTAACATTTTTAGGAATTGATGTGTGACCTGCGTCTGTAAAATTTAAAAAAAATTAGGATAGCCTTTTATTAATTATGATTTAAAATTTACATATTCTTGTTGGCGTGGATTGCACAATTCTTTTTTGCAATTCTGCATAATGTCCATAAAGTCTCCGGAGCCAAATTTTTGCCATCGTTTTTACATAAAATCTACATATTTATTTAGATTTTTCCCATGGAAAATACCATTTATTTCATTCAAAATATATATCACAGATATGACGATCGTATAAATATGAGATCAGAGTATCAAATGCGCAGAGAAGAAGTCAATTTAAACATGCATTATATTCTCTTCCGAGTCGCTGAAGACGTTCTTGAAAGAGTAGAGCGGTCGCTGACTGTCAGTGTCCGCTTTGCCCCGTCGACTTCGACTCGACACTTGATGCGAGGGCAGATGATAGGCGACGGTGTTGCGGTAATTCCGACAATACAACATGTAGAGACGGAAGATGAAAAAGGATATGGTCTAAAAAATGGGCAAATTAATGATTTTTGAAAATTTTTTTGTTTCGAAAAATCATTTTTTTTTAAAGTTATGTCGGTTGAGATTTTACAAGGAAAGTACTTTTATGGGGGCTCCTACTTTTTGACGGGACATATCTCAAAAAATCAGAAAAAATGTGCTGATCAAGAATATATAAATCCTAGCTGCCCGTTTTAGGTTTTTAGGGGTGAAAACTCAGCCGGAAGTTGACTTAAAGTCCTATATGAACCCCTTTTCGCCTAATTTTTCACGGGTTTACAATTTTTATTTTGGCTTAAAATGATGTTTATTGAGTTTCTAAGACGTAATAAATCAGTATTGGCACAAACATTCATTTTTCCGACCTTCAACTTCAAAAAAAGTTGATTCGGCCCAAAAGGGAAATCGAACCCGTGCGGCGTCCCCCCCTCTTGATTCCCAGACTACGGCACTAACCACCCGGCCACACCGCTCTCTTCCGAGGGAAGAGACCGACTGCGCGTTATATCGTTTCGAATGCCTGCGCCTTTTGTAGGGAAATTAAGCCAGTTTTTGGGCTTTTTCACCCCTAAAAACCTAAAATGGGCAGCTAAGATTTATATATCCTTGATCAGCACATTTTTTCTGATTTTTTGAAACATGTCCCGTCAAAAAGTAGAAGCCCCCATAAAAGTACTTTCCTTGTTATAAAAATGCCCGTTTTATTATAGCTTTATATCTTTAAAATTTCGATGACAAAAAATGTTTTGACATCGACTAGAGCTATCGCCACGGGGAAATCCATTTCTCACACGCGACTTACCGAAAATGTCTTTTTTTGGAAAGTGATCTTTGTCTCACGTTAAGCGAATCAATGACGTTAAAACATGTTGTAGTTGATTTTGAAGTGTAAAAATGTGTTTTTAAAGGACGAAAATTGAAGTTTAAGAAAAATCTTCCCAGCCCTGTCTTCAAAGTGATTTTTTTCCCTAATGTACCAAATTTTGCCAGATGTACCATTTTTTTCAAAAAACCTCAAAAAGTATCAAATGCCCCAATTTTAAAAAAAACCCCGAAAACTCACGATAATCACAGAAATGCCCACAATCAATATCGACGCTGAAATGAGTTGATGTATTGACTTCGAGTTGAGTCCAAAGTCGAGGCCAACAAACGAGTCGGCGATCTGATGATTCACCGTGAGATTCATCGAGAGAGCCGCCACTTCTCGTTGGGATTGTGGAGCTAAAGAAGGGAGATGAGTAAAGCAGTTGGAAAACTCGATGCGTGAGCGATAAGGAAGTGGAAATGAGCGAAATTTGAGGAAAAAATAAGGAAAAGGAAACATAGTTTAAAAAAATTTTCAATTTTTTTACTATAAATTCCTGAACCGCTTGGACGTTTCGTCCACGCACTGTCGAATGACCAAAAGATTTTATGATAGCAAAATTCTTTCTGACGAATTTTTGGAAGACAAGTTGGTCCTAAAAATCAAAAAAAAGTTAGAACGTTGTTTTCTGACCACGAAGCAAGGTCTTGCCCCAGCTAGTCAAAAAAGCAGCCAAAAATTTCCTCCAAAATTCTATTTGAGACAAACGCCGCATTGATTAAATCTTGGTCAGGAAATAGCTTTAACTACGCTGGGTTGACGTGTGTCATTCTGTTTGTACATTATGAGGTACGTTGCAATTGAAAAGAGGCTTGCTTTCGACAATATATTTTGATTGCACAGTGCAAAATTCAAAATGCACGGTGCAGAACCGCTTTGCAACAAAAACTTGTTTTTGGTGAAGAAAATCGTTTGCCCCCCTGGAGTGTTTTTAACCGTATTATGGGAGCGAAACATAACTTGAACTAACCATTTTCCCACAAAATCATCAACAAATTGAAGATTTTATTTACACCCTCAACTTAAATCTGTTATCAGAGAACAACGCTCATGAAATGGTAAACAAATACTGTTTTACCTTATCAGCAAAAAATAAAATTCATAAAAACAGATTAACAGGGTGCAGCAAGAAATTTTGTAAAAAATCTTTGCTTATATCTTTCTGCTCTTTGCAGCTATCTACAAGGTTTAAGTCGTATTTAAAATTTGAAATCGTGGGGGTTTAGAATATGCAAAAGAATTTTTTGTCGTCTCGGCGGAGAGAACGTTTTTTGGCGGAGACATTTGACGTATTTTTTTGAAAATTACAATTCGTTACAAAGGCCAGACGTCTCTACTACGGATGAAATTAGGTCTGCCACACATGATTTAAAGCGCGCCTTCGACAAGGCGAGATAATTTGCTGCCAAAAATCCACATTATTTTCCCGACAGACTGATAATTTTTCACACGAAGGACGAAAAGGTCCGCTGCGGAAAGGTCCGCTAAAAAAAGAAGAGGGCGGGGAGGAAGGGAGGTTTTCGATGGCGCTGATTTCGAATATCGTGTCCTTTTTTCTGAATTTTATAATTTTGCTGAAGCAGTGGTCAGAGATTGCCACGGCTCCGGAGCTGGCTCTTGGCTCCGGCTCCGAGCCGGGAGCCAGAGCTGGAGCCGGAGATTTTGGGGTTGGCTCCGGCTCCCGAGCCCAAAGTCGGAGCCAGGCTTCCCAGCGGTCAGAAAAGAAAAAATTTCGTGGGCTTGTTAAACCAAATTTCTTGAAAAACACTGCGGAGGATGTGACTTGACTGCAAAAACGTTGGCTGTATGATCTCTGGCACTAATAACTTTTATTTTCGGAAAAATATTCTTAAAAAACGTTTTGCATAGGAGCCGGGATTCGGAGCCTATGCCTTTTTAAATTTTTCACGGATCCAAGAGCCGGAGCCGGAGCTGCAAATGTGGCCTCGGCTCCGGCTCTCGGAGCTAAGAGCCGGAGCCGGAGCCGAAATTTTGACCGTGGCAATCTCTGGCAGTGGTGTCAATAAGTAATTAAAAAAAAATTTTTTTGATAATGGATTTCGGGGTTTTCGGTGGTGCTGATTTTGAAAATTGTATCCATTTCTTCTGAATTCTTGCCTATCTTCCTCAATTCTTTAAAATAAATGTTTTACTTGGTAAAAACTTGGTCAAACTTGTATGAATTGTAAGAAAACTTATGACGCTTTGTTCGTCTTTACAGCGAAAATGACACTACTGCTTAAATAAAATTGTAAAATTCAGAAAAGAATGATATGATTTTCGAAATCAGCGCCATCGAAAACCTCCCCGCTCCCCTCCACCCGCTCTCCTGTCTCCTTTTTTTAGCGGACCTTCCGTACTCTCTCAATTTTTCGATGGAAAGCCTTGGTTTATAAAAATTTATGCAGGTCCCGACACGAAAACCTTTGATCTAAAAATCGTTTTTTTTGATCTACAGGGTGTTCCTAGAATTATGGAAAAAACTATTCATTAATAACTTTGTGCTCGGTGGTCCAATCCAAAAATTTTTTTTTGCATTTTACAGGAAAACGTTTGAGTTTTTAGAATCAAGAAAAATTTTTTTCATCGATCGGCGGAGACTCCGGTAATCCTCCTTGAATTCGGCGGAGTGCTTTTTTCACAAACGAGGCTGTAAATTGTTGTATGTGTGAAGTAAATGGGCGGGAGAGGATTCAATAGATACATTATGACATTTGTTTCAAATTTTTGTCATTCGGCGGAGACATTTTTTAACCTCGGCGGAGGATTTTTCTTCGACTTTTGAGAGTCAAAATTGGCTAAAACCAAAACGTAGGTATTCCTGGTGGCATGGCGCCTAAAAACGACTTATTACGTCTTCGGCCTACTGAGAGAAGAAAAAAAGGCAATTCGGCGGAGAAATCGGCGGAGAAAAAAATGAACACATTTTACAGCCTCGTTCTTGAAAAAAGCACTCCGCCGAATTCAAGGCGGATTACGGAAGTCTCCGCCGATAAAACGAAAAAATCTTTTTTGATTCTAAAAACTCCAAGGGTTTTCTGCAAAATGCAAAAAAAATTTTTCGGATTGGACCACCGAGCACAAAGTTATTAACGAATAGTTTTTTCCATAATTCTTGGAACACCCTGTATTTTAAATTGCAAAATTTCCAAACTATTGACCCAAAACAAATTTTGCAAAACGAACCCATAAAAGGGCTGTTTATCACAACAATTTCCGAGAAGTAAGGTCAAAGAAGAAGTGATCGGAGTAAAGTTTATGTATTTACGAACGGGCTATCAATCAAGCAATGCAAGGTGGGGGCCGAGTGAAGCTATTATCTCTCATATTGGGGGTGGAAATCGACGATGACGATTTTTAAAAACAAAAAATTACTGTAATTTTTGTAGAAAAGTCCATTTTTTACAGCTGCTGAAGAAAAATTTTTTTGATAATTCCGCAATCAAAATTTTGAATCCCATAGCTGCTCTACAAGAAGGTTGATCCGGTACGACCGTATAAAATACAGTGGGGGACCTTATCCATTGGCAAAAAACGCACCATTTTGCATCTGGGAAGCAGACATGGCAGTGGGGCCGGGCTTTGGAAATTTTGAAAAGGGCCGGGCCGGGCCCAACGTCTCGGGGGCCGGGCCGTGGGGCCTGGGTTTGGTTTTCGGGCCGGGCCGTGGGGCCTGAAAAAATTTGGGCCCGGCCCCTTCAAAAAAAATTTTTTAATTTTTTGTCTTGCAACGAAAAATTGGGGTGCCAATTTTTTTGGCATTCTGTTTTGAGCAAAAAAATTTTTGTTTTTTGAAGGAAAAGCGGTTTGTAAGACAGGAAAACCTCATTTACTACTCAGAACCTTGCTGGCAATGACAAAATACATCGAAAAAGTTTTTAAAAGTTAACTTTTAGTCAAATTTGAACAGTGTTTCACTATTTTTCGACTAATTTTGTCTAAAATATTTTTTCATTACAAATCCATGACCTTCCATTGGCTTAAACCTGTATGTTCATAAGGATATTGGTATGTTCTTTGTTATAAATGGGCAACCGGCTCAATTTATGACCAATAATGATGAATAATTCGAGAATTTTTATCTAGATGCCATGAATAATATAATTTACCTTGTCAAATGCAATACATTGGTTTTTCCTGGAGTCTGGCGATGGATTTGGCAATCAAATGGACTGCCTGATGTTTTCAATTTACTTTCACGACCTTCTTACCTGTGATTCAATTTCCCATCTTATAAAAAATCAAAAAATCATCAAAAATCTCAAAAACGTGTAAAAAACATGAATATTATTCTTAAATCGTCAATGTTCTTGTGTTTCTCATATTCTTATTACATTTCCAACATGTCAACACTTTTTACGCCGCTCAATTCGTCCTAGCTCGGACGAAATCATCATGGATAATATCGGGGAAAACCCAGAAAATCGTCAAAAAATCAATATCAAGCTTCAGAAATAGTTCTAAGTCGCACATATTCTCATTCCCCAAGGACTGCTGGACATTTTCCACTAAAAATTAAAATTTTGATTTTTCTACAGTAATCCATCTACTACGGTAACTCATAGTATGATGGACGGAAAAATTAAAAATTTTGCACAGAGAATTTTCATGCCGTGAATTATACTTTCGCCAAGTTTCATCCAAATCCATCGACCGCTACCAGAGTTATTGAAGATTATATTTTCCAAAACCTTTTTTGAACCTTCAAAATCGGTTTTTCATCCTTATAGTAACTATTCATCCTTATAGTAACTACTGTGCACATTTTGGAAACCATATCTCAGGCATAAGTTGACCGATTTTTGATTTTTAAAAAGTATTTGGACTAATTCGAGTACTGCGAGCCAAGTTATAACGTTAGTTTTTGCCCTAAGGGGTCAAATATGGCCGAAAACACTATGCCAAAATATTGCCAAAATGGCGGAAAAGTTTTTCTTTGGACGGATCTTGGCGGTTCCATGATTAGATTAGTTGAAGAAGTGTCTGAGCAGCACATTCGCATTATTTTTTTATTTTTCACGTTCCAACGTGTTGAGATTTTTCCACTTTCTGCTTAAAAATCTGAGATTAGAACTTTCAGGATGAAACACCCTCAACCTGCCGTGAAAAATACAACATTTAAAGCATAACATCTTGAATATATACAAAAGCCATAACACACAAAAATCCGCCCAAACTCGATTAAAAACACCGTTTCCCGCCATTTTGGCAATATTTTGGCATTGTGTTTTCGGCCATATTTGACCCCTTAGGGCAAAAAACTAACGTCATAACTTGGCTCGCAGTACTCGATTTAGTAGAATTACTTTTTAAAAGTCAAGAATCGGTCAATTTATGCTTGAGATATGGTTTCCAAAATGTGCCCAGTAGTTACTATAGGGTTGAAAACCCGATTTTGAAGGTTCAAAAAAGGTTTTGGCAAAATATAATCTCCAGTAACTTTGGTAGCGGTTGATGGATTTGGATGAAACTTGGCGGAATTATGTTTCACGACATGCAGATTCTCTGTGCAAATTTTAAAATCTTTCCGTCCACGATACTATGAATTACCGTAGTAAATGGATTACTGTAGAAAAATCAAAATTTTAATTTTTAGTGGAAAATGACCAGCAGTCCTTGGGGAATGAGAATATGTGCGACTTAGAACTATTTCTGAAGCTTGATATTGATTTTTTGACGATTTTCTGGGTTTTCCCCGATATTATCCATGATGATTTCGTCCGAGCTAGGACGAATTGAGCGGCGTAAAAAGTGTTGACATGTTGGAAATGTAATAAGAATATGAGAAACACAAGAACATTGACGATTTAAGAATAATATTCATGTTTTTTACACGTTTTTGAGATTTTTGATGATTTTTTGATTTTTTATAAGATGGGAAATTGAATCACAGGTAAGAAGGTCGTGAAAGTAAATTGAAAACATCAGGCAGTCCATTTGATTGCCAAATCCATCTCCAGACTCCAGGAAAAACCGATGCAAAGCATTTGAGAGGGTAAATTATATTACCCATGACATCTGGATAAACATTCTCCAATTATTGATCATTATTGGTCATAAATTGATCCTATATCGAACCCACTGGCCGCTTGTATCAAGTAAGAGGCCGAAAAATTCGTGGTAACATCATAAAACAAAAAAAATAGCAATTAAAACGCAAAATTTAGAGTAATGAAAAAAGGGCCGGGCCGGGCCGGGCCTTAAGACCCCTCAGGGCCGGGCCGGGCCGGGCCGAAGGTGCCTCGGGGCCGGGCCGGGCCGGGCTTTGAAAATTTTGAAAAGGGCCGGGCCGGGCCCAACTTCTAGGGGACCCTTCGGGCCCCCGGCCCGGCCCGTTTTGCCATGTCTGCTGGGAAGTAACAAAAATGTGGCAAAATGCTTCCCTCTCCAAGTGAAAAAACTTCGTTTTGAAGAGCGCGCCCTTTTTTCTTTTCAAAACAGCGGGCGCGCTTTTGAAATCTCTAATTTTTTTCACTTGGAGAAGGAGGTATTTTGCCACGTTTTTTTGATACTTCCTGGATGCCAAAGGGTACGTTTTTTGCCACTGGATCGGGTCCCCTACTGTATAAGCCATGTCACGACGCGATAAGGGCGATAAGACGGCGCCACCGCTTCCTGATCGCGAACAGGTGTCAATCTGTTCGTGATAAGAGGGCACAAGTGGAACAGAAGAGCGCTATATAAGGCGCATTCATTTACTTACATATCATATCATATATTCAAGTTAATAAAGTGTCTAACTAATTTATATGGTGCACTAGGCCATAATGGCCTTTTGATTTTGACGACCAGTTGGCCCAACCTCTGAAGTCATAAGGCTATTATGGCTCAACTGGTCGTCAAAATCAAAAGGCTAGTGGAGTCAGCCGCAGACGTCGAATTATCGGTTCAGAAGAGGGGAAGAGCAGATGCGCAAGTGCAGGAAGACTCGGTGAAACTCAGGAAGAAGCTGGAGGATATCCAAGAAGCGCTGACGAGTGCTGTCCAGGAATATGAAGAGGAGTTGCAGACAAAAAGAGATCGTAGGTCCGGCCCCAAAAAGTATAATAGGCCAAAATTAAAGGTTCATTTTGAAAATAAAAAAACGGTCCAAAAATAGCGAAAATATCAATTTTTTGCAAATTTAAAGTCATCTTTCTCAAAAAAAACCACAAAAAATCCTGATTATGACCCTCCAAACTGTTCATGTTTGACCTCCATAAGCCATCATCGTTTCTCAAAAAAAAATTCCCATTCAAACCGGGAGAAACCAAAAAAATCAAAGCCTATAGACGTTTTTTGTTGACCTTCCTCCATGAGAAAATAAATCAGATTTGGGCGTGAACGCGCGTCATAACCTGCAAGATGAGTAAATACAACAAAAGCGAGCGGATGCACGGGTTCAATGGGACAAAGGGTGGAGTGGAGAGATCGTGGGAGTATTTTGGATACAATAGAGGCTGCGTACAGCAATTTTGAGAGCAAAAAACCTGTCTACAAGTCTTTTCGTAAAGTGCGCAGACTTTTTTTGCCTTTTGTCCGAACGCACAGTGCATTTTCTGTTTTCCCTTCTTGTCGCTCATGCACCGTGCATTTGCCTTTTTTTGCACAGTGCAAACTTGAAAAAGCGGGCTGCACTGTGCGAATGCTGCGACAAAGCCGCAGCGACAAAATTTGATGCACGGTGCGAAAACAAAAAACGCACGGTGCAAATTAGGCTTTGCACAGTGCATTTTGAGTTTTTCCCGTGTTTATCGCTCATGCACCGTGCATTTTGCTTTTTTTGCACTGTGAAAACTTGAAAAAGCGGTTTGCACTGTGCGAATGATGCGACAAAGACCGCAGCGACGTGGTTTGCACAGTGCCATTTTTCCGTTGTTTGCACGGTGCGCATTCCCAGCCATTTTGCACTCAAAAATCCTGATTTTGCGGCGATTTTCGAAATGCGCAGTGCAAAAATGTTGATGAAAAAATTAAAAAAATATCAAAAAGCCCTTTCTCTTTGGCCTTGAAAACCCCGAAAAATTCACTGCCTTAGGTACTTAGGTACCTCAATAATCGCTAGGTCCATCAATTAATATATACAATCTTCGAATCATCTCAAAATTCGTCATCCTATTCAATTTTCAGCTCAAATTCCACCCAAAACAATGTACAAAACGAATTCAAAGAGCTGATATCTTGTATCATCGCTGACCCCAACACCCCCTCAGGCTTCTTTCTCTAATTTCCATTCATATTCTTTTATTGAGGGAATAATTTGAAAGGAAAACGGCTCATCCGAGGGGAATTCGTTCTAATTTTTCAATGCATTGCGACCAAAAATCGATGACGTCATGAGAAGGGGAGAGCAAAATACACGTCATAAGATGAATTGTTGGCTAATTAGTCGAGTATTAAATTAACAGGGGAAGTACTCCAAGTGCGACGCTCAGATTTTATTTAAATTTTGCAGACACGTCGGGTATGGACTAAATATCAATTCCTGAAAGTTTTAGCTCGCGCTTTGCAGGCGCCGCCGAGATATTAAACGATTTTTGCCGCCGAGAGAGCGCGCTAAACGTGGAGAGCGGTCAGAGAGAAAAACGCTTTTTGGCCATAACTTTGGCGGTTTCGTGCGGAAATTTTTGATTTATTGCAGAAACATTATTCTTTACGGTAGAAATAGGTATAAAAAATTGTCTGCCGAAATTCGGCAAAAAGTCCTAAATTTTCGCCGACTTCCGATCTAAAAATCTCGGCTGTTTCTGCAAAGCGCGAGCTAGGATTCTCGCATATATCTTAGAAAAAATTATTCTAAATTTGTGCCAAATTTCATCAAAATCTGAGCGTCGCATTTGGAGTACTTCCCCTGTAAGTTTCTTGTTAGTTTTTCCTTATTTTCTAAAAAATGCGACAAAAAAAGTGTACGCACTTTATAATATTGGAATATATTAGGAAGACTGATAGCTCCCGTAAATGAGAGTATATATTTCAAAGATTAATTGGAAGAGCAAGGTAAACTTATTTTTCTACGATGACTGTAACGTCTGACTTGAGAAAACGACAAAAGAACGGGAGAAAAATCGAACACAAATGTGAAATTCACGTTTTTATGTAAACGTAAATTTGGGTTGCGAAGGAATTGGTAGTCAAACTTGAAGAATGTTGGTGATAAATGGAAAGTAATAACAATCAATTTTTCGATCGTACCAAGAAAAAAAATTTATTAAAAAAAATAATTTTTTGATGACATTTCTAAATAAGCCATACACAATGGACGTATTTTACACTGTTTAGAACCTATTTTTTTGATATCTGTCTAACCCATATTCATCAAACATTCAAAAATTTCATTTATCAGTTTGTCGGGAAAATAATGTGGATTCGCGACGCTTCGCAGCGCCTCGTTGCGGCTTGGTTTGGTACGCAACTGCGACTACGTGCCAAATCCCCATTATTTTCCCGACAGACCGAGTTTAAAAGGTTCTCCCGTAAACACAAAGGATGATCATAAATTTTTATCAGTCTGTCGGGAAAATAATGAGCACTCTGTCGCATCGAAAATCGCATCACCGCCGAGAAAATAAATTGTGTCGCGGCAAAATCAAGTTGCTTTTTCACTTCAGCGATGCGATCGGCGCAGCGACAGAGTGCTCATTATTTTCCCGACAGACTGATATTGATCCGAAGGAATTTCAGCTCACATTTTTAGATGGAGTCTAAGCATAAGAAAAAGCGTTTTTTTATGCGAGAGAGCACGCAAAATTAAGAGAGTCGGCTCGACGGAAAACAGTTTTTGAGAATAACTTTTTTGCATCTTCAAAAAATTTTTTTCTGTGAAAAAATTATACGTCGCAAAAGTAAATAGTGCCCAAAATTCTCAACAAAATGTAAAAAATTTTTATAAAAATCTTTTAAATTTTTATTTTTTAGATTTAAAATTCCAAAAAAATCAAAAAAAAAAAGTTAGCAATTTTCGGTCAAAAAATCTCCGTGCTTTATGAAAAATGGAAGCTATAAGTCTTGTATCTATACCCTAAAAAATTTGTTTCAATTTACCCCAAGCTTCGTCAAAATCTGACAGTTTTTCAATACCCAAATTGTCAAAAAATCCCATTTTCAAACAAAAAATCATCTCCAAAAACTTGTAAAACCGCGCCCAAAGCAAATTGAAACTTTTGAAGGTACCTGGAACATCGGAAAAATCGGAAAAACAGCGCTGAAATCAATAAAAATGGGAATTGAAATCATTTGTCAGCCAAAAAAAACCGACCCTTCTTTTACCATTGAATCGATTACAAAACACTACTCTTTACAATCGAGCCATCTTCCCCCTCTTTCCGTCTTTGGATTCCATCGATGGAAATTTGTACTCTAACGCCGGGAAAAACGTGATTTATATGGAATGTGTCAAATCGGATGAGGAATATTAATTTCATATTGTAGATGTATGTAAGCATGTTGACAGCCAAAAATCTTTAATAATGTGAAACATCAATTAGTCGTATTTTAAAAATAAGGTTTTTTGGGTTCAGGAATGGGTTGTGACCAGAGATAGCCACGGCTCCAGAGCCGGCTCTTGGCTCCGGCTCTGAGCGGCTCCGGCTCCGAGCCGGGAGCCAGAGCCGGAGCCGCAAATTTTGGGGTCGGCTCCGGCTCCCGAACCCAAAGCCGGAGCCAGGCTTCCCAGCGGTCAGAGAAGTAAAAATTTCGTAATCTTGTTAAACCAAATTGCTTGAAAAACGCTGCGGAGGATGTGACTTGACTGCAAAAACGTTGGCTGTATGATCTCTGGCATTAATAACTTTTATTTTTGGAAAAATATTTCTAAAAAAACATTTTGCATAGGAGCCGGGATTCGGAGCCGGAGGCCTTTTTAAATTTTGCACGGAGCCAAGAGCCGGAGCCGGAGCTGCAAATTTGGCCTCGGCTCCGGCTCTGGGAGCTAAGAGCCGGAGCCGGAGCCGAAATTTTGACCGTGGCAATCTCTCGTTGTGACCCATTTTTATGACTTTTTTGTACTGTGAAAAATTAAAAAAGACTTGGAAACTACGTACAAAAAAATCCTTAAACTGTGCTTCGAGTATCTACACCGGTCTCGTCCCGCTTGGTGAGACAGTTTTTTTGATATTCGGCCTTGAAATTTGCACTATTTTTAGCCTAGCTCGAACCGTGTTCAGAAAATGCGTCACGATGACACCCATTTAGAATGTACCAGCGGTATAAAAAACAGTTTTATGCCACTCGTAGTACTCTCTAGAGTTCCCATAAAACAATTTGGTTAAACATTGTTGTCATGTGCAATTTGGATGACATATTTTATGATTTTTTTCGCTGTGAGAACCTTTGCAATGCCCGGAAGTTCTTGACGTGCGTGGCTTGCAAAAAACAAAAAAAACGAAACCACATACAGATTTATTGTTCAAATCTATTGCCATTACGTTCACGAAGTCTCTTCCGATACTGTTCCACCAATTCATAATTAAACACTGCTGACTTCAAAGTTTGCATCTCCTTTATTAAGAACGCGGTGTCTTCAGGAGTTGCGCCATGCTTTTCCAACGCAAAAAACAATTCCCTCAGGGCTCTCAAATATTCGTAACCTGCAGCTCCAACTGGTTGGTCCTCAACGTTTTGAAGGGCTATGATCAAGTCGTTGTACTCGTTGATGGGATCGTATCTAATGGCTAGACCGAGTTCGAAGACTTGAGTGACATGGCCAAGGACCATCTCGTAGATTTCGGCTTCACTGAGACCGAGTTTGAGGTGCTTGTTCAAAGAGCTGTACTTGGCGATAAACTGACGACGCTGAAAAATTGCACTCCAAGTTTCCGACAAATTTCAGCAAGACTTGATCATTTTTGAGGCAGAAATACAGAGCAACTTCTTCTGTACAGGGTGGCCCAAAAAAATGGAAACTTTTTTCCATGGGTCCTGCCGCGAAAACCTTGAGGTGCAGACAAATAACTTTTCCACCGTTAAATTCTCCGTATTTTTTAGCCCTAGGGGTTTTATTTTCATGCCCATATCGCTTGGTTAACATGTTTTTTATGAATGTCAAACAAAGGGACCTCGATTTCCGACCTGTTTCGGCAAGAAAAAGGACCGTGTGAGGTTGATAAATTGCTCGGTGTAGCAAAAACGGTTGTGCCAAAAGCCACCAAACAACTCAACGGAATAGTCCGCAATGGTACGCGTTCGGGAAGTCGAAAAAAGTGCACCTTGAATGCTTCTGCCAACCTTGAGGTCATCAAAAAGCGAGTGAAGTGAAATCTGATGGTGGCCATGAAAAATATTGCCCGAGGGACCGTTATCAACATAACAGCTATCTGCCAAATGGCCTAAAATGTACAACAGCTCAAGCCTTAAGGCTCCAAAAAGTTCAGCGCCCTGCGGAAGACCACAAGTTAGTACGGCTCAAAAGACGTCAAAAACTCAGGCGCCGCGCCGCTGCTCGGCGATGAGAGGAGATCCTGTTCATGGATGAGACGCAGCTCAACATTGAGCAGGTCCACAAACATCAGAATGACAGGAATTAAACTGTTAAGCGTTGTCAAGCACCCGCCATCTTCGAACCCTGTCAAAACCTCTTCCGTCATGGCCTGGGGCAAGATTTTGCGCCAGAGGCAAGATATCCCCGGTTTTCGTGGTTAAAGATGTCAAAACCTACCGAAACGTCAACCATCGGTATTCTGGTGTTAGTGGTGCTTCCGCCGGCTCAGTAGCAATTTGTGGATAGAAAATTAACGTTTTCATAAGATTCAGTCCCGGCCGAGAAAGCAAAAAGTGCACGAGGCCAGGAATCGGCTGATTTTGCTGAGTCTGCAAAATTGCCGCCTACTCGCCGGATCTAGATCGTACAAACTAAATTTTTTTTATCAATTAGAGGCGAACGCCTGTACTATACGCCACAAAAGTTTGGGACCGCTAAATAATCGCTGAGCCAAGAACGGGACCGATTTCCCGAAAAAAAGCTGCGGCGTACCGCCCAAAATTTAAAGTCACGTTTGGCGCTCTATATCGCCGCCAACGGCAGATATTTCGAAAATGATCGAACATGTTATTAACAATGTTCCATGTTACTGATATTAATCATTACTTTGGATAAATTTGGATAGTTAACTGAAATATGACTATAAATATGAGTTTCCATTTTTTTTGGGCCACCCTGTATAACCAACCTTTCGCCGGCGCCAAATGAGGCTCAAAAATCGCGAAACCTACAAAATAAAGGAGCTTGAGCAGCGAAACGGACCGATCCAAAATTGTCATCTCCAAGGTGCCGATTTTTCCCTCCAACCGGTGCCGAAACTCGGCAAGCGAAACGAACACAGCAACCAGTCCATCACCAAGCAGATCGTCCTCGGGAATCTTGGCCAAGCTTTGACGGACGAAAGCAAAAAGTTTTTTCAATTGGAAAGCGCGACTGTCGTATGAGAACTGAAACAATTGTAAGAAAATTTGGGTTAAAATTACCGCAAAATATACGATAAATCACGCATTACAGTGGGGGACCTGATTCGGTGGCAAAAAACGTTTTGCATCGGGGAAGTATCAAAAATGTGTCAAAACGCTTCCCTCTCCAAGTGAAAAAATCTCACAAGGGAAGTCACTTTTTTCGCAGATCGATCCATACTGGTGACCTAGTGGACAGTGAAGGCCTCATGCTGTGTAAGAAGAATCTGGCTTCCAAAAGTGTTTACGGGCCCTGAGGGCAGAGTTATGGCTGATCAAAGTTCGCGCAAAAAAGGTTCCGAAAAGACCCTCCAAAAAAACGGGGTCGGAGAAGTGAGCTTCGGTAGCAGAGTGGTTCGCAGATTTTTCTTTTGTCTGGAAGGGCCAAGGTTCGATTCCTCTTCCCGGCAATAAATAAAAGTAATATTGTAAGAGTAGCGTAAGTTACAAAAAAAATATTTTAAAACATTTTTTGAAAAATATTATTATCCTGTCGTTAAAAAAATGACGATTTTGTTCATATCGTCACTAAATTTATCATCTGCCCAGACAGCAAGCGTTTGACTCAAACGCTTCAGCATGATATCACGATCACCAAGGGCGTCTTCTAAAATATCAGAGACATACGTATTGAGAATCCCAGTCCTACCTTCACGCCAAAGTTCCCGCAGTTTTCTCCAATGATACGGCGTCTTGATCCACCGTAATCGCCGCATTATTCCAGAAATTGAATGCGAGCCTCGGTGGAAAAATGCCCTCGCATCCCTCACTGTGTCCAAGCTCACAACGACTTCCCCAAATTTTAACGACAGGATAATAACATTTTTCAAAAAATATTTCAAAACAATTTTTTTTGTAACTTACGCTACTCTTACAATATTATTTTTAGTTATTGCCGGGAAGAGGAATCGAACCCTGGCCCTTCCAGACAAAAGAAAAATCCGCGAACCACTCTGCTACCGAAGCTCACTTTTCGGATCCCGTTTTTCGGAGGGTCTTTTCGGAACCTTTTTTGCGCGAACTTTGATGAGCCATAACTCTGTCCTCAGGGCCCGTAAACACATTTGGACGCCAGATTCTTTTTACACAGCCTGAGGCCTTCACAGTCCACTAGGTCACCAGTATGGATCGATCTGCGAAAAAAGTGACTTCCCTTGTCAGACGTCAATAAGCGCGCCCGCTCTTTTTGCGAGCGAAGTTTTTTCACTTGGAAAGGGATGCATTTTGCCACATTTTTGATGCTTCCCGGATGCAAAGTGGTACTTTTTTGCCAATAGATCAGGTCCGTCACTGTACACGTTTACTGCGTGAATTACTGGAGAAACCTCCTTTTTCTGGCCCCGTGCTTCGCAGCTTGCGCAAGCTGCAAAGCTAACTTTTCGCTGGGGCCAGGAAAAGGAAGGTTTTACCGAATTACTTACCATCTCCAGCTCTCTCAGGAAGTTCTTGACGATTTGCTCTTTGGGAACTTTGATTCCGGCGGCATGCATAATCCTGGCCATCTTTTCAGCCAGCTGTTGGTCGGAATTGTCGACCGGAGCGGAAAGGACCTAACAGTTAAAAGAAAGTGTAATTACGATCAACCAGAAAAAATGTGAAATCCGAAGAGGACATGTCGAAATAGGCCAAAAATTGATGACAAAAAATCTCACTTTCGGACTTACCAAAGCAGCTGATGCTACACTAAGAACAATGTAGATCAACTTCATGGCCACTGGCAATCGATTCTTTTCACTTTCAACTCGAGCAAAACAGAAGACGTAAGCTGGGCGATCAGCCGAGAAGGAAATGATTTCCGAAAAAAAAGATTGCACGCAAAAGCGAATTTCAAAAAATTTGAATAAAAGCCATTGTAAAATTTTTCCGCTTTACAGCAAAAAAAGACGCTTTTTTGCCGCTGCGGCGCGTTGTTTTGGAAATAAATTCAATTAGCCATAGTATTTTAGCCATTATTTTTGTATGTTGAAAGCGAGCAAAGCAATCAAGTTTGGAATATTATTTCACAAGGCCTTATTTGGTGCAAAGCAACGTGAACGTGTATCTCAATCTCGTCAGTTTTTTTGTGGCTTTTGCCAAAGAAGTTTGACGTTGGCACAATTGTCACATTCCACGGAACCTGGAGTTATCCACGATGTGTCAACTCGATGGAATTCGTGGAGAGAGAAAGAGATGTCCCCCGTGTCAGCTGTTTCCCCAGCTGTTTTTCCCCGATTTTCGAGAATGTTCGATGGAGAGATCCCGAAGCGGAACGTCTGAATCGCGGCACCGTTACCTTCTCTCAGGTTTTATCCCATCTTGGTTGAGTAGAAGTTGTAATTGAGTAGTTGTAGTGTTGTTGTTGCAGTTGGATGTTGTTGTCGAGTTGTGTTTTGTTATTGTATTGAAGTGTTGTTTTAAATTTATTCTATTGCATACTTTTCTTGATAAATTTATCTATTCGAGTTAATTATCATTTATTCTGGTGTTGATCTAAAGGGAAACGAAGAAAATCGATTCCCCGCCGTCCACATCAGCAACCTTCCACTTGAAAGGCCAAGTATTAATTACAGATAGAAGGAGTGGAAGGTAATCGACTGGAGAAACCACCGCAAGACCACAAGCCATCTCGTTTATTTCTTTTCTATTCGCAGGTGGAATCGGACAACAATTTTCTATAATTAGACATCAGTTTCGTAGCTTGGGCTTTCCAGAAACCATAGAAAATCTCTTTTCATTTATGCAAAGCGCGAGCTTTATTTGTTCTTTATCAACGTAGTATTTTAAAAATATATGTTATGTTTATATTATATTATTAACAGATATGGTACAAGGTTCTCAAAATATCAAAAAAAATAATTATTAATAAAAACCCAAAAATATTCTAATGTCCGGAGGCGGTTGTAGTTCCGGTCGATTTGCGTTGCAGCGCTTCGCGGATTTCGTTCTGCTTCTGCAACGCCACCAACACGCATTTGGAGTCGGAATGGAGACGGTCGTGGGAGACCACGTCGCTCGAGAAAAGCGCGAACCGGCCGCGACGTTTGGAGCGGAAAAGTTTCTGAAAACAAAGAAGATGCAGTTAGAAATGTTTTTTGCACTTTTTAAACATTTGTAATCACAGTGAAAGCAACAAAAATTGAGTGTAAAAAAGATACGGACACTATTTATATCTTCAGTTTAAAGTGTATTTTTAAAGAGCGTTGATAGAAAAAGCAACAGTAATAGAAACAAAAAGCATGTTGACGGGAAAGAAAGTTTGTGGGTTGTTCTTTGACAGGTGTACTGCACTGATCACAAAGTATCAGCCGTGGAGAAGCAAGATGGAAAACGAAGAAAATAAAATTTCTTTGAATTTAGCGACCTATTCACTAAAATGGGTCGATTCCCTAAGGCAATGACAGTCAAATGGGATGAAATCTTGTGGTCATACTCTCAAAGGATTGTACATTTAATGGTCAAAATTTTAGAGCTTGCGTCGCAAGGATTGTTGAGATCTTCAACCATCATTTTAACGGAAAATATGAATAATGATGAGATTTGGAAAAGAAAAATCGCGTTTTCCAAAAATGGATTCTAACAGATTTGCATTAGATTTTGCACATACGTTGTATCTAGCCTAACTCAAAATGCCAGGAAATTTGAGCCCGCTCGCTGCAGAGACCGCTGAGATATTCACCGATCTTCGCCGACGAGAGAGTTCGCAAAATTTGGAGGGCGGACGGAGAAAACATAGTGAATTAGTCGTATCTTTGCCAAAAAAAAATTTTTTTGTTAAGATAGCTGTCATGTCACAGAAAAACCTTCTTTCATCACAAAGAGCACAAAGAAGCCCACGCGAATGACGGTTACCCTCTCTCTCTAAACACAGTGTTAGGACAAACTGATGGACAGAGTGTTAGTATTGTTGGAGAATGTCCACAGTCAGACATTTGTGGGTGATTAGTGGAGTGTTATTTAATCTTCTTACCATTCGATTACTGTAACATATTACTGAGGACACAAGGAAGCCCTGAAAGTTGAAAGATTAGTATTATGCAAATTTATGCAAATTTTTTATTGGCTATGGAAATTTTAGAAAATGCAAAAAATGACTGGAATTTCTAAGATAACTCTTTATTCTGCAAAATTATGAAATTTTTTATTTATGCAAATTTTTGATTTTATGCAAATTTTTTGAAATTATGCAAATTTTAAAAATTATGTGGAATTAATTAAAATTATGTAAATTCATCAAAATACCACTGGTTTTTATTAATTTATGCAAATTTTTAATTATGCAAATTTTTTGATTTACGCAAATTTCCTTGCCTGAAAGCCATTGACGACCATTTTGATTATATCATGTACATCTGACGCCTTTCCGGTCTCGATTATGACCAGAAATAGATGGATTCCGAATAAAGGAACCAACATCAACATGGCCCTCATCACCTTCCTGAAAAACAGCGGATTAATCAAGTTGCAAACATCACAAAACAGATTAAGTTTATATTTGGAATTTTTTGTTTGATGGTTATGACTTTTGAGATATCCTAAAGTTTATTTGAAGTTGGAAACTTACAAATAATTCCGTAATTTTGAGCAATTCGTGTTCATTTTGAGTTTTTGTAGAAGCAAACGGAGAGTCACTGAGAGAATGATGACATTCACCTGAAAAGAGGGTAAATTTTAAAAAATCAAAAAAGAAAACAAAAAAAAATAAACAATTCAAAAAAGATAAAATAAGAAAAAAACAAATAAAAAATTTTAAATTTCAAACTTTTAAAATCAAAAAAATAATAAAAAAAGTGAAAAAATAAAAAAAATTACAAAATAAAAAAAAAATAAAAATAAAAAAAATAATACTTGAAAAAATAAAAAAATACATTTTTTCCAATTTTTAAAAGCAGAAAGCTTCCGAAATTTGCAAAAATAAAAAATTTTATTATTTCAAAAACTCACCCCCAAGCAAATGAACCTCGGTGCCACCAGCCACACCCGGATCCACCAATTGTTCGACGGCTCCGTCAAACATTGATCACTATCGAAGAGTTCCGCCGGAACCGCATAAAGAATGGTCAACAAAACCGGTAATCCCCAACAAGCCCATGGCAAAAACTTTATATGAGGGGAGCCATGGGCCAAAGAGCGGAACAACAGCCAATACAAATGGATTCCCTCAGCCAACATCCAACAAAACGAGGTCAACGGGAAGTAGGCGAATTGGATTATGAACAGGATCCGGCAGAGGATCTGAAAGTGTTAATGAAAAAATAACCTCGCAAAAACACAGCTGTTTTATCAGTTTGTCGGGAAAATAATGAGCACAGAAGTTGCTGGACCGATGAGCGATTTGACAGAGTGCTCATTATTTTCCCGACACACTGTAAGTATTAGGACTTTTTGTCTTGGGTTGTACATATTACATTAACGTTTGACGATGAATTTTTAAAATACGGGTCCACCACATTCGAAAAAAATTGCAAATGTCGCGGAGATCGGTTGTGTCCTAACAGCACAGAATGCCGTGCACTGTCGTTGCGCCAATCGCGTCGACGAAGTTAAAAGCATTTTATTGCCGCGACACAGTTCATTTTCTCGGCGGCAATGCCATTTTCGATGCGATAGAGTGCTCATTATCTTCCCGAAAAACCGATATTCGCTTAAATTTTTTTATTTTTTCATAGATATCTTTCTAATTACCTGTTCTGATCTCTGCCTTTCTCTTTTTCAGACATCAAGCAAATTTCATTTTTTATCCTACAGTTTCAATTTTCAAATCTTTTTTCTACAATTTCCCTCGAACTTTGCCGTTTCTTTGTTTTGTCTATGTATTCTACAAGTCCGCATGATCAAAAGCAAAATTAAATTGCATTTTTTGCCACTTGTTTATTTGCCCAAACGGCAATTCCCCTAAGGGGTTTGGGGAGATGCGAAAAAAAGTGGGACTCTTGGACTTACATGATTACTGAAATACAATTCAATTCCATAATGGGAAAAGGGCGTAAACAGAAGGGCATTCACAATGTAGGCCAGCGACGAGAAGAGGAGCGAGAACAGGAGATGCCGGTGGATCTTGAAGACGTATTGTTTCTTTAGGTATCTGAAAATAACAAGTGCGAATTACTATGGTTCCTTGAATAATTACACATATTAGTCTGTCGGGAAAATAATGACCACTCTGTCGCATCATAAAAATGTATTCCGCCGCGACAAAATCAAATTGCTCTTCACTTCAGCCACGCGGTTGGCGCAACGGCAGTGCTCATTATTTTCCCGACAGAATGATAAAAATTTATGATCATCCTTTGTGTTTACGGGAAAACGTTTTAAACTCAGTCTGTCGGGAAAATAATGGGGATTTGGCACGTAGTCGCAGTTGCGTACCAAACCAAGCCGAAACGAGGCGCTGCGAAGCGTCGCGAATCCACATTATTTTCCCGACAAACTGGTAAATGAAATTTTTGAATGTTCGATGAATATGGGTTAGACAGATATCAAAAAAAAAATAGATTCTAAACGGTGTAAAATACGTCCATTCTTTCATTAATATCATTAATACGAGACATGACATTTATCGCCTTATAAGGACTTTTACCAGCTCGGCCCAAAAATGACCGTCTTATTCATCCATCCTTATACAGTCAAGCACCTAATCCATTGGCAAAAAACGCATAATTTTGCATCCGGGAAGTATCAAAAATGTGGCAAAATACCTCCCACTGCAATAAAAAACACTCCGTTTTGAAATGCACGCCTTTTCCCTCACAAAAAACGCTTCTGAAATGTTCAAAGCACGCCTTAAAATTTAGAGTTAGCATAAATACAGTAGGGGCTTGATCCAGTGGCAAAAACGTACCATTTTGCATCCGGGAAGCACCAAAAATGTGGCAAAATGCTTCCCTCTCCAAGAGAAAAAAAACTTCGTTTTAAAGGGCGCCCTCACGAAAAGAGCTGCCGCGCATTTGAAATCGGAGTTTTTCACTTGCAGAGTGAAGCATTTTGCCACATTTTTGATACTTCCCGGATCCAAAATGGCACGTTTTTTGCCACTGGATCAGGTCCCTTAGTATTACAGATCGAATTTTTTATTCTGAGAATTTGTAAAATACGGCATTTAATTTCTTCAATTTACTTACTTGCTGGACGAAATCAGCGCAATTGTGAACACAATAAAGATGACGCTGATGATGTAGGCCACAATAGTCAAAATCAAAATCGGCTCGAACCAGACCTCCTTGAAGCTGCAGCCAGTGTAATCCGTGTATTCGCTGGAGAAGCCGAGATATCCCGGCCGTTTCGTACTCCACTCTCCATTACTCTCGCATTCTTTTTTGACACCGGATTCTAAATAAAAAAAATACAAGAGATATTTTGGATACCGTATTTTACTCACTAATATCTTGTTGCCAAGCGGAGCCGTAGATGTATAAAGGGCAATCTTGCTGGATAATTGCTGGGGAAGAGCGGCCGAAACATTGCCAACCATCCCAAGTGGCGGGACAGGAGACTGAAAAAGTGGTACTTAGAAAACAGCTTGGATATCGCTGCGTGTGTGATTTTAGTTTGTCGGGAAAATAATGTGGATTTGCGGCTGAAAAATGCCTCGCAATCGCGCATCAAACCCCAGCCGCCGCAAGCCGTCGCAGAGCGGCGATTCCTAAACGCGGCGAACCCACATTATTTTTCCGGCAGACTGATAAAAGAAATGTTATAACGCTTGATAAATTTTGGTTAGACAGATATAAAAAATAGGTTCTAAATAGGGTAAAATACGGCGTTCTGGCTTCTAATAGCTTACCGATAGCCCACAAATGATGACTTAAAAAAGTTTTTCCAAATCTTTTACCGCTGTACAAGAAGCTATAGTAGAGCAAACAGTGTCTATAACAAACGAATTTGTGGGGTTCTGACGTCAATTTTAGGCCGCTACAAACCTCGGTACAACGCAATCTTTCTATAACGAATAAAATGTTCGGACCCTTTCGATATGTTATATAGCTGTGTGACTGCAGTTTTTGTTCTGGATAAAGAGAAAGACTTGACACAATTTTGAGTCAAGTGTTTCTCTCGTCTCCAATTTTGGGTCAAGTGTTTTCCTCGTTGCTCAAATAGAAATATTTACCTTAATTCAACATTTTCAAAAACTTTTCAAAATCTTCTGTTTATGTTTTTCAAGACAAGCGAGATTTTTAAGCGGTTTTTTTAAAATACGGTAATTTGTCGGCTAAAAATATATGTTTAAACAAAAATTTCGATGAGAAGTTCTATTTTTTTATCATTTTTTACGAAACCTACCCTCATGATCCTCTTCGTAAGCATCATGGCTGAGTACATTGTTACAACATGAATCAGCGGCTTGGCAACAATCTCTGACAATCGGCTCGAAGTCTCGAGGTAATGGGGGAGTCACATTTAAGGAATTTAGATTTCTAACTGATCTGAAAATCAGCATAAACATCTTAGAATTAAAAAAATAAGCAAAAACATTTTTTTAAGATTATTAAAAAACCAAAAAAATAAATAAAAAATATTAAAAATTAATTTATTAAAATCGCAAAAAAATTTTTTTTATTCTAATCTTTGATTTTTTCCTCTCAGACATTCAATTATTAATTCAAAAAATAACAATTTTTCTTTCAAAAAATCTCAAATTAATTAAAAATTAATGAAAAAAAATAATATTTTTTTTTCAAAAAACTCCCAAAAAGCTCCCAAAAAACCCGAAATTTACCTCATCGAAAACTCCGGTAGATTGTACAAATACTTTTCATTTTCGCAGCTACAGTCGTCCGAATCCTCGGGACAAAACAAGAACCCGTCTTCGCAGACGTTCTTCTCGTTGAAGCCGTACAAACTTTTATACGGCGGTTGAACCATATAAATGTAGAGTAGGCACTTCACACAGGCGACGGATCTGAACACCGCCGGCTCCAGATCGCCGACATTGCTGAGACGGCATGTGGAAGTGAGGTTGGCCATTTTGGATGGGGGAAATCACATTGAAGTGGAATGTTAAAGTGCCAACTTTGAGATGATTTTAGGGGATAATGGTCTGAAAAATAAATATATGGTAAAATAATATATATATTTTTTAGTTTCTAAAATACGGGATCTTAAAAACGACAATAAAGGTTGTCTTTGAAAACAAATTCTCTGACTGAGAGAATAAAAAGAATAAAATATAAAAAAAGTTGTAAAATTCGATGAATTAAGTCTCTGAGGTTTATTTAACAAGGACAGTACTTCTATGGGGTATAGAGTTACAGGTCGAGTCATATATCAAAAAAAAACCGCAAAATCGTCCATAATGAAGGATACTTTTTCTGAAGGAATTCTTGGGAAATTCCCGATTTTTTGAACTTCAAAATTTTTCGTATAAAATGTCACCTCTGTAAATTTTTTCACAAGGAAAGTACTTCTATGGGGTATGGAGTTGCAGGTCGAGTCATATATCAAAAAAATCGTGAAATTTTTTTGATTCAGAATATGTAAAAATTAGCTGCCTAGTTTTGGTCTGTAAGGGTGAAAAAACCTTCGGAACTTTCTCGACACACCACGCAAATGCCTTTGTGACCAAGTTTTTACCAAATCAGATGCTTGTTTTTGAGCTAAAGTAAACTCTGGTATCTTGACCAGCCTTAAAATATCAAATTTAATTTATACTACACCTTAATTAGTAGGTTTAGTTTCAATGTAAAAAATGCGCATTTTCATGGTGTTGCGAGAAAAGTTCATAGGGTTTTTTCACCCTTACAAACCAAAATTACGCAGCTAATTTTTGCATATTCTGAATCAGAAAACTTTTGCGAATTTTTTGATATATGTCTTGCCATGTCCTCGCTAGTTTTGTGCGGAGATAGCTGATCTTTTGTGGAAACGGTATTCTCCATGGCATGAACAGGCATGAAACTTTTTACGACAAAATTCGTAAAAAAAGTCATTTTTTCTGGCGATTTTCACACACGCCGAAAAAGCAGAGAAAACGACCGAAAGGCCAATAACTATGAACTAGGTCCTTGTATATATAACATATTTGGTATTAAACAAAATGGGGTTGTCTGAGGATTCAGAGAAAAAAAGAATTTTAACATTCGGATAAAAACTAAAAAAGTTATAGCCAATTCAATTCCGGCCGACAAATTGCCGCACCCTGTATAAAAAAAAGTTGTAAAATACGATGAATTGATTTCTCTGAGGTTTATTTTAAAAAAACAGGCACAAAAAAATAAATTGCAAATGAACTCTGTACAAAAAAACAAAGAACTCCCGTACAACAAAACCATCTAATAACGGAAAAATTCAGAGGTCAACAAGGGTCAATTTGAGGCAGAAAAAAGTTCAACAACAGAACCCATCCAGAATTTTTTAATCTCTGGATGGGTTTTTTGTAGAGGAGTAACCAGATAGATTTTTTTTGTAGGGCGACACACGTCAAAACAATTCTTTCAGAAAATTGAAAAAACAAGGAATCTCGGATCATTGATTTTTTTGCGAAGTGCCACAGAATTATCGAGCTTGAAAAATTATTTTCCTCTTCGAAAACACATTTTTCTCGAAATTCTCTGGGAAAGTTTTCTTTTGTGACTCAATAATTCAGCGACATTTCGTCAAAAATCAATGATCCGAGGTTCCTTGTTTTTTCACTTTTTCTTTGACGTGCGACAATGTATGTAAAACTTTTGCATTTTTGGGTCTAAAGGCCTTGAATATGAGCATATCTTGCGTAAGGCATGCTCGAATTGTTTAGATTAAATTTTTATTTTTTTTAAGAATGAAAAAAACCGTTCCCTTGGATTAGAGACTAACAAGTTCATTTATTTCCGCAAAGACATTGTTTTTTTTTGTAATGGGGGATTTATTTTGGGAAAGGACGGAGTTTTGGCAAACTTTGTTTTCTAAATTAGGAACTGAATTTATTTCGCAATAAAACAAATCTTCCAAAAAAAACAATTTGTTACAAAAACATTTTTTACTAAATTACAAAAAAATTTCTGTCGGGAAAATAATGAGCACTCTGTCGCATCGAAAATCGCATCATCGCCGAGAGAATGAATTGTGTCGCGGCAAAATCAAAAAAAATATGCTCATTATTTTCCCGACAGATTGTTGTCAGCTTGTCGGAAAAATAATGTGGATTTGTTGCAGCAAAAAATTTGCAAAATGTCTCGCCTAAATTTGCAAAATGTCTCGTACCAAATCTCTAGCCGTCGCAGAGCAATGACGTAATGCAAAGATATTCACATTATTTTCCCGACAGAGAAAAACCCATTTTGCGATGTGCGCCGCGACAAAGAGTCCACTAACTTTTCAGAAACCATAGTCATTTTTACTTCTACCACATCACCAAAAATAAAATCCTGACGTAACTTTATAAAGATCAACGCGGACGGCCAAAGGAACGGGCAGTAATATCCAAAAATTTACACAAAAAACAACAAAAAAAAAGACAAAATTTCGCCGAAATTTTTTGGCTGATTCGGATCCCCGCAAAACATTCGTTTGGGGCGAAAAGAAAATGAAAATGACACACACTTCATTTTGGACTTCATTTTCAACGATCACGTAAAAAAGGGAGAGGGAAATTTGCATTAGGGCCAATCATTAGACCTGACTAATTAAGGCGAGGAAAAAGTTTTGAAAAACACATTCGCATCGCTCAAAGGGGAGGTCAAAAAAGTTGATGGAACTTGGGGAAAGCTTAGAGAAGAATTTTAGAATAAATGATACGACTTTTGTGCAAATTTCCCTACCAGGGAGACAGTTGACCCAATGTTGGGTCAAGTGTTTCCCTCGCTACTAAACTGTAAATTGAGCTTGAGAATGCGCAATTTACAGTTTAGTAACGAGACGCACATGAAATTTAGGAAGTCCTAAGCATTACAAGATTTTTGGGTCAAGTCTTTCTCTCGCCACTAACAAGGAAAGTCTTCTCAAGCGCGACGCTCAGATTTTGAGAAAACTTGGCACAAGTTTAGAACAAAAGAGATTTAGAATTAACGTGTGCCAATGTAAGGCTCCTAGCTCAAAATAGTGCCAAAACGGCCGAGATTTTTTAGATCAAAAGTCGGCAAAAATGTGACATTTTTTGCGAATCTTGACATAAGATTTTTCATGCCTATGACTACCTCAAATGCTAATATTTTCACACAAAAAATCATTTTTTTCCGAGCAGAACTGACAAAGATATTGCCACAAGTGTCTTCCCCCCCTTACCACCCTCCGAATTTCGCGTACTCTCTCGGCAGCAAAGACGGATCAATATCTCGGCTTCCGTCGCAAGATGGGAGCTAAAACTTCCAAAGGTTGATATGTGGCCCATGCCTGGTATGCGTGCAAAATTCAAACCAAATCTAAGCGTCACACTTGGAGTAATTCCCCTGTGAATTTAAAGTGCTTGCAACAAACCGGCCGCCCCTACAAAGCGCGAGCTAAAGCTTGTAAAACTTGCCAAGTGGTCTATGCTCACAGACAACTTGATGTATTTAGCTCAAAAATAAACCGCTTCAAAATACTGTACCCCATCTCCGAAGCTCCTAATGACTTCTGACAATGAGTCATCAATCTGCATCTGCTTTTTATAGCCCGCCACCTTTTCATAATGAGCTTTATCCCAAAACTTTCGCACATAAAGCCTTGTTTATCAACAAATCCTGTTAATAAATGCAAATCGTCTCTAATAAGTGGCGGCTATCTTTAGAAATTTTCAGTTTCCTGCGGAAAATAAAGGTTTGGCGTTAAGCCCCGACTTCCGGAATAATACAACCTTTATTGTCGGCGGGTTATACGAAGAGAAATACAAGATCTCCGAGCCTATAGTGAGACTCCGCCCCGAGCAAAATCTAATTTTTGCAGCCGCTTAATTTGATTGTACTGTACATTGGGTTGGGAAATCGGAGTGTACGAGGTATGGAGGCTCTAAGGACTTGAATTATGGCGGTATTACGGAAGAAGGTCAAAAATTAGAAGGGGAAATTGAAAGGGAAGTAAAACATGAGAGTGCAGCGGTCATATCTTGATGAAATTTGGAACAAGTTTAGGTCAGTAAACTCTGAGAGTACGTGCAAAAAAAGAAGAGCGATTTTGAAGTTGAAATTTAACTGAAATTCGAGTTATGGAGAACGTATTTTAAAATTCTTGAAGATTCATTTCTAGGATTATTTCGAGATGCAAACCGCCGCTCCACATCCAATTGATTTGAACTTTAATACAGCGAATTGCCGGCTAGGTGCTAAATTCTAGCAAGAAAAGTACTTTTATGGAGGCTCCTACTTTTTGACGGGACATATGTCAAAAATCCGAAAAACTGTTTTGATCAAGGACATGTAAAAATTAGCCGTTTTTTGGATTTTTTGAGATACGTCGCGTTGAAAAGTAGGAGCCGCCATAAAAGTACTTTCCTTGTAAGAAATCTACTGGGCAGCAGACCCGCTTATCACAGTTGATGCGAACGCAAAATCGATCGATACGAATCGTATTGCAGGCGCACACCGAAAAATGGTTGTAGGAGGTGTCTACAATCTCTGACAAAGCCGTTGGATGCCCGGCGAGCGCTCAGCAAAGTCTCGTCGAAGATTTGGCAAAGAGCTACAGTATGCCCACTTTTTCTAATTTTGGCTATTCCTAACTTGCTCCAAAAAACAAGATCCAGAGAAAAACTTAATCCGGATATTACTGAAGTATTATAATACGTGTAGAACACCTCCAAATAGGTCAAAAGCTATCCTAGGACCTGATTAAAGCTGTTTTTTTTGTTAACTAAGCCTTCTCTAAGCCTCTCCAATGCACACAACGGCAAATAAAGGGAACCTAATTTATCGTCGACCCGAACTGTGATCCAAAACGTTTTAGCGTCGGAGAAAGACGAATTACGGTGAGAAATCAAGAAAGTAAAATGCGCAATATTTTAATAAGCTTAAATGTTGGGGAGGTGATAAAAAGTAGCAAAGTTTGATAGTTTTTTTTTCAGTAAAAGAGTATTG